TTGGCGCGGTACACGAGTTTACGGTCACGCGCGGGCCATCAACGGCCGCCAGGCGGCCGCCAGGTTGGACAGGCCGTGCTGAGTGGGTTAATAAGCGGATGAACGAGCGTCTGGCGGTAGTTATACGCTAGATGCACAGTACGAAGGAAAGGATGGGCACATGGCTTCAAGGATGTGGTGGATGGATGGGTGATAAGGACCGGCACGCCCAGCAGGGCGCAGAGGGCGGGGAGGAAGTTGGCCGGGCAAGGATGACGAATTCGTACTTTAATAGGCGTTGGGGCCGAGGTGGTGGTTTTTCCGAGGATGGCTGGCTGGATGACTGGGAGCTGGGCGCAAAGCAAGCAAGCAAACGAGCTGTCTTGGGACGGATGGTCGGACGGAGGAAGGTGAGTATCTCCGTCCTGTTTGAGGTTTGTCTATCTCTTCGGCATTTACCTGCCGCTCTTCTGCCCATCATGGTTTGTTTGGTTTGATTTGCGTCTGGCTTCTTTTGCTTCTTCTTCTTGTTCTTCTCGTTTGATCTCTATCCGATCTAGATTCGTCTTCGTCCCAGATTTCTTTCCACACCTTGCTTGTCACGTCTGTCCCTCTTGGGAACTCTCCCACCGCATTCACACCCCTTTCTGTCCTAGCTTCTTTGTCACCTTGACTCAGATTCGCAGGTCCTAGGTGATGGACCAAGTCCAACGGCAACTCACTTCATCCCATACAAGTACGTGCCGGGTCCAGGCCCAGCGTGCGGTGGACTCTAGCCCTGGAGATAGGCAGACAGCGGACAACAGCTGAAACTCCCACTCTCCCTGTCTCTGAGGCTCACCCCCCGTCTTCCAACACGCAACCACCAAGCCAAGTCACCCCCTTCTCACACCCCACTGGCGTCTCTCTCCCGTTAGCGGTATCAGTGGAGATAGCGGTTAGCGTTGTTGGTGATTCCCGTCTCGGCCCGCGCCTGCTTTTGCTTGGGGGTACGTGTACCCGATCGTGTTTGTCGTGGCGAGGTGGGACGTCAGGTCGCTGAGGGTCTGGGGTCCAGGACGGGGTGCCCGGGGGATTCCGGTCGAAATGCTCCGCCCCCCTTTTCTTTTCACGAGTGTGAGTTGAGTGAGTGACGGATGGGGAGAACACAACACGTAAGAGGATGGTTGGATAGATGGACGAGAACGGAGGAGGGAGGGGGGCGAAGAGTGGAAGAGGGGAGTAGCGGTGAGAATTTTGGCTGAGGAAAAGGAGAGGAAAAGATAGGATAGGAGGGATACAGGTAGGTGTGTGATGTTGGCGTGGATCTATGTGTGTGCGCATGGGCGTGTGTGTGTGGATGCGTCTGCGTGAGTGAGTGAGGATGTGCGTTGTAGACGCGTGCGTGGTTTGATGTGGATGAGTTGGTAAGTGGATCTGTGCTGTTCCTTGCTGCTACTGCTGCTGGTGTTGGTGGTTCTGCTGGTGGTGCTGGTGCTGGTGCTGGTGCTAGTGCTAGTGCTGCTGCTGCTGTCCTGCTAGCGGCTGCGAGTTTTATCAGACTTGCCGAGCGAGCCGCTCCATAAAGACTTCAAGCTCGTCGAGCTACATGTGCCTACCCAAGGTGAAGCTGCCGAGCCAGTCAAGCTGCGAGATACCTAGTAGTGATCCTGCCGAGCTAACAGCACTCATCACAGACACAGACCATCTTAGATCTACCCCGACTGTACGGCTTACTTGACTTGACTGTAGGTATGGTCGGGTGGATGACTTGACTGTATGGATGGCTTAGACTTCCCCTCTGATCTCCCCTAGCGGCCAGTCCGATCGGATGGGGCCAGCGTAGAGTATGAACTGTGGGAAAAGCAGGTAATTGGATGTGTGGCATCGTCAGTCACTACTGGCTTGCACGTACATACTTGTCTGTCCGTGACCGGTCGGGTATGGGGGGGCGTGAGAGCATGATGTTGGATCTGAGTAAACAGGGAGGGAGGAGGTTGCGTGTGTGTGGGCAGATAGGTCGATGGGGTGTGGGTTGAAGAGTTGAGGCTCTGCTCTGCTCTGCTCTACTCTACCGAGGATATTCCTTGTCCAAGGTAGTTAGTCGGGGGTTAGCGGTAGTCCCTCCCTTCTCTCAATAACATTCCCCCTCCTCTTGCCTAATATTTCTTCACGTCGGTTGGGTAGTGTTCCTCTTCACTCTCACCAAGGCTACCCGACAGACAGACAGCCTCTGATGACAATTCCTCTACTTTGGGTATATATTGTTACGAGGATATAAACATCTGTAGTTATATCCTGTGTTGCACGTCCACATGTGGGCAAAACAAAAGCAGTGGAAGGTGGTTATTTTCCCGCTTGTGTCAAGTATTTCTCTTTTATTTCCTAGTCATTTCTTAGGTTTCATGTGCTTGTTTATTTCCTCCTGGTATAACATCGTTTACTTTTTCCCCCCACTCTCGTGTTGTGTTTTATCTCTCACTCCTCATCAAGCGTTCGGTCTTTTCGTACCTAAATCTTGAATATCTACGAATAATCACGTCATATATCTAAGATACCTAGGAGAAACCTATACACTCACGCATATGCCCAGAGAGTCAGGAAGGAAGATATGCTTATGTATGTGTCCCATACACACACCACACAGCCCTGAAGTTAATTTTCATCATGTAGTACACATGTATCTAAGTTCGGTGTTAAGTCGGCATTGAGGGACTCACGGGTCTGCATGTAGATATACCCGTGTGTATGTCCATACAATACATAACAGCCCAGTATTTTCTTTTGGTTTCCTGTTTTTTTCTTTCTGGTTCTGTTTCATCCAAGATGCTTGGCTTGTCACTGAAGGCGTTTAGTTCAACACTGAAGGAGCTTGGCTTGACCTTAACCATTTTCTTTTCTTCTGATTATCCCACAACAAGAAGAGAAAGCGTCAGCGCTATAAAAGATAAATAGCTAGCTCCAGACAGAACAAAAAACATCGCTAAACTTTTGTTGCGTTCTTTTCCTTTTCGCTGGTTATCGATCCAACCAGATTACAACCAACCCAATCCAACTCAATGACATAGCCCAATCTGACAACAAATCATTCCCCCTCCTCCCCCTCCTCCAACAACCCCGCCTCCTTCACCAACCCCCAAAAGCTCCCCTTCCTCCTAATCAACTCCGCCGGCGTATCAAACTCCACCACCTCCCCCTTATCCAGCACCACGACGCGGTCCGAGTCCATAATAGTGTTGATACGGTGGGCGACAGTGACGATGGTGCGGTTCTGGAACAAGGGGCCCCGCAGGGTGGTTTGCAGCATGGCGTCGGTTTGGACGTCTACCGCGGCGGTGGCTTCGTCGAGGACGAGGACGTTGGAGGGGGTGAGCATGGCGCGGGCGAGGGAGACGAGTTGGCGTTGGCCTTGGGAGAGGTTGGAGCCTGGTTTTTTTGCGGGTTAGTATTGGCTTTGGAGGGGGGAGGGTGTGTACGTAGATAGGGGATAATTCGTGGTCAACAGAGCAACGCGTGAGGGGTAAACAAGAAGATAGACTGAGGTAACGTCCAACACCATCTCGATCCCGCAGCTCGCCGGGCCAGGAAACGTCACACGCACACGCCCACACATGCGGGTTTAGTCAACCACTCAGTCAACCACTCAGTCAACCATCCCATCCTGTTGGGTAGATGAACGAGGGAGGATGCCACAAAACGAACCACTTGGTCCATCGTGGCGACCTTCTTGTACGATCTCCGACCCCTTTTCTCCCCGACAACTTCGTAAACAAGGGGCAATTGGGCGACCCAAAACCATTGGTAAGCGGGCAGGAGAGAGCAACAACACACAAAAATGACGCGTGTGTGCATGTGTGTGTGAGTGTGGTATGTTGAAGAAAAGGGGGGATATGAAACGTGACCGAGAAAACCGTTACGAAAAAAGCCACCCCCCGACGCACGCGATTTGTCCGATGTGGTAACTTAAAAGTGCCGCATCGGAGATCCTGCAGGGGCCTTTCCTGTGCATGGGTGTGTGCTGAGGAGGCCTAGACCGTTAAGGGCAGATAGAAAGAGAGAGAGTGTGTGTGTGTATGGTGTGAAGGCAAAGGCAAGGCAGGGTAGGACAGAAAACGGTGCCTTGGGCCGTTCACTCGAAAAAGACCGCGGCATAGTCATCCTGCCCAACCACCCACCCACCCACAGACACAGACAGACACACGAACACACCCTCGGCCTGCCCGCGTGAGTGCTACCTACGCAGCTCCGAAGACACCGCGGTATGCCATCTGTATCTGTGTGCCCGTATGCCATCCACTCGCTGACTGGCTCGATAACCCGAATTTAAATCCAAGGCAACGGTCGCCACAGAGGAAACTCGTATCCAGACCCATCGCTGATCGTCTTGGAGGTGGAGGTGGAGTTCGCGTCATGCAGCCACCCGTGTCGCGCCGCGATGCAGCCGAGCACAGGGTATAACTAGCACACATGCCGCGCCCTCATCACGTCTCATGATGACACGAGACGCGGGGTAAGGAGCATGATGGTTGGGTATATAGGTTTGGGAACGGGGGCAAGGGGGGACAAGGGGGGACAAAAATAAACAGGGAAGGGGCAAGAACTGGAAGGGAAGAGAAAAAGAAAGCCGACAAAACCCGCAAGTTACGAGATAAGGCGACAGAGACAAGAGGCAGGAAGCGAGAAACACCACGTGGGAAGGGGCGGGGGGTGATGGGAAATAGGGGAAGGAAGATAGATGGGATGCATGTGTCACGTACCTCCTTCATGGATCTTGGCCTCTAGCCCCCCGTCCATGGAAGCGACGTGGTCCTTGAGCCGGGCGTGGTCTGTGTGACAAAACGGATTAGTCTAAGACCAAAATTGAAACAAAACAAAAGGCATGTGAATGAACACTACGGGACTAAACATACCAAGAACACTCCACAGCTCCGTGTCGTCATGCACATGCCCCGGATCGAGATTGTCCCGAATGGTGCCCTCAAAGAGCGCGGCATCCTGCGGGATGATGGCCAGACGCCTACGCAGGTCCAGCAGGCCGACAGTCGACGTGTTGAGCCCGTCAAGACTGATATTGCCCGTGTCCGGCTCGATGATTCGGAACAGCGCGAGGGTCAGCGAGGACTTGCCGGCACCTGTGCGGCCGACAACGCCGATCTTCTCGTGCGACTTGATGTCCAAGCTAATATTCTTGAGCACGAGGTCGAGCCCCTCGCGGTAGCGGGTGCTGTAGTTGACAAACTCGATCTCGCCGCGCGACGGCCAGCTGACGGGGGGCCGGTTGCGGTGGATGATCTCGGGGGCCTCGCTGGGCAGGCGTGCGTACTCGAGCACACGCTCGACCGAGACGATGTTGGTCTCGACCTCGACGGTCTGGCGCACGATCCAGTTGAGCGACGTTGTGATCTGCAGGCCGTACGACATGGCCAGGCCGACCATGCCCGGGCCGAGTTTGGTACCCGTAGCCACGGCGATGACGGCAAAGCCCGCAGCGGCCAGGATGACCACGGCGCCGATGAACTCGAGCCGCACCGCCAGCCAGCGGTTGGCGCTGATGGACGGGAAGTAGGCCCGCAGGTTGGCGTCGACGCGCCACTCGTTCTCCAGCTCAAAGCGGTCCTGTTGCCGGTACGCGCGGATCGTCGAGATGCCACCCAGCGACTCCTGGAAGTGCGCGTAGATCGGGCTGCGGCTCACGCTGTCCAGCCGCTTGAGCTCCCGCGACGTGCGCAGGTAGTACCGCTGGATCCAAACGTACATTGCTCCGAGCGGGATAATCAGCGCAAGGAAGGGAGGGGTTGTGACCGAGATCACCACGAGTGTGAATCCCGATCGGGCCAAGTTGCTGAACAGCATGTTGAACGATCGGGCCAGCACCTCGTCGACGCGGTAGATGTCACTGCCAAGAGAGTCAGCATGCCACGAAGAACCGTAACCGTAAACACAAAACGGAGGGAACCCCGGGGAAAACAAAAGAAAAACAAAAACAAAACAGAAAGAAGGGCCGTTTCGTGACATCGAGGTACACCTCCCAACGCCCGTGACGACAACTCCCGCACTGTTGACACAAGTGTATCACACAACACTAGGCCCGTCCTACCCCCTTACGAGCCCAAGACCGCAAGAACTAAGAGAACCCGAGACCGAAAAGAGAAAAGAGGCAGTGCCACAGATAACGCACCTCGAGAACCGGTTGAGAATGCGACCAGCCGGTGTGACGTCGAAAAAGGACATGGGCGAGCGAAAGATGGCCGTCGCCATCCTCTCGTGTAACTTGCGCGACGCCTACACGCGGGAGTTCACACATTAGTCAGTTGCCTCTTTCTCCCTTTCTCCCCTTTTCGCCATCTTCTTCACCGTCTTATTCACCGTTCTTCGCCATCACATACCTCAATCGAGCAAAAGATCCAGAGAATGAGGGTCTGTACGACCGTCAGGGCCGCAGCGCCGATGCCGAACGCAAAGTACACGCCAATGTACTTGCCCACCTCGGGGTTACTGCCGGCCTCGGTGTTTCTGTCGGCCCAGTTTTTGAGCCAGACGCTGCCAGCTTTGCATCGGGTTAGCCTATGCCTATGCGGTCGCGGTCCATGCGTGTCACAAGGGAACCAAGGTCGGTGACCGAGGATGAGGCAAAAGGAGAAGACGAAAAAGAAGAAGAAGCGGTGAGCAAGCAGCAGGGCAGAAGAAGGCAACAAGACCGTGAGGCGACACGGCATGATGCTGCTGATGCTGATTGATGCCACTTCTACGGTGAAAGGTGAGAGTACGATGACGATGACGATAACTTACCAATCTGCGCCGACTGAGCAGCGACTAGGGTAAACAAATACGTCGCCACGGCCGCGAGGTTGTTCGCCTTGGCATACTCGCCGTAAACTAGGCAAAAAAGAGTCGTGTTAGCACGCACCCACCACAAACCAAAGCGGAGTAGGTATGACCCCTCTCTCGTATCAAAGTCACAAACTCTTCTCCACATACCTGACCACTTGACCTTGCCCTGCTCCAGGTGTTCCTTAGCCTGCCTAGTCTTGCTGGGGTTCTCCTCGTCGTGAAGCTTCCCCCGCGGGCCCTTGAAACTAGCAGCACTAGCCCGCCGAAGGGTAGCCATGCTCCCCGTCCGTGCCTTATCCCGCGCCTGGTACGACGAGCTCGCGGGACCCGGCTTGATCGCCTGAAGCGCACCCAACCCCTCCTGGGCCTCCTCCAGCTCTTCCTTGTCTTGGCTGCTACTGGCGGCCCCGATGACCGTCGACGTCTCACTCTCGCTGTCGTCTGGCGATGCGGTCGCCGTGTTGTTGCCTGACTCGTTCTGCCGCGACGTCTTGATCAGCTCGAAGACGGCGCCACGCATGGCCGTAAGCTGTCGGTACGTGCCCCGCTCGACAATCTCGCCGTCCTTAATCATGCAGATGTAGTCTGACTCGACGAGTACAGGGATCGAGTTAGTGGCTAGGATGCGGGTCTTGGTGTTGAGCAGACCCTTCGCGCCGAGAACGTTGTCGATGATGTGGCGGCCGACGTGCGAGTCGACAGCAGACAGGCAGTCATCCAAGAGATACACATCCGCGCGCGCGTAGACAGCCCGAGCGAGCGCAACACGAGCCTTCTGTCCACCGCTGAGCGAGATACCGCGTTCGCCCACGACCGTCTCGTCGCCATCGGGAAGCTGGGCAAAGTCGTCCAGCAGAGCGCAAGCCTTCACCGTCTTTTCGTAGAAGGTAGAATCGTACCGGTAACCAAACACGATATTCTCCCGGACCGTGGCGTTCATGATCCAGGGTGACTGGCTAACGTAGGCCACTGTTCCGTGGACTTGGACCTGGCCTTGCGTCTTCCACAGGTCGCCGAGAACACTCTGCAGAAGCGAGCTCTTGCCAGCACCCACACGGCCCACAACACAAGAGAGGTCGCCCTTGTGAGCGCTGAAGTTGATGTCCTTGAGGACCGTCTTATCTTCGTGGCGATTCCAAGAGAATGAAGCATCGCGGATCACGACGGACTCCTCGCCCATGATTTCGACGGCCGGCTTGGGGGTGATAGCCTCAGGCTGGAGCTCCTCCGCAGTGAGATACGACGTCAGACGTCCGACAGCAACACTAGCTTCGATGATGGACGTGATGACCATGGGAAGGACGGCGAGCGGGAAGGTAAGAAGGTTGAACAAGGCTGAGTATATCAGTTAGTACAAGTAGTAAAAGGCTTGCGGAGGAGGAAGGAAACGGGATCCCAGAAGACATACCCAGCGCAGGGAAGACAATCTCCGTCGTCAGAGGACGGCCATCGGTAAGCACGAACACGGTAAAAGTGCAGCAAGAGACAAGGAACGGGGTGCTGGACCACGTAAAGTTGGCAAAGGCCTGGCCAGCACCAATCTTGCGGAGGTTCTTCAGCTCCTGGTCGTTTCGGATGTAGTTAAGCTTGTTCATGAAGGCGGCGCCCCAGGCGTAGAGCTTGATGCTCTTCATGTTGTTGATGATCTCGGCCACCAAGCGGGTCCTCGCATCCTTGTTCTTCATCTGCTTCTTCTGCAGGTTCTTCATGATCCGGGCAATCATGCCGTTGATGGGGACCATGAAGATCATGACACCGATACCCGCCAACATGGACCATCCGACCAAGTCGTAGAGCGATGCCATGCAGATAATGATTTGGAATGGTGCCGACCACATTTGCTGGGCGAATTGCGTCAGGTCTTGAAGACGCTGAGCGTCAACCGCCATGTAGTTGACGATATCACCCGTGGTCTTGGACGACCGGCCCTCGTTCGACAGCTTCAGCGCCTTCTTGTAGATAGACGAGGTCAAGCCACCCTTGATCCGCATGCCGGTAACAAAAGCCAGCTGGAAGTACTGGTGGATCATAGTGGTCTGAAAGACCGCGACGGCGAACATGGCCAACGCAATGGCCGCACCCTGGATCACGGGCTGCGGTGTCTGGTCGGGGTAGTAGTATGACCCAATGAAAGAAATTAGGTACCTGAGGAGTTGCGGCTGGATGAATTGGGAGATGTCGTTCCCGACCTTGAAGATGGCCGCCAACATGTAAGGGGTACCGTAAGCACCGAAGAGCGCCATCCACAGCGAAGGGTTCTTTCGATGCTCTAGCTGGTACTGCCACTGCTTGTCAAACGCTTCGCCCGTCGACCTGGTTGTATCATTCTTGGACAGCCCCCAGAGGTCCTCCTCGGTCAAAAACGCCTTGTAGCCGTGTTTCATCATGGGAGTCATCCACGAGAAAGTGAGCAGCGAGAAGACGGTAGCGTACTCCACTGGGCACTCCTCCTCGTCGACAAGCGCCTCATACGTGCTGTTCTTCTTAGGCCACAACCACTCAAGCAAGAACTCGACCACGGAAAGCCCAAAACCGACAGCATATGTGACGAAATACGGCAGGCTCTTGGCGTAGATTTGCTGGGAGATCAACGACCGGAGCTTGACGGCAAGTGCGATCAGAAGCAATAGCCAGTAGAATAAGACGACGCCGTTCGCGTTTCGCAGTCGCGAGTGCTCGAGCCATTGGATTGTGAAGATGACGAAGAGGGAGACGATCGTAGCGGTGGTGGTGTAAACGCGGAAGTCGCCGTACCAGATATCCTTATACTTCGCGATCTGGAAGCCCAATTGCACCGCGACATCGGCAATGATCAAACCGAGAATCGTCTAATACGATGTCAGAACACAGACACAGAAACCCAACCAAAGTCCCAAAGTCGCAAACCCACCTGTTTTGTCCAGAAATGCCAATCCTTCGACACGGGCGTGGGCTGCTTGTGCTTCACTAACCACCACACGGCCATCGCGCCAACGACAATACCGAACGCGGCCACCGCCGATACCCACACGTCGATGAAGCACGGCGTGAAGTCATATCGAAACGGGCTCAACGGGCCCCATCCTTCTGCGTTCCCACACAGCGGCTGCTTGAAGACGCGCTCAGCGTCGAGATAGCCACTCCCTAACTCCGACACGGCATGGCGGTAACCGGTGAAAGACCCCGTCAATATCTTTTGCGCCCCCGGCAGGCCGTCGGCGTAATCGGCCAGCCCCATTGGCGCGGACATTATGGATTCAGATCAGCGTTCAGAGGCAACATGTCAGGGTAGAAAGTGTTGAATTGAGCTGTCGTTGTTGCCGTAAGCTTAGCTGTCGGAGGTTGGAGAGATGCGGCCGGCGGATTTGCAGCGGGCGAGATCGAGTATGACGTCCACCGCCGGGACAAAAGATCAGCGGGACAGGAGAGCAAAGTCACGCTGGATTAAAGCTCCGTGGTTGACTGCACAACGAAGCTATCGCATTGGGCCCCAGCAAATTCCTGCCACAGAAAAGGGGCAGCGAAGGTGGTGGTTATAAGATGGAAAGGTGCAGGAAAGCGATAAAAAAGATAGCCACAGGAAAAAAAGACGCCGGCCGCGTTCCACTGGACTCCAACGAGACGCGGCGCGGCTCCTCTTTGTCATGCCCTTCTGTGCTGCAGCGCAATTGTCAGCAATCCGGGGCGGTGGGCTTGTCTCGCCGGGGGACGGGATGGATTCCCCAACTGTCCTGCATGCAGCTCTAGCGGGGCGACCCCGCTGGAAGCCTAACAGGGAACCTGTTCAGTGGACGTGCCTCGCTGAAAGTCACCTCGCCCAGTTGCCAAGCGCCAGTACCTGACCTTCAGCCGCGAGAGCCGGCAGGGCTACCGAGCCACAGCTACCCCACCCGACCTCGGAGCTCGGGCACCCGACAACCGATCCCTGCAATCCTTCCAGATTGGAACTGGACCCCAAGAAAAGTGACGTTCACGGCGTCTGCCTCGTTCGATGCTTTGTAATAAGATGAAGTTTAAATTTTCTTCCCACCCTTTCGAAGTAAAAAAAACCGAAATACGAAAGGGGCTGCACGTGTATTACTAGCATTAATTAAACGAAGGGACCATTCGGAGCACCGGACTTTGTGGAAAAAGGGTGGAAAACTCTGCTCGGATCTCGGCGGAGTTAAAGTGTGCCTTTTGCACAGTATTGTAGTTATTACACATGGCAACATTCAAGGTGGTTGTCTCTTCCAACCAGAACCCAGACTGTCGTAATCAATAGACATCAGATCATGACACCTTGATAGGAGTTGCCCAGTGTTAGTTGACTCAAGTAATAGCCTCTCTCAAGCCCACTGTATACCTCATTCATGGTTTACTGTCTCTGCCTTTTGCCTGTCTTAAATCCGGCAGCAACAAATTAGCCCGCCAATTGCACGCCCACTCAATTCTCAAAACCCCACAAACGTAACAACCACACCAAAAGCCAAGAGCCATGACGTTGGGGCTCTAGCTTGCCCCTCCTGCGGCCCCCCAAACATTCGTGATGCCTTTGAAACGGCCAACATCCCCCAAGCCAAAATCAACACCCGCACCCCCCACCATCGCCAACAACTCTACCTCCGCAACCTTCACAACCCTCCTCATCTTCCTGCTCCTCCTCATCGCTCTCTTCCCAAGTCTCTTCCATCTCCTCTGGACCCTCCCCCTTAACTTGCTCTTTTCCTCTCCAACTCACAACCCAACTGACCACCATCAACACCATCACCATCACCACCAACACGAAGCAGACCTCAACACACCACCACTAACAACGATAACAACAACAATGTGGTCGCAAAAGCAGTTCACACTTCCCTCCCGCTCCCGTGGGTCCTATCTCATCACCGACACGGTGCTGAAGGAGTTGCCTGAGATTAAGTCCTACAAGGTGGGGCTGCTGCATCTGTTTATCCAGCACACGAGCTGTGCGTTGAGTTTGAATGAGAATTGGGATGAGGTGCGTTTTTTTTATTTCTCTCAGTTCTCTCGGATTCCACAGCTGGTTTAGTTGTATTTCCTGAATCTTTTCTTCGTATGGTTCCTCTGTGTTTTTTTAGACTGCACACATGTTGGCCTCTGAATAAAAACGATGTACAGAGAGGCTGCGGATCCCATGAAACCCACCCAGACTACTAACCGTGTATATGCCCATCTCCAGGACGTCAGGGCCGACATGAGCGACACCTTGGACAGGATTGTCCCCGAGGCCGGCCCGAAAGGCGAAGCTTTGTACAGGCACGATGCAGAGGGTGCGTTTCCCCTAGCTCTCGCTCCCGAAGGAGTGCACTTGCACAGTACGAGAATCTAGAGACTCTAACAAAACAGATAGGACCCGACGATCTGCCTGCCCACGTCAAGTCTGCGTTGATCGGGGCCAGTGTCACGATCCCTATCAAGGATGGGAAGTTGGTAAGTGATAAATTTTCGGGACCCCTTATTTCCCCCCATGAACCTCCAGGAGGGCTGAAACCATGGCTAACCAACCCATAGGCAACGGGAACCTGGCAAGGAATATGGTACCTCGAGTTCCGGGCCGCAAAGCACACACGCAAGATAGTTGCCACCATCCAAGGCGAGAAGGCATGAATAGTTTCAAAATATTGCGAACGCGTTCATATTTTCGGGTATAACTTCCCTCCCATCTGCCATCTAAATGACAAGCGTGTATGTGAAGCGCCGACCTTCTCTACCCATAGTTAGATCGCCGTTCCATTTTGGCTAATGATGATGATGATGACCCGGATCCTGACGCCGGACGCCTGCTAAATAATAAAAGAAAATCAGATCCTTTATTTCCTATCCCTTTTTCCTTCCTCCTTTCCCCCCGGGACGCGTCATTGTTAGAGATTTTCTTCCGTTGGATTAGTGCGTCCCGTTCTCGGTATTCATGTCGACGTCGTCGCCACCCGCTAGAACCTTGGTCTTGGGGACATAGTCGGTCGGGCCAGCACCGGGCGTCATGGCGACCACCTCACCATCCTCGTTGACAAACTCAAAGTTGTATCGGCTCAGCAGGTGGGGGATGGCGGACAGTTGGGGGCCATAGCGCTGGGTGTTTTCGTAGAGCTCGAAGAGCGGGACTGCGAGCAGTTTCATGTTTTTGGGGACACTCAGCACCTCTGGAGGACGAAATCCGGCGGTTAGTCAAGCCCGGCAATAAAACAAACGGTTGCCAAGTAGCGGAAGGGCCTATGGGGAAAAGGCGTACTTGAGTGAGGCAGCTGGATAAAGTACAACTTCTTGCACTCCTTGGGCCGGGTGATATGCGCCGGCACAAACGGGTACATGAACGTCTCAAAGTTCGGTCGCCACCACTGCGCCAAGCAATCGCCGACCTCCCAGTCCGCCGCCTTATTGCCCTCGCCCAGGCTGCCCACGGGCGCCAGGCGCTCGTCCAAACGCGTCTTGAACCCTTCAATCTCCTCGTCTTCCGGGCGCAAGTAATCGCCGGGCAATTTGAAGAAGGCATTGGCGATCTGCAGCATCAAGATGTGCGGATGGTTGTGCTCGTGGCAGACGAGGATGCCCTCGCAGGTGCGCCGCATGCCGTGCGCGTCGTAGTGCTCCTCGAGACGCTTCAGGCGGGCCAAAACGCTGGGGTCCTCCTCGGGTTGGGTCTCCTTGACGCCGAAGGTGTAGTTGGAGAGAGGGAAGAGGCGGATGGTCTGGGGCTGGTTGGCGTTGAAGTCGAGCGGAATGACGGGCGCCTGAGCGCTCTGTAGCGCTGTTGGGGCGATGGTGGACATGGTGGATGAGAGAAAGGGTAAAGGAGGCTGTGTTATTATTTGGGTTAGGTGATGAATCTGGTGGTAAGGTTGGAAGAAGGGAGGTGAAGAAGCGACAAAACGATCGGGGCCGCGGTGAAGTTGATTTCGTCGAATACCAATGTGTGTCGTCGGAGGCCGTGATGGGTGGCACGTGGTTTGTTCAATACACTAATAACCACAAGATGTTTCGTCGCATCCATGGAAAGGCGAAATGGGACGGTGGATTCCCCATACGGGCGAGAAGTTGGAGAATCGATTGGCAAAATGACCAGAACAGGAAGGCGGTCAATCCGCACGTGGGTTTAATGGGTCAGGCACCCCCAAACTCGGCACTCGCTTTGCTCACACTTCGCAGGAGACTTATGACGGGAGGTTCGGCTCAGACTTTGAGCCGAGAATGGGTTCAAATCTTTTGACTTTTTCAAAAAGAATCAATTCCAGTTCAACATGCTTGACGACGGCTTCAAGCGGCCCGGGCTTGCCGGGCGACTGACACGACCGGATGTCTCGCAGTCGTGCCAAGGTTGCTCTGAGAATTGGAGGTTTTCTCCCCACATAAGCCGGAGACAAATAGTCGCCGCATTAATCTTTGATTAAGTGAGGGGACTCGTTCGGTGGTGCTTTAAAACATGAATTATGAGAAGTGGTCAACCAATTCGCGATACGGTATACATGGATGTCACTATTGGCTCCCACACAGCTCAGGGCTGCCCACTTTATTTGACCGTTGCGGCTCAGACAAGTGCCGGGCCGATATCGTGCGAACGGGTTACTCTGTAGAGTAATCGGCAGGTAATCGGGCTTCGGGATTCATCTTGAGATCTCGGATGTCCCCCAGGGTCCGGAGATGACCAAGAGTGGCCATTGGTACAGACTGCAGAGTTGATAACACCAGGTCCCTATCTCGTTATCGCGATCGAGAAGCCGGGTATCTTTGGAAATGTACCCCCACCAACCCCGCGGCATCTAATTACTGTAGGAAATCCCAGCAAAGCCTCGCCCGTTAACGTAAACAATAGCATACCCAGGCCTCCTCTTCCCCCTCACTCCTCTCCCTCCCCTTGTCATAGGATGTGCGAGGGAAAGGCACAGCAAGGCTGCCCTGCGATAATTTAGATTACGGCTACACAAGATACGATCACGAGTCGAACTTCTGGAAGCATCGGGTGAAGCAATTGGTGATTGTGTACCGTCCGAGATGACTCGGCCTCAGCCACAAAGTCGTGCAAGTTGCGCCAGTAATAAGAGTCGTATCCATGATGACGGTCCGATGCAGCTCGTGACAAACCCCGCCCAGTACCGCATGCACCCCTCACCCGTGACTCTCTCGTGAGCAAGCGGAGTTGCGGCCGGCTAGGTCTTGTCGTGACCTATCCTGCGGACTCGACCATGCACTACCAGAGGTCAAACCTCGTGCTCCTCCCGGGTACTAACCCGAGCGATGAGGTGCGTATTGTGAGGCTTCGATGGCCTGCAGCGTGCCCCTGTCGGGCTGGCCGCCAATAATGCGCTGAAGCAGCCCTCTCGCAGGGCTCGCTTAGCCTGACCGGAAGCCGACTCCATCTATCGAGCTGCAATGGTTGTTGATTGCGTGCAGAAGGATGAAAGCGTCGTCGGAAGCTGCATCACAAATTGGGCGAGTCTATTCGTACGTTACTATGTAAAGAGCACCAACGGGGGCGAAGGCGGGCAAGCTTGCGATGCAAGGAAGCGGGCCCTCCCACGATGGCTCGAGGCCCCTATGGCCTCGTTGCACCGGCACGGCCAACGACCGATGTCCTTTGGAACCTGGAACCCAGCTCGCCCAGGTCTGCCAGGGCGGAGGCTCTGGACAAAGAGTCCAGGCGGTCGAATAGGGCGGGACGTGCAGGTTCTGGAACCCCCAAGCCATGCAGCGGGGTCCCCTCGTTGACGTTACCATGCCTCACCACCAGAGGGACACCCACTGACCTAATGACAAGCCCCCCCATGAAAGTTTCCCCCCGGAACCTCCACCCACAAAACGGGCCTCGAGCCCTTCCGTCCATTCGTTTTGTCATTGCCCTTTCCGGTCTTTCCCGTGATTTTGTCCCCCTCCTCCCATCAGGCCTTTTCTTTCTTTCTTTTTCCCCGGCAAACACACGGCGAAACCTTCCTTACGCAGTAATACGCGGCGTATCAGGCACGCGGGATCTTCGAGGGCACCGAAACGCGCGAATCATGGTTTGCAGCCTGCAGATCGCCAATCAATTGAGTCACGCGCATCGCTAAACAATCGCGGGGTTGTCCCGGGCTCTGGTGCATCGCTTGCAGCCGCCCTATGCGCCTTGCCCGCCTTGCCTATGCCCGCCATGGACGACGCTGCCCGCCTCGTGTTGGAGCTGCGAGATCGGCTGGCCGAGCTCGATGGGAAGGTGGCCGCCTACCAGCGGGATATGCTCGCCGAGTTCCACCGTCATATGGACGAGTGTCTGAGGAAATACCCGGACGACGTCTCGAGCGAAGTATCACGCACCGTTACCGCTTCGGTATTCGCGGGGGATTACCCGTCACTAAGCCCCTCGCATCTTCGCGACGCTTCTAGACCACCACTGACACTGACAACACGACCGCCGGTCTCTCCGGCCATCGTCAACTCATCAACAAGCCGCGGCACCTGGGGCAGTCCCGGTGGCCGCAAATCCCCCCCACCTATTCTCCGCCACACGTCGGGAACCCCGATGGAAGGCTCACGCAGTCCCCATGCCAGAGAGAAAGAATTCCAGGGCTTATTTACACCGACCTACCTCCCACTGCTCGAGAACGACAGTCGCCGGTCATCTCTCCATTCGCCCCCGATGTCGCCGCCCCCGACGTCCGAAGGCTCGCCGCTGCCGCTGTCGACCGACAACGTGGACAAAGTAAACAAGGCATTGGCAGCCGCCCAAGACCCGAAGCCGCCGGCTCTCACGACCAACTTTGATAACAGGCCGGTGCCGCTGCGCAGGCTGACGGACCGGTCCGAGGCGTCCTCGTCGCTCGAGTCCTACGGCAGCGAGTCCAATATTACGACGACGAGCAAAGGTCGCCGGCGGAGCGCATTGCGGCGGTCGTCTAGCTCGAACAAGGACAGTCCGCGACGCGTGCGCTTCGAGTTTGAGGGCGAGGAGATTTTTCCGGCGTCGTCGTCTCCCCGGACACCGACGGCGATGACGTTCACCGACGAGAGTGGGGCCGCCGAGGCGCAGGCTCCCACTGCGACTGCGACTGCTGCTGCTACCGCTGAGGCTGAGGCGGAGTCACTGGAATTTGCCACCGAACAGGATAACGTTGACAGGGTGCAGGGGAATGGTGATGATGAGTCAATCACATACTCGGGGACTTCTTTGTTGGATGTCGAAGGAGAGGAGGACGCGTTTCCAAAACCAAAAAAGGTTTCTTCGACACAGGCACTACAGGCACTAACCCGGAGCCCGCTAGAGGAGGGCACAACTTGGAGGGTCGTCAATCCAGATCCTGAAGAGGTTCCCCCCAGCAGCATGAACGGCGAGAAAGTTCCAGAACGCCCAAAGGGCCTGACGACGAGAAACGATTCGCAGGCGACGATCCGGCCGAATGGGAATGGGTATAAGGTTGTCGATCAGGATACTAGGGTATACGTCGATGAAGTAGTGCAAGACGTTGACGATGACAGCGATAGCGAGGAAGGGGATGAAGATGAAGAGGAGGATGAGGAGGACTCAGCATCTGAGGACGAGTTTTTGTCTATCCCTATCCGACGCAAACCAACATCACCACCATCAGATCCCGGCGCTCTGCCAGCTCGGCCACCAAATTTGACGCGCCCAACGCTGAAAGCAGCCGAACCAGCACAGCCCCAGCAATCGGAGTCGGCCAGCCTAGACAATAGCGTAGACGACGACCCGTTTTTTGAGTTCGATGATGAAGTCGGCGGACCTTCCAGTTCCTCCCCGCAAAAACACCAAAAATATCTCCCCGACCCCGACTCATCCGACGAAGACCCAACCCCAGGCCGCCTCCGCAAAGCCGCGCGCGAAGAGCAGCAACGGTTACAGCAGCAACAAGCAGGCGGCGATACCGTTTCCTCCCCGTCCGGCCCTACAACCACCAACGCCAAAGCCAACACCAATGCCACCCCCATGTCCCCTTCCTCCGCCCTCTTTGACCACAGCATCGGCTCCTATATGGGCCGCTCCGTAACCATCGCCCCGATCAAGGACGCCAAGCTGTACGATGAAATCGCCGAGATGCGGGACGTGCGGTTTTCGGTCGGCAGTCTGAAGGATGTGACGGGGATTGAGGCTGCCGCGATGGGGAGTTATCGCGCTTCGGCGCCGAGTTTGGCGAGGGATAGTGGGTTTACGCCGAGGAGCTTTTCGGAGCGGTTGGTGTTAGAGGATGAGATGGAGAGGAGGCGGGTTGCGGGGGAAGGGGGGGATGACGAGTTTTAGGGGGTTGATTCGGTTTGGTGGACTGGTTGGTGATAGTGAGTGTGTTGTTTGTTTGGTGTGTTTGTTGGTGTGGGTTGGTGATTGCATTACATCAGGACATGGTAATATGGGAGGTCCAGGGGTCGGAAATACCATCAAGTAGATTTTACGGGTGTGTGCTATATATGTATTAGAGACTGGGCTGGGCTGGGCTGGGCTAGATTTTGCATCGCGACACTATTGTGGGTAGTGTTGTCATCGGCATGATGGGGACTGTCTCAAGTGAAACGGGAATTCGGGGGAGATGGAGTTTTGGGTTAAATGTTTAAGGATGAGGTGCATTCGGCATTTAGGACATGTTCTTCGTTAGTGAGGTCCGTAATTACGATGGGCTTCCCTGATAATCAATGGATCGTGTCCTGATTTGTTTTTGCGTGCTCGTACATATTTATCAATCGAAGTGAAAATGAGGACGAGTTCGAGCTTTGATTTCGAGTTCCAGAATCTCGTCATCAACCGCTCAACGTCACCCCCAATAGTTACTTGGTTTCCCCCTGATGCAAGGGAACCGGCCTGAATCCCAGTTGATCGGCAGCGGGGCTCTCTGCAGCTGTTTTAGGCCTGTCGACTCTCTCTCAGTGTGATGTGAAACAGCCAATGAGCGCACAAGCAACCGTGTCAAACATGCTCGGGGGTTTGTCCTCCGAAAGCGACGGGACAGAACAACGGGACTTGGTCCCGAAGAAAACACCACGTACGCCAATCCGATTGCGATTGAGATTATTATCTGCCTTGTTGCTTGGGGCTCAGATTTTGATTGATAATTCCATGCCCAGACCTCGTGTCGCTGGATTGCGCCTAGTATCCGACGACGCTTGATGCAATACGCCGAAACGACCTCATCTGGTAATCTGGTAATATTACCGGTACCAATCAAGGACTCAACTTCAACATCGAGCTTTGAATTCCATCTGCGTTGCGACAACTTCCTTCGTTCGGCCAACAGCATGACCATCGACGTTGCGTCTAGTTAGCCGCCGCAAACGAGCCTGCGAGACCTCGATCGGTGTGGCCTCGTGCCCCCGACGGACACTATCTGTTCGATATCCAGAAACCCGACCCGAATCGAAAGCCATACCACAGTACAAAGGATGCATCTCCAACCCCCCACCCTCTCCTCCCTCCTCTACCCCTTATTCCTCACCACCCTCCTCCCCCCAACAACAGCCTACACCCCCCTCTCCCCCTCCCTCCTCCAATCCCTCCCCACCCCCTCCGACACCGACTACAACATCACCTCCGGCACGCTCCTCTCCCCCCTCCTCATCCCCCGGGTCCCGGGCACACCGGGCCAAACCGCCGCCCAGTCCCAACTCGCCTCTTTCTTCCGCACCCACCTACCCACATGGGACCTCTCCTGGCAGAACTCCACATCCACCACGCCCGCGACAGGAGACAGGCAGATACCCTTTGCGAATCTGGTGCTAAGGCGCGAACCGCCGTGGACGAAGGCGAGGGGCGTGGGCGCGGCGTCGTATCTGACGCTGGTCGCGCATTATGATAGTAAGATTGAGCCTGAGGGGTTTGTGGGTGCTACGGATAGTGCGGCGCCGTGTGCGGTTTTGATGGATGTGGCTAGGGCGGTGGAGGGGTATTTGGCGAGGATGTGGGCGGAGGGTGATGGGAAGGGGAAAGGGAAAGGGAAGGGGGAAGGGGCTGGGGTTGATGGGGAGAGTGTGGAGGGAGTGCAGATTTTGTTGTTGGATGGGGAGGAGGCGTTTGTTGCTTGGACGGATGAGGATAGTTTGTATGGGTCGAGGTGAGTTTCTTCTCTCCTAGGGGATGGGGTGACGGGGAAAGGCCTGGGGTAGAAATAGATACAAGACCGGGCTTGACTAACGCGGTGTAGGGCTCTCGCGGCAGAATGGGAATCCACGGTACACCCAGCTCGCTCAACCTTCCGGAACCCCATGCAACAAATCAGCCTCTTCGTCCTGCTCGACCTCCTCGGTTCCGCTAACCCCGTCATTCCCTCCTACTTCCAAAACACCCACTGGGCCTACCAGCGGATGGCCGCCATCGAGGGCCGACTCCGGCAGTTCGAGCTTCTCGAGAGCAAGCCGGGGCCTAGCGCCCCCTTCTTGCCCGAGAGCGGCAAGATGGCGACGCAGTTCAATGGGCGCGGGTTTGTTGGCGACGACCACGTGCCGTTTATGCTGCGCGGCGCCCCCGTGCTGCATCTGATTCCCACGCCGTTTCCTAAAGTGTGGCATACTATGGACGATGATGGGGAGCATTTGGATATTGCGACGGTCAAGGACTGGGCGAGGATTGTGACGGCGTTTACGCTGGAGTGGATGGATGTGCAGAAACATGAGCCTGGGGGGGAGTGAGGTTGTATTGAACCACAAATGACGAATTACGAAGTATTTTGAGGCGGCCATGCATTCATTGTGGTTCTGTCCATCCCTTCGCGACTTAGGCGAGAGAGCAGGCCGTCATAGTCCCTACCACCTCACTTCTGAGGGCAACGGGACTCAGCAAACTGCACAAGATGGTTTCGAGAGCATCGATGTCGAAAAGTGCGACAAATAACTGGGGACTCGGCCTGGGTTTTATAGATATGAGGTGGGCCTGGTGATATTTTAGTTTTATGGCTTCGCAGCCTTGACACCTTTTGCACTGCATCAGAGTTTGTAGGCGATTGGGAGTGTTCTGTCATTCTGTCAAGTCAGGCTTGGATCACCTGGTCCTCAACATTGGCCGGCTCAGGGCTTTTCAAGTGAACCACTTGTGGTGGTCAAGTATATCGGTCTTGCCCTGGCATGGAAGCCTTAACTTCATGGATGTATGAGTCAGTGAGTCTACCACACCTGCACAGTACGAGGACTCGGGTTTCACCCCACCGAATTACAGTATGAAATTCTATTTGCACGGCTTTCACACGGTGCACCCACCATACACTGGCGGGGGCGGGGCTGCCCCGAGCGGTCAGCGCGTCAGGTCTCGGCCTTCCCTGGCACCCAACAGTGTTTCGGTGTTTCGGTTGGCATTGAAACATCTCAGCCATCTTCATCTGACAAGACAAAACCCCCAGGCACCAACCGTCTTGGGCATCGCGCTTGATTCTTTCGCCCCATTGCAATTCCTCTGCGCTCTTCGTGTCAATCGACGATAGGATACCCCGCAACCGCCTCGCTCCCTCCAACTTAAGATTCCGAGATCGAGAAACCCCGGGCCCAGCAATCCATCGATCGTCATCGAGCGACTTCCGGAACTGTCTATCGCGGAATATAGGAATATAGTTGCTTGGTAGTCAAACGGTTGCGACATCGCGATCTAGACTTCCACCTTTTATTGCTCAGTAGCACGGAAAGTCGGCTCCCATACATTGCAGAATGGACGGCAAAAGGCACGCTGCGTCATTCCAGCAGCTTGAAAAGCTGGGCGAGGGAACATATGCTACTGTGAGTTTGGAACTCCAAGCGTCTGGCGCTTTTTCACCATGCTCTAGCCCACTACTGACGTTCTGCCTAGGTTTTCAAAGGGAGGAATCGCCAAACGGGTGAGCTGGTCGCGCTCAAGGAGATCCATCTTGACTCGGAGGAAGGGACGCCTAGTACCGCCATCCGTGAGATTTCTCTTATGAAGGAACTCAAGCACGAGAACATCGTAGCTCTCCACGATGTTATTCACACCGAGAACAAGCTGATGCTCGTGTTCGAGTATATGGACGGCGATCTCAAGAAGTACATGGACACCCAGGGTGACAGGGGTGCCCTCAAGCCCCCCGTCATAAAGTCCTTCATGTATCAACTGCTGAAGGGCATCGACTTTTGCCACAAGAACCGAGTCCTCCACCGCGATCTGAAACCCCAGAACCTGCTTATCAACGGCAAAGGGCAGCTCAAGTTGGGCGACTTTGGTCTTGCGCGGGCGTTTGGCATACCGGTCAACACCTTCTCGAACGAGGTCGTCACCCTTTGGTACCGGGCTCCCGACGTGCTCCTCGGCAGCCGCACCTACAATACCAGCATCGATATCTGGTCCGCTGGCTGCATCATGGCCGAGATGTTCTCCGGTCGCCCCTTGTTCCCAGGCACCACCAACGAGGACCAAATCATCCGCATCTTCCGCATCATGGGAACCCCGAGTGAGCGCACATGGCCCGGCTTGTCGCAGTTTCCCGAGTACAAGACCACCTGGCAGATGTACGCAACCCAGCCGCTCAGCAGCATTCTGCCCCAGATCGACCCGGTGGGGATCGACCTCCTCCAGCGCATGCTACAACTCCGCCCTGAGCTGCGCATTTCCGCCGCCGAAGCCCTGACTCACCAGTGGTTCAACGACCTCCTGGTCGGGCAACGTTCGCAGCAACCCCAGGCGCAACCGCAACCGCAGCAGCAGCAACATCTCCAGGCGCAGCAAATGATGCACCCGCATGGTGGTTACCAGCAGACCGTCCCAAGCCAAGGGAATTATGGCGGCTACTAGTTCCAGCAACCGACGCCAGCCTGGGGCGGTTATGTACAACAGCCCCAGCAACCACAACAGCCCCAGCAAACACCGCAACCAGGACCACTCCAACAGCAACAACCGCATACCAGCCAATTTCAACAGCCACAGCTGCCTATACACCCACGCGGGGCTTCACAATACAACGTACAGCTTCCAGGACCAGCCCCCATTGCCCAAGGATCTCGATCAGCCCCGTTGCTAGCGGGTCTTCATTCTAGTCATACTCCTTTTCCCGGCGTTCCCCAGCCGGGTGGGGAACCTTTCCTCCAGCAGCTCCCCAGCGGTTTTGATTTCCCTCTTCCTACTAATTATGGGTATTTCCCCTACCAACAACCCCCCCTGGAGAGTGACAGCTACAGTAACACTGCTGGCTACGGTCATGTGTCAGCCTTGCCCCATTCAAGCCGTTCCCAGCCAATCATGCACCCGTCAGGCCTTCACCAGCCGGGCATTCACCCACCAGCCCCTCCTCCGCAAGGCCTTCACCCGTCAGGTGTTCCCCAGCCAGGTCTTCATCCGCCAGCCCCTGTCCCGCCAGGCGTTAATCCGCCAGATGCCCCCCAGCCAGGCGTTCAACCACCAGTCATTAACCCGCCAGCCGTTCGGCCGGAACTAACGACCGCCAAAATGCCGCTGAATCTTTTGCTTCAGCCCTGGTCACCCCCCAGCGACTACCGTGGTGGCGGGACTATTGTTTGGGTTCCGGGCCGGGGCCAGAGCCGTGGTCGTGGTCGTGGTCGTGGTCATGGCTGCGGCCGTGGCAACAACGCTGGGACTAGTAATGACAATGCTGGGACCAGTAATGACAACACCCGGTAACGGCAGGATTATGCAAGTTCCTTCGTAAGCAGTGGGAGGGGATCGTGTGCGTTATATCAGGTCGTGTCTTTTATCTTCATTGAGTGAGTTTCCGGAAATGGGTAATGGGATTCGGGTGGTAGGTGCGGGGAGTTCGGGTGTCATGGATAGAAGTGCGGTTTCTTTTCCTTTTGTGTAGCGTAGAGGGGGTGTCCTATATCATTGACATGAATGTCAGAACACAGGGGGAGGGTTGTAATGAAAAGACGGTCGGCAATGGATGGTCAGCGAAATGTATTTGAAAGAGGGTACCCGGTATAGGAATTGTTTTACATGATAGTTCTTGAAAAGAATCACGACTCGTGAGCCATAATTAATACTTCGGGGATGATTGTGCACATGTGGAATGTTGGATGTGTCGTACATTATATCGCATACATGCATAAACGCCCTTCTTCACTCTAACGAGATCCCCGAACCTAAGCTCTCCACGTGACCCACTTCCGCGGTCTGAGGTTGTTTCCCTGAGCGCGGAATCCCTGCTGCAGCCTTGGCTTCATTCGTTTAACTACCTTCAACGTCGAACTCCAATCCTTCCCAAAACGAACAAACAACGACCGACGATTAACGACCGGAACCGGTATCGCATATCGCCACCTTCGACTGACCGATCGCTTGCACGAAAAAGTGTCGGAAGAAGAAAACGAAACGAACGACCGGAAAAAATATCGGAACGGCGACGATTTGTAACTGTGGTGCATCGGAAATGGGCAATACCCATTTCCCACCACCATAGGTTGTCATCCCCGACTGCGCCTTTCTAGGGCTGTTAGCCACGGCTTTTTTTCTGCGGTGTACGGATTGAGGCCACGAACGACAGCGCGAGCGAGCGACTCAAAAAGCGATTTTGATCGCGGCAATCACGCCCGCGCTATTCTGAGATGGCGACGATGGATTCCACCAAGGGTATGTCTATAGCAAGGGCAGAGTGATGGCGCGATAGTCGCAGCACACGCGCGTCTTTCCCCTCGTCTTGGTTCCCCTGATTGAGCGAGGAGAACGCAGACTATGATTATCGTGTCTGCTTATATTGACGATACTGACTAATTCACCCCGCACAGATGACGAGGCTACCATCAAGGTCGCGTCGACCAAGAAATCTGTCACTCCGTCGCGGCCCGCTCGGTTTGGTAAGATCAAGCTGAAGAAGGCGCCACCGAAACAGATTAAGCCAGGGAATTGGAAGGAAGGGAATATTATTGAAGGTGCGCAGTCGCGATTTGAGACCTGCATTGGTAGGATGTCTGAGGACGGGTACTAACCTATACACGGCGCAGAAGACAAGAAAAAAGCCAAAGACAACGCCATCATCGCCTCATCACCCAGCCCCGTCACCGTCCAACTCGACGATGCCTCGCGCGAAAACTTCAACACCGGGCGCCCGCTCGAGGATCTGCTCGACATGTTTCAGTGTAAGCACTGTAAGAAAGTCATTACGCGGTCTGCCGGTACCGAGCACGTCGCGCGATGCCTCAAGATTAAGAAGGAAAAGGCTCAGCGCAAGAAGGAAGCTCGGGAGGCCCGCGAGCGGTTGAAGGAGGCGGCCCGGGAGGAAGAAGCGCGCAAGGCTGAGGGGGATGGGGCGGGGCGGGACGATGATAGTGACGATGACGACGACGATGGCAAGGATGGGAATGGGGGCAAAACGGCTGGCAAGGCGAAGAAAACGAGTGTTGCGGGCAAGAAGAGGAAGGCGGACGGCGACCTGGAGAAGGGCAAGGCGAAGAAGAAGAAGGACGAGCCCAAGCCGAAGGCCGCCAAGCCCAAGGGTCCCGTTGACGTGGAGCGGCAGTGTGGTGTGCTGCTTGCCAATGGCCAACCGTGCGCGCGGTCTCTCACCTGTAAGAGCCACAGCATGAGCGCCAAGCGGGCTGTACCGGGCCGGTCTTTACCATACGACATGCTGCTCGCGGCATACCAGAAGAAGAACCAGGCCAAGCAGCAGAAGGCCGCTATTGACGCCAATGCGCCCCTTGAGGACGAAGACGAGGCGAACCAGGGCGCGGTCGACAGCGACGAGGAAGCGGCCGCGGTTATGAGCGCGCTGGCCAACTGGAACCCCCAGCCGGTCGTCCCGCAGCCCGTGTTCGCGCCGACCAAGCGACAGTACCAACTGGCGCGTCTCCACGAGCAACTACAAACGGCCACTAACGGCGGTCGTGTCAATATCTTCCAGGTGGTTGGCTTCGGCGCCCAGCGGCTTCCGGACGGCCATCCGGGACTGTACGAGCAAGAGGATGCGTCGGGTGAGCCGGATCCGGCCGTTCTAGGCAGCGCAGCAGGAGGTGGAGGAGGAGGAGACTTCTCACGACGGTCGTCCAGTTTCAGTCTTGCGGGCGCGGGCGCGCCGCAGCGGCGGCCGTCAGTCACAGGACGAGCGTAGAGTGCTCGGTCTTTTAGTGTGCCGACGGCCCCCGCGTACCGGCGGCGCCAATCGATCGGCTCGGCCGAGGATATTCTAGACATCGTGGGCATACACGGTACTGCTGCCGCTGCCCAGGAGTATGACAACCGCCTGAAAATGCGGGTAGAAGAATATCAACAACGCCATGCGGCCATGCAGGAAGCGCTGAGGAAACGGTTCGTGCAATATCAGAAGCAACAGGCTCGTCTGGCTCAGCAGCAGCAGCAGCAGCGTAGGCGGGAGGCGGCCGAGAGACAGCGACAGGCTGAAGCAGAGCTGCAGCGTCAGCGGCAGCGGCAACAGCAGCAAGCCCGACCGCAGAAGGGGAGAAAGAAGCAGCCGACGCAAGAGCCTGCGGAAGAGCCGGAACAGGAACAGAGGCAGACGAAGTCGAAGCAGCAGCGCAACACCGCACAACAAGCCGTCAGCCCAGAGCAGCAGTACCAAGAATTGCAGCCCCAACAAGGGAGCCAGGCTTTGTCAACGCAAGCGTTACGGGAACATGCCTACCACCAGCGGATGTTAGCTCGCGCCCAGAATCAGATTGCGGCTGTCCAAGCGGGCCACGCCGGCCACGTCAACCACCCGGCGCATCTGGGTCTCGCCGGGCACGCGGGTCACATGGGCCAGGCGCAGAACCAGATTGCCGCGATGCGATGGATGCAGCAGAACCTGCTGGCTGGAGAAGCGCTGCGACGGCTGCGACAGCAACAACAAGCTCGAAATCGTGGGGGATCCGACGCTGGGAACGGCTATGTCGTCGACAGCAATGCCGACATCAACACCGACACTGCCGCGTACTCCCGCGCCGTCGCTCGCTCCCAGGCTGAAGCCCTCGCCCGGGCTCAGGCACATGCGGGAGCACAACTACAAGCCCAGGCACAGGTCCAGGGACAGGCACAACCGAACTCCCCAACACACCAAGCACGAGCACTTGCACGAGCACAAGCGCACGCGCGAGCACTTCGGACCCTACGGATTCAACAGGCCGCACAGCAGAACTCGCCAACACACCAAGCACGAACACTTGCACGAGCACAGGCGCACGCGCGAGCACTCCAGGCCCTACATGCCCAACAGCGTGACTCGTCGTCGCAGCTCACTGCTCCTCCCTATCCCACGGGCCCCATGAACGCGGCCCTGGCTACCGCCGTGGCGATCGCGGGCCCGCATAACCTGCGGCCGGTGGTCTCCCCGGCGCTGATGCCGATGTCCCTAGCAGCAACAGCAGGGGCAGGGGAAGCCAGGAGGAATAGCCTGGTCGGCATGGCTAATATGGCCAGGGGGTCTACCTCTGCCGCTGATGTTTCCGCTACCACGACGTCGAATATGGGTCCCCCTGCGATGGCCAACCGAGCGGTGATGACCCCGATGGGGCCGAGGATTGTGACGGCCGAGGCTTGGGCGAGAGCCGGGAACAGATTCGGCGTGAATGTGGGGCCGGGAATCCCGCAGTTCTATGCCAACACGGGCGCGAGCATGAGGGAGTGGCAGAGGCAGCAGCACCTCCAGCAAATCCAGCAGAGGCAGCAACAGGGTCTTACGAGCTCCGGGTTGGATGATCATGCGGATTCAGGGTATGGGGGGTCGATGTCCGTGGCCGGGGGGGTAGTCGACGAGTCCACGGCCCCAATAGGCACGCCGTCGATGGAGCCGAGATCCATGTCCATACCGGCATCGATGCCCTCGCCACGGGCTACTCTTGGACAGGCTCAAGGGGGTGGGGTTAGGGTTGCTGGTGAAGGCACGAACACGCGCCTATCGGCATCGCCCATGGTATCCGGATCCCGTCCGATACTTTTACCACGGACCCAGCAAGCGCCCGCGTCTCCGAGGGTATCTGCTTCAGTAGTGCCTACATCAGAGGTACCCGCACTAGAGGGACACGCATCAGAGGTGCTTACATCAGCGGTGCCTGCATCAGCGGTGCCTGCACCAAAACTGGCATCCACAACACCAGAACAGGTGCCTCCCGGATATGCACCTACCACAACCGCCGAATCGCAGAATCCATTCGCACCGCTTCCTCCCGCAACCGAAAACACCATCGTCGTCCAAACAACACAAACACGAACCAACGATACCCCCGCAAAAACACCCTCATCGCCCGCGGTACAATCGATCTCGCCTCACCCAGCCAGTCTACCGCCAAAGCCCCCGCCGGTCGTGGCCGCAGCTGAACCATCGGCCGCACCGACGTTGTTGTTTCCTTCGTTGTCGAGTCCTTCTCCGCAGGAGGGATCGGGGCTATAGGGTTCTGATCCTGCTCCGGGTGGGATGGTGCATGGGATAGGGCTGGGTCTGTGGGGGTGAGGCTGGATGATGGGGTATGATTTGTGGTTGTGGGGGGTAGCAGGCACATAGGAAGTAGAATCCCGCGTTATTACTTACGCCTAGCCTACTCTGGGGGTGTTGATATTCGTGGGAGGTTTGATATCCGTGGTCAGGGAGCAGGTATCACTTATCAAGTCAGGGGGTTTATCAGAGGGGACAGGAGCGGGATGAAGGGTGGGGGCGAATAATGGGGGTGAAGGAACGCGGTCAACGAAGGGGATGAGTGCTAGGGGTTTTGCTTTCTACGTACCGGGTTGGGCGTTAGTCGGTCGGTCGGTCGGTCGGTCGGTCGGTCGGTCGGTATGGCCAGGGAACGGACAGGAAGGGAACGGAATGGGACGAAATAGGACGGAACGGAACGGAGCAAATACGGCAGGCGAGGATGAATGTTAGTTATGTGTTATACCCTACTCTGGTCTCTGGTGCAGGCTTTGATATTGTTTTTATTATATTGTACTGCTATTTCTTCTTGCTTGCATGCTTTGACCTGGACCTTTTTCGCTTGGTGTTGTTTGGCGCGTTTGGTTCGGCTCTGGGATTTAGTTACTATGCCTTACTTTTCCTTGTACTTATCACTACTCAGTCCATGGTATTTGAGGCGTTCCATGGTAACGTTCTTTGTGTATTATACGCACATAGCTCAGGTTTGAGAGGGGGGATAAATACATTATTATAGAGCTTTATGGAGGTATGATTGCCGTGTATAAGACTGATTAAGTGAAGCTTGTGTCACCGTTAGCTGCCTGGGTTCAATTCGCATTACGCTTTCCGTCCATTACAGTGGTAGTCATTGGGTAGCCTTCTTCCTCGAGAATGGCCGACATGTGAAGATTGGGATTCCGAGAGAGGGTTAGGGTTGTGTACGCATTTGGATTTGGACAACCAGCTCTTGGATCATGACCAAGAGAAACGATCTGATGGATAGCGTTTGCACAAAATTGATTGTACATATGCTATTCCTACTGGTTACCAGTCTTCAAAGTCCCCTCAGCAGCATCTGCACGACATTGCAGTCCTTGGCCTCGAACCCCTGGCACAAAAAAGTACCCAGCCATCGAGACGCGGGATGACGTCGTTGGTGCAGGGCATCTCGATGCGCCTCGGCTCAAGGCCGGGTCTGTCAACGGGCTGAACATATTTCGACAAGACAACCACACTTGATGGGTATTTTATGACAATTCGACGCGAAATGAAGATATAGAGAGTGAGATTTATCGACATTCCATTTCAAGGAGTTTCTTCTCAACAATACCACTGCCTCGCCTAGTATTCCCATCTTTACTACCCAGCGGTTTACCTCGGCAATACTCAAACTCACTCTACACCAACACCAGACATCACAACCACCAACCACCAAATCAAGACACACAAACACCATGCCCTCCACACCCAACCTCCTCCCCGCCCTAGGGCACGCCGCCTCCGGCGCAGCCGGCACCGTCGTCTCCACAGCCGCGACCTACCCCTTGGACCTAGTCAACACGCGACTCAAAGTGCAGCGGCAGCTCGCACGGGACGGGAGCATGGATGCGGCAGACGCGTATGAGGGTGTACTGGACGCTTTTGGAGCGATATACTCGAGGGAGGGAGGGGTGAAGGCGTTTTTTGCGGGACTGGGGGCGGACGCGGGGAAGAGTGCGGTGGATAGTGGGTTGTTTTTTTTATTTTATACTGTGAGTTTCCTCTCTCCGTCCCTGCTTGGTTCCTTGTAGAGGTTGTCTTGTGTGTGGGTTTGGGGGTTGTGGTAAGGGTGGCTAACGAAGTCTAGTGGTTCCGCGCGCGTCGGCTGGCTGCACACAAGAGTGTGCCGTACCTAGGCGTGGCCGAGGAACTCGCCGTGGGCGCGGCTGCGGGCGCATGTGCGAAATTGTTTACTACGCCGGTCAGTAATGTCGTGACGCGGCGGCAGACGGCTAGTTTGCTGCATTCTTCTTCGTCTTCGTCGCCGTCTTCTACCATACAACCCGAAACCGAAAAGTCTGAACCCGAAGCTGGAACCAAGTCGGAAGCCGAATCAACAACCACACCTCCACCCCAGCCCACCGACCTCACCCTCACCCAACACCTCTCCGCCCTCCGTCGAGAGCGCGGCCTCCGCGGTCTCTGGGCCGGCTACTCCGCCAGTCTAGTCCTAACCCTCAACCCGAGCCTGACCTTTTTCCTGCAGCAGGCCATACGACGGGTGCTACTCTCCCGCGGCCAGGGCAAGCGTAATGGGGATAGCGATAGCACAGATGACTTGAGCGCGGCGACGACATTCTTCTTGGCGGCGGGGAGTAAAGTGGTTGCGACGGCTGTGACGTATCCGTTTTTGGTTGCTAAGGCGAGGATGCAGGTGTCGGCGGGGGGCGGTGCTAGTACGGAAGATGATGGGGAGGATAAAGGGGACGGTAAAAAGAAGAGGGGGAATATCTTTGCAACGGTGTGGCGGATTGGCAAGGCGGAAGGGGTATCGGCGTTGTATGACGGTATCAGTGGCGAGCTGCTCAAGGGGTTCTTCAGTCACGGCACGACAATGCTAGCGAAGGATGTCATCCACCGGTTCATTGTGCAGGTGTACATGGCCGTGGTGGCGTTGTTGCTGCGGAATCCGCAGTGGGTGTTGCCGGTCATCACGACGGTGGGTAGGGTGCGTCAGGGGCTGAGGAAACGGGTTGGAAAGGCGTAGGCGTCGTCGTCGTCGGGGACAGGAGGTGAGAAAGGGGGCGCGGTATGTGGAGGATGTGATGGGCGCGGGGAAGGACAAGGCGGTTGGGTTGGTGGGTGTGGTGAAGAGTAATAGCTAGGAAGGAAGGCGGGTAGATATTATGGATGGTACATCACCCTCGGCTCATCTCAACCTCAGCACCGGAACATCACGGCATCCTTCTTGACCTGATTACTCCCCCCCGCCGAGAACCCCGTGCCTTCGCGCCGCAGTTCCACCAAACCCGGCTGGACTTTGTCCTTCTTCCCCGACTCTTTTGCGTTTGCCGTTAAATCCGCCTCACAAACATAACAACGTATTGTCTCGCCCCCCGCCGACGACCTCATGAATTGATCCACGCAGCTCTTGCACAGCACATGTCCACACGGCTTGGCTAGTGTTGCCCGCGACGAATTGGTCAGGCCCTTTTGACAGGCGGGACATATCCTCTGGGGCTTCTTGGTGGTAGAGGAGGAATCGGGCTGCTGCTCCTCGGAAAAGTTGACCGTGATCAGGGTGTGCAGAGAGTAGTGGTGCGGGCTGTCTTCGGCCGAGGCGGGACACACAGGCTGGGTCTTGATCTTTTTCTTGACTTCGTGGAGGGTGTTGCTGGTGTTAGAGGAGGGCGTGACGGTTGGTGCCCAGAAGGAGGGGAGCGTGGGTTTGGAGGACTGTACGGGCGTTAGATCATGGGATGAGGGTGTTGAGCAGAGTATGTGCTTACCTTCTCGTCGTCAATGGCTCGGCGCGCTTTGGACCGCTCCTCTTCCGCAATGCGCGCGACCTCATCCGGATCCAGCGAGAACTTCCGCTTGTCTCCTATTTTCGGCGTATCCTCCACCGTGCCATCCCCATTCCCGCTTCCATTCCCACTCCCACTTCGTTCCCTATTACTATCATCCCGCCCCGGTTCCGTCCTCTCTTTCTCCCTTCTCCCCGTATCAGGACCCCCCCTGTTAATACTCAACCCAGCCTGCGTCAACTCAAACTCCCTCACCGCCCGTTCCCGCGCCTCCGCATCCCTTCTCTCCCCATCCTCCCTCGCCTCTCTCGCCTCGGCCTCACGCGCCCGGTCAGCCCGCTTAATCTCCTTTTTTTGCGCCAGAATATTACTGAGCGCGCATTCGCGACAGAACAAGTCGCCGCGCGTGGCACATGCGACTGGGTCGACGGCGGGCTCGAGACAGAGCCAGCAGGAGGCGAAGGGCAGGAAGGAGTCGCGAGTTAGGCGGGCCGTGGAGGTACCCCAGGCTGCGCGGGCCATGGCGCGCTCGTGGGAGGTGAAGATGGGGCGGGAGGTGTTTCTTTTGCCTGGGTTGTTAGTTTTTTTTCTCTTTCTTTTGCATTTGTTTTTTTTTGTATGTAGGCAGTTCCGATGAGATGCAATACAATAAAACATAAACATCAGACTTACTGTGCGCCATTTTGTTTGATGTGCGATTACTTAACAAGTTGGTGATAATTGAGCTGGATTCAAACAATTCAAACAAAAGTCGGAGGTTCAATTGCATGTGCTCCGGCAGACCAGCTCAGAGCTCCAGCAAAGCGGACCGTTTCCCCACAGCCCCACGCCGGCCAGGGTCACTTAACGCCATGGCCCTTGGCGCGACCCCCTGCAGCAGTGAACCCCTCCTGTAACCAACACAAAAAAAGGCGGTAACTTACCGCCCCTCAGCGAAACCGAGAGGTTACTCTCAACCCCATGTGCTGTGGGACCCGGCGGTGATTCGGCTGAAGAACTTCCAACTCTCGATCTTTTTTCTTCTTTTGTTTTTTCCCTCTCCTCTCGCCCGAGGCCATGAGCCCAACTTGTGCCCGAGGATCTGCCCTCCGCCGCAGTTCAGAGCTCAGTGGGCCAGGAAAGGACCAAGAAAGGGGATCATGTGAAATCCCGCGCGGCCATTTCTAAACTTTTTATTCGGCTTTCACAAGCCCATCTTTAATTCTTTTATTACCCACCCTACCTTTAGTTCCCTGCCCCATCCGGTAACGGCCTCACCACGGCGATGGCCACGCCTGCGCCCATCCCCGGGGTCGGGCCCCAGCGGCCGAGTCTGTCGCTGCGTCTCAAGGCGGCCATGATCATGGGCGCTACCGGCATCTTGTCTAAAGCCTTCCTGTACGGGCTCAACCGCGTGGAAGTGAACGGGCTCTCGCGCTTCCTGGACATTCTCGACAGTCGCAAGGACCCGGCCAAGCGCGAGCGCGGACTCTTGACCGGTGCGGTACCCGTGTTTTCTTCACCATATTTCGGGAGGAATAGCAGTAAAATAGTAGTTGAACTTGCGCTGACATGACATCCTACCGTAGTCTCGAACCACGTCAGTGTGTGAGTTGCGCCATGCCGTCCGTCCGATTCCTTACGACCGGCCGAGCACCCTCTACCGTAACCTGGGACTTATAAAACCGCTGCTTTGTAGACTCGACGACCCCGTGGTCTGGGGCATCCTGCCCTTTCGCTACATCATTGACCCCTCCAACCTGCGATGGACCCTCGGCGCGGCCGACATCTGCTTTGCTAACAAGTAATCTACCTTTCTCCTGAGATTTTTCTCCCACTTGTGCCCGCTGGCCGTTCCCGCTAACACTTCCCTCGCACTAGACTCTTCTCCAACTTCTTCACCCACGGCCAAGTCCTCCCCTGCCACCGACTCAAGCACTCCCCCTACGGCGGGCCCTTCCAACCAGCCATCACCCAAGCCCTCGGCCTGCTCTCCAAACCCTCCTTCGCCTCCTCCACCAACCTACCCTTCTCCCGACCACCACCAAACTCCGACGGAACCTCCGACGGCCAGCTCCAACACCACCCAGCCTACTACACCACCACCGGCCGCGACCTCCACCCTTCACCACTCTCCTACCCCCTCCACCGCCGCTACAGCTGGGTCCACGTCTTTCCCGAAGGCTGCGTGCACCAGCACTCGGGCTGTGACCTGCGCTACTTCAAATGGGGTCTGGCCCGCCTCATCCTCGAATCCGACCCCGTACCCGATGTTCTGCCCATGTTTATAGACGGCACGCAGCACGCGATGCCCGAAGACAGGGGGTTTCCACGGTTTTTGCCGCGGATTGGAAAGACGGTGCGCGTGACGTTTGGGGAGGTGTTGGATTATGAGGCGACGTTTGGGGATTTGAAGAGGAGGTGGGATCGGTTGGTTGTGAGGGAGAGGGAGAGGGAGAGGTTGGCTAGTAGGGGGGGTAGTAGGAGCTGGAAGGAGATGTTTACGTTTACTTCGGGGAAAACACCAAAACCACCATCACCACCACCCTCCCCCCTACCAACGACTCCTTCAACCACGTCCCTGGACACCCCCTCAACCACCCCCACCCCCTCAACCACCGAAACCTCCCTCTACCCCCCTCCAGACCCAACCTACCACGACACGACCCTCCCCCCAACCCTGCGCAACGGCCCGGAAGCCCAAGAAATCCGCATCCAAGTCGCGCTACGCATGCGTGACGAGATCTTGAAGCTGCGCCGGTCTTTGGGCCGGTACCCGGACCCGGAACCGTCGTTTGGCCTCGCCGAGACGTGGCGCGAAGATGGGGGGATTGAGGCGAAAAGGTATAAGAGTCGGGTTGATGGGAGTGATATTGGTCAGGATTGATTATGGACATGGACATGACTAACTGGTCGGGGTTGGTGGAGAGGGTTGGGGGCAAACGTTGGGGGCAAACAGGAGATGGGATGTGTCTTCAAGTTGGTTGAGGTGCGTGGGGTTGAAAAAAGGACGTATATATAGGCTGATAGATGGGGAAGATGTTAGACAAAATGTGTGTGTAATTTGTGTATATGCGCTGCATGCAGCAAGGTAGAGCGTTGTACATGCTACCAAAATGAGAGAGTCATCTAGACCTTGAGAAATTGAGAAAGAAAGGTGTCTGTTAATCAGTGTTTGTTTGACGTTATTCCAACCGCCCTTTTCATGTTGATAATATACATGTATGTGTCAACCAGGTCTAACCAAGGACCATCATGTGCTATATGCCAGATGCTACATCTCCCTGTGCCATATGCTACGGCTAAATAACCCAAACTCCTATCCCCTGTGGTATCTATGCGCCTGCCTGTACTGTACACCTTACATCAACCCCCCATCACCAATCACCCCCCATCACCAATCACCCCCCATCACCAATCACCCCCCATCACCAATCAAACCCCCATCATCCCTCCCTATTCACACTCTTCCTTAACTCCCAATGTCGATTCTCTCACAAACCCCGCCAACACCCTCGCCTGCACCATTCCCAAATCCCTCCACGCCGTCTCCAGCATCTCCAGCGCCCACTCCCGATACCTCCTACAAACCCCCGGCGCGCACGCCGCTACTTTCACCTGGAACAACACCGTCGGCACCCCCGGTAGCCCCAGCACCGCGCCGGGGTTGGTCTTGTCGAAGCAATCCCAGTGTTTTGGCTCTAGTTTCGGGTGGCGGTAGTGGGTTGGGACGGAGACTAAAGTGTCACGCGCGAGGTGGGTGATCAGGTCGCGGGCGAGGTGTTGGTGGGACGGGGGCAGGAGGGTGGTGGATGTGATGGGGAAGCGGGTAGCGGCTTCGAGGAGGAGTTGGTTGGTGAGGATGTGCGTCCAGCGGTAGTGGTTCCAGGCGCGGGCGATGTAGGTGTTGGTGTAGATGTGGTAGGAGTTATCGAAGACGGTGCCGGGGGGAAAGAAGGGGGGATCGATGTGCTCTTCGGTGAAGGCCCAGGGGGTGTTGTCTTGTTGTTGGGCCCAGGATTTGAGGGATAGGTTGATGTCGAGGGCTTCGCGGATTGTGTCGGCTGTTTTGGGGTGGCCGTCGAGGAAACGATGGCTGCGGAGGCCGGTGGAGAGTTGGACGAAGCGGGCGATGATCTTGACGAGTTTGGCGGAGGGTTTGTCTTCATCGGAAGCCATCTGGTCGATGGCGGCTATCCAGCCGAAAAGGGCTGGCGGTAGCGGGTCGCATTGCGAGTCAATATGGGTGGGGATCAGGACGTTGGGTTCTGAAGAGGAGTGCTGGGTCGAACTCTGTTTCGAAGACAGCGTGGAAAAGCATAGTTGTAGAAGGGCGCGGGGCCCCTCGGACGGTAATTGTGGTGCGGGGAGTGCATTTCTCAAGATAGCGGCGGCTCCCATGACGTGTATGCTTCTGGCTGGTCCATCTGTGCCAGCAATAACCTGCAAGAATAAATACTCTGCATCAAACAGACTCGAGTCCAGCGCAAAGAATCTCACCTCATACATGGCCATCATGACCACGGTCCGCATGACCATCTCCAATTCCACACTCCCCACGTATCGCACCGCACCCGCCATCCGCTGTAGAGCCAGTCCGTAGTGGTGCTTCGCCAGGGTGCTCATCTCCTTATCGTCGGTGAGATTCGACATGCCGGCCATCCCAACGGCCGCCAGGATATCCCGCATCCTAGGCGAGTGAACCCACGGCACCTCCTGAAGTTCATGGCCTGCTCTGGGCTCGTCTGGGAGTCCTATGACATAGCGGTCGACAAAAAACCGGATGGCCTTGTCCACGGCAGTCGGGCCAATCTCCAGAGTGAGTCCCCTACTTACGGCCGGTTTTCGACTATCACTTGCTGTTACGGCGGCTGGTGGGGGCGCTGTAGATTCTGGGATCGGCTCCTGGTTCCTTGTTGAGTCGGGTGGGGAGGACGAAGAACTGGACGATTCCCAGGTCTCCGACTGCCACTGGGCCTGGGCCTTTTGCATCACCTTGGTGCTCTCATCCCGGAACATGAGGGAGAGCGGGTCTCGATAACCGGGACATGTCTTGCGAACCCGTACGCATTGTGTACATTGTGGTTGAACTCTGTCGCACTGGTTTGGCGGTCAGCACGAGATGTAAATGTCATTAGATGAGTATGACGGAAGGCTGAGACGGATCTCAAAGAAACAACAAAACAACAAGGCAACCATTCACAACGCCGACACCGTTTCGTTCAACCGGACAATCCGGGTGTGATTGAAAGATCTCGTTCGAAACATGTCTCCCACGTGGTGTACTATAGTACATGGTAAGAAATACTACCGAAGAAAAGGCTGACCTTGATTCGTCGGGTCCGGCAATTCTGGCAGCCCTTCGAAGCCTTGCCGCAGTAAACCATGGCTGATCCCACCCAGAGGCATGGGAATGAATGGTAGCCAAGACGGGAGTTCAATTCGTTAGGCGCGTTGTCATCGATGCAGATAGATAGTTTGGTACGGGTAACGTTGTTTCCCCTGAGAGCTGAGAGGATCGTGAGATGGGAGAGTTCAGTTCACCGCGGAAACGATCTCGATTGCCGGCCGGTAACGGCTGAGGCTTGTTCTCTGCATCCCGCAGGCGCTCAGCGGCCGGTAGGTCGTTCGCATTCGGTTCCGCAAGGGGTTCGCGCCAGTGTCGGGAAGGCTAGCCATGCGATGCAGGAGCATGCCGCTCTTAAGCCACTCGCCCGTTGCCTGTGGAGGTGGATGGGTCTGGCGTTCGTCTGATTACCCTAGCATTACCTGGTTGGCGGGGTAGTTAAATTTAGTTAGTTCCTGTCTTGCCTGTCAAGCCTGTCTCAAAGGCCTGGGGCTTGATTTCCCTTGGGCCGTCGACAGCAAGGGTTGAAAACAAAGAAGGGGGTGAAGCCCTGTTTTCAGCTGCCCAGCTCAGCTACCTAATCTACTATGTAGATTTCAAGTGACGATTCAGCGCACAATTCTCAGAATCCACAAAACATGAGGGCGGCAAGCGGGAATGTTCTCAACTCCTATGAAACAGCTAGCAAAGAAGGGAATGGGGCCCAGCGAGTCCAGCTTGGGAAAAGCCGGGCGCACTCGTGCAAATGAGCTGATCGGCGCGGAAGTGAGAGGATTCTCGAAACATGGCGTGCGTCCCCCGTCACCGGTCCCCAAGCAAGCTTGATTGGGCACGTGACGGGGAGCCTCTCCAGCTGCACGACCCCACCAAAAAGCGCCCCACCTTAGCCGGCCGGCCCGGCTTGCCTGGGCATTGTCAACATGTTTTGGCCCAGCAGGAACATGCCGTTTCGCCGTCATCTCTGTCTCCAGGCTCATTGCCCTCTCTACTTTTTGTAAGCTAATTAGGATTCATCGCAGCATCCAGGATACATGTTCACCTCGATGCTCATGAGGCCCCGACTTCGTCCGAGTTGCTTCAAAGCGCTCGATTCGGGTTGGTGATGATTACATAATTCCCTAGCTCCTTCCGTCTTTAGTGTAGAAACAACGAACAAACGGGACATCCTCAACCGGACAAACAATGCGTATTTCCGAAAACGAAATTTAACTACCATTTTCGAACGTTGAATCATTCTATAATACAACCGGGGCCTAGGGAATGCGTATTGGCGAAGTTTATGCCTCTTCAATGTCATGAGGATCGAAGTGAGAACCCCACATCCTCACGTTACTCAGCCCGGACCCCGAATTGAAACTCGCGGGGCCATGGCGCCGAAATTATATCGGCCAACATCTAGCCACATGGATCGCTCACGAGGGCAAGACTTGGCCCAACTAGATGTAGGACTTGCCGGTTCTAAGAGCATGGAGTGTAGTTAGAGAGAGTTTTCTTGAGCCAGAGTCAACGAGGCCCCTCCGCAGGTCACTCGACCGTTTGTGCCGGATCTAATCAACATCTCTTGATTTTCTTGCTTCTACTACCTGCCCATACATGCACCGCATTTCTTCAAAAGGGAAGAAAATGCATTCAAGAACCCCATCATGCCTACCGAAGTAGTAAAACCGTGAAATGAACTCAATCCTTTGTTGCAGCCTGTCAAACGTGCAGTGATGAGCTGCAGTGGCAAGCCCAAGCCCGGCGCCAAGACCTGGAGGTTCCGTGCTCGTTTTGTGTGGGCCTGAACTCGCCCAAATCAATTTTGAAGTGAGCACCACCACAGTTTCGCGATTTCGGATTTCGAGGCTGCGCAAAGCAATAACGCCACGAGCTTCTCCTTCCCCTTCTGCCAAAACTCGACGCCGAGAAAATTTCCCACCCCCGGCAGGACAACCGCGCTCCTCCCCAGAATTTTCTTTCACTCATCGACTTCGCCACACTCTGTTCGCGCCTACCCCCCGGTCCTTTGAGCGCGATCAGGTAACTGGTACCTGACGAAACCCTCCGTTGATTTTCTGAGTCTACGGGGTGAGTTTCTCCCAACCTTCTGCGAACCGACATCCTCCAATGCCACGTTGGATCTATTTTGAACTCTCGCTGAACCCTCTTTCTTGCTAGCCGTCTCGTTCCTCCTACAATCGATCGATCAAACCGACCGACCGAACGAACCTTGGTGCTTTTCCCCTCCAAGACAAAAACACTATACCCCCACCTCACACGCGCCGAATTCCGGCATCCCGATTCTTGGACCGCCTTTCCTGCTCCCCGTCGTAGAACAAAAGTAGCAACCATGGCGACGAACGGTAATCTTAATCACGACCAGCATGTCGCCGCTCCGGCGCAGACAACAGAGGTCTCGGCAAGCGCCGAGGCCACCAACAGCCCGCTGCCCAAGGACGAGGTCGGCTGGTATTTCGTTGAGCAATACTACACCACCATGAGCAGGTCACCCGATAGGCTGCATGTGAGTGTTTCTGAAGCGTCGCCAATCCTGTTCTGGGCATCACATTGACGCTTTGGGGTAGTTGTACTACGGCAAGAAGGCGCAGTTCGTTTGCGGTCGCGAGGCGGAGGTTGTGAACGTTTCCTTTGGCCGTCAGGTGAGTTGCCGATCCCGACCCGATTCGATTACTCTCGCTGCAAGTCAATACTGACGTTGTTATCCCCGAACCAGTCCATCCAAGAGCGCATTAAGGGCATGAACTTCCAGGACTGCAAGGTTCGCATCTCCAATGTCGACACCCAGGGCTCCGAGGAGAACATTCTCATCACCGTCATCGGCGAGATGGCCAACCAGGATGGCGAACCCAAGAAGTTTGTTCAGACTTTTGTCCTCGCCCAACAACCCTCCGGCTACTTCGTTCTTAACGACATGCTGCGTTTCCTTAACGAGGACGTCGAGGAGGACGTCGAGGCCGGCACCGCCGAGGAGTCTTCGGCCCCCGTCGAGATGCCTGCCGCTCCCGAGCCCGAGTCCAAGGCCGAGGTTGTTGCTGCCGAGAAGGCCGCCGAGGAGGCTGCTGAGAAGGCTGCCGGTGAGCCGGAGGCTGCTCTGGACACCCAGGCTGTGGATGAGAAGCTGGAGGCTACCGAGGAGACCCCCGCCGTCCAGGAACCCGCCGCTGCTAAGCCCGCCGTCGAGGTTCACGAGGCGGCTCCTGAAGAGCCCAAGGCCACGACCGATGCTGAGAAGGCTGCCGAGGAGATCGCCGAGGAGGAGGCTAAGAAGCCGGAGGAGCCCAAGGACCCCGCGCCCACACCCGCCGCGGCCCCCGTCCCAGTCCGTGCGGCCGCCGCCGCTCCCGCGCCTGCGCAGCCCGAGAAGCCCAAGGGCCCCCCTAAGCCCATGTCGTGGGCGAGCCGTGTCGCTGCCGCTGCCACTGTCGGCGCGCCCAAGCCCGCTGTCCCCGCTGTCAAGGCCGCTACACCCCCTGCCCCGGCTCAGACGCGTGCTCCGGTCCCCGCTGCTCCTCAGCAGGCCGCACCGGCTGCTCAGCCTCAGGAGAGCGCTACCGCGCCGGCCGCCCCTAAGGACCAGGGCAGTGAGTGGCAAACCGCTGAGACCAAGCGCCAGAGCCGCGCCCAGCCCCCCGCTGCTGTTCCGTCGGAGAAGGAGGGCACCATGGCGTACATCAAGTACGTCACCGACAAGGTCAAGGAGGAGGACTTGAAGACCACCCTATCCGCTTTTGGCGACTTGGCCTACTTTGACGTCAACCGCCTGAAGGTATGAATTTCCGACAGCCAGACAAGAGTCATGATGGATAATGTGTGGGTGACTGACCTTTTTTCTTCTCATTTAGAACTGTGCCTTTGTCGAGTTCAAGTCCCTCTCTGGCTACACTGCCGCCATTGCCGCTAGCCCCCTCACTGTGAACGGCGAGAGCGTCGTGGTCGAGCAGCGTCGCCCCAAGGCCAACGCCTACGGTGGTGCTAACTACAACACCCCTCGTGGTGGTCCCGGCCGCGGTGGTCGCGGCGGGTACGAGCCCTCTCGCTCCGGATCCCAAGGCGGTGGCCGTGGCGGTTTCACCGGCCAGTCCCGCGGTCGCGGTGGCGGTCCTCGCGGCCGTGGCGCCTCTCAGATCGGTGCTGCCTAGTTGGCAAGCACTGCTTAACGCCTGAGCTGCCTTTGTCGTCCTTCGACTTGCGAGCCTCCCAGTTCTAGGGAAGAAAAACGGGCGCTTCTGACTCGCAAGCGAACGAGCGGGTGGCTGTCATCTTAGGAACATTTTTCATATCGTATCGACATCACACATATGCGGCGGGGGTGGATATCAAACCCGGTGGCTAGGTTGGGTTTGGGTTGGGAGGAAGGTGCGCGGTTTGTTTTTATAAGCGGCACGGAGAATGGAATCGGTGGATGATGATGACGGCGGCGGGGGTGGTGTGTGTAAAGGAAAGGAAAGGGAAGGGAAGGCATTCATTCACATTTGGTGCGTCATGGAGTCAAGGAGGTGGGTGGGGGCGTGCGTGTTCTTACGAATGAAATGGAGGGTCTTTTAGGAACAGGAACCAAAGGAGAAGACAAAAAAGACACACAGGAAAAGGAGAATTGGGGGAAAATATCCCGGCTCCCGGCCTAAAAGATATCACTTTACGCATTGGTCTTTGGGTCTGTTTTGCTTTGCTTTGATTTGATTGTTACTGTCTTGCTTTGCCTGGTTTGATCATTACGCTGTACTGTACTGTCTGTCATGTTTCAACGGACGAGGCCTGTTCTGTCTGTCGTGTTTCCATGGCCAAAGTTCGTCATGTTGGTGTTTGTTTGGCCTCCATTGTACGGGCCTGAAAGTCTATTCCATACGGCTCGCTCCATCCTCGTCTCACTACGGACTACAATGTTACTGTGCTTTCTTCCGTGGGTTGGTTTCCCGCCTATTTCTACTTAATCACTTAGTTATGTTATAGGACAGACGGCTTGGGGGGTTGGATCATAACTGTAGTGCAGGGTTTATGAGAAGGAGAGGGGAGGAAGGTGGTAATGCTGGACTTGGTTGCTTGTTTTCGGGTGTTGTATGTCATGTTTTATGTTATGTTTTGTTCGGTTCGTTTCTCCTTTCGTTGCTTGTTTACTTGAGGGGTGGTGCTGGGGATATGGGGGGAGCGAGATTGGAGAGGGGGAAAGGGGGGTAGGGGAATGGAAATAAGAAACGGTAGTGAGCATCAATGATCAAGTGATATCGTATTAACTGGGGTATTCAACCATGGGGTTGTGAAAGCCATGGACTACGGAGTCTGGTATATGTTGGACTCTTTGGGGCCTGGTGTATTCGTATACCTAGTGCCTTCGTATTATTGTGATCTAGGGGGAAGTGAAGCCCGGGTATCTAGTGTGGTTGTGTGGTAGGGACTCTAGATGGAGTTGTCTCGGTGGCGGACCATTATTTCTTGTTTCTTACGCTTCTTTCTTGCCCCCCCTTCCTCTCTTCCCCATGCTCGTCTCTGGTCTCTCTGCTCCCGTATTGTGACCTTCCTCCTCTTTGCCCTGAGAGTGAAAGCAGGGACATTTATTGAGGACGCTGGACCTTCGGTCGGAAGAGATGGGGACTGGGTTGTTGAAGTGGTGGGGGATATGATAACTTGGGGGTGAGAGGCCACGGAAGAACGGGGGAAAAGAAGAAGAAGAAAGACAGTGCGTGAGTGGTAATGGGAAGGGGGAATCAGCATGAGAGTGAGAGAGCGGGATCGGAGGGAGACGACGGATATCCCACTTCAGTAACCCGAGTCGACTCGATCGAGGTTAGGCCATGGAGGGGGTCCGTCAACGATGAGAAGGGAAGGGAAGGGAAGAGAGACAGATGTGGAGAGAGGGGAGGGTAGTATCCCACGGGAGAGGTTACCCCATATGAGAAATGGGGAGTGACCGAGTGACGCAGGGAACTAGTGTGACTGGAGTGGAGGGCTCGAGTACAGGTACTATGTAACATGGGGAACGAACGAACGAACCAAGAGTGTTTATCCATTCACAAAGGGACGGGGACAAGCTAAAGAGGGTCCTAAGCCAGACTCGAAGGGGGGTGATGAGAGCGACAGGTCTCGGGGTATCAGAAAAAGACGTTGGGGATATTGGCCGGGAATATCAAGCACGTTACAACGGGAGGACGAGTGATGCTCGAGAGGTGATGGGAGAGGAGCATCGTACCCGATGACGGTGTGTCCGATGATGGCGTGCCCGAGGATGAGACGGTGCGGTGCTTGTTGGGGTGGTAGCTACTCTAGCCATGAGCAGCGGAATCATGACCGCGAAGGATGGATGAGTGGGTTGTGCGAGGCGGATCGTGCCATAGTCTGTGATGTGTGTTGGTTGGTTTCTTTCGTGATCTATGGCGCAATGGATTCGCGATAGGGAAAAGGGATACTACAGGGAGGCGGTTGGTAGATAGATAGGGACCGCGATGAAGACTCTACCGTGTATTGAGTTTGTGATCGTCGAGAGGAACCTCCTTCCCCGCCCGTTGCTACTCCCCATCGTTAACGAGATCAAAGAAGATGTGGCCACGCTTAGGTTGCGTTGGGCCGGCACCTGAACAACATCGTCAACCACCTTCTTCACCATCAACACCAACATCGGCCCGTTCCGGGGCCAAGCTCCTGCCCGACGATGCATGTCTGTCTGAGAGGCATCATGTGAGTTCTGAGGAGTACATATTCGGCCGAGCGATGACTTGTGACCCAAGCCTCTGTGCGTTTTCTTGGCCCCTCTCAGATTGATAACAGGGTGACGGTGGACCGGGTTCCTCTCCAAGGGCCGTCTGCTTCTGGCAGGTCGAAACGCACGATGCTGGACGTGCTGTACATACACAATACATATTACAATACACAAGACACCCTTCGGAACCTCGTACCGATGTGGGCGAGCGAACAGGCGTGTTATATCTGTACAAGGTTAAGGTTCGGGTGGCAGAGGTTCTGTTTTCTTCCAAGGCCGCGTGGAAAGAGTCAAGCAGGATAATGGCTTCAAGAGCCTCGGGCCGATGGACTTAACGGCGGTCAATTCTCAAAGCGTTCCTAACCATCATGTGAAAAGCTTGCTGTCGGTAATTGCGCTTCGGAAGCAACTTAACACATGGTGCTGACAAACACGAGTCCTCTCGCGTTCTTCCAGGAGAGATATCGCGACAGCCTGCTCACATTTCATCATGCGGGAATGCCTCGAACCCCAGATCGATCTATTCGATGATCGGTTGCTCTTCATATCGCGTGGCAGTATCACATTGGCAAAAATAAGAAGACGGTTCGCCTCAGGAGATCGACACTCCATCGTTTACCGAGTCCCGATGCCCCAGACCTGGCATTGTTGATGGTGGTTGACATTTCTTGGCTCGCTCCCCCGTTACCAGACTTGCCAGTCTCCTCGTGCTCAAACCACCCATCGAGTCCCGATCTCCCCACCGCAACTGCCCGTCTGGGATGCCTGCTTGAGGCACACTGATGAGACTGGCTTCGCCAGGGCTGTGAGATCACGTCACCGGATCGCCGAGACGATCACCCACCAACTTCCGGGGATCGGCCGTGAAACCTCGAGTGCCGACAGCTTGCCGCGCAAGCTTGAACCGGGGGACAACGTTCGTCTTCACTCCTTTTTACTCGAGCCGGCGGCCTCCCGGTTTGCGAACCTTGGAAGAGCGCGGATCCAGTCACTTTCCGTTTTCCGATTCGGAAGTCTGCCCCGTGGCATGGTGTCCGATAGCGCTTCCACGTGGTCCCGCCGGCTCCGGGGCGCTGCCGAAGAACGGCGCCTTGACAAGCCATGGGGATTGAGCACGGCACCCCGCGTCGGCAGGCTGGGCTGGGGAACGCCATGTCGAAAGAGTCGCCCAAGCCTTTTTGACATCGCGGGGTCGGCTCGGCCAAGGGTAAGCTCGAGGGGCAGCGGACGACAACTCGTGCCGGCTCCGATTCCCAAGGCTCCGGAAGCGACGAGTTGAGTTCCTAGCGTCCACTAGTTAAGGCTGGTCCGCACTGCGTCATCGGGCTGCTGGCGATATCCTGGCCTCGGCGTGCCTGATATTGACAAGCGCCATTTCCCTTCCCTGTCTGTCAGCTGCGGACGCGCCTTTTCGTGAACAACGAATTCGTGTCCCCCCTCGAACAGCGCGGCTATGAAGGATGTGTAGCACTTCCCTTCATCCTGCTGGTCCTCATATCGAATTTGTGAAGCCAAATATCAAAAAGAATGGAAAGTTTTGGGAAAGAAATCATGATGCGTTCCGATCACTGCGACGGCTTTTCGCCTTCCTTGTCTGGAGACGATCAACCCCGGCCAGCCGCATTTGCAAATGGACGAGAGCAGACCGAGCAACGCCCTTGTTGAAGATCACATCTGAGGGGCTTGGCAGTCCTGCTCCCACCTTCCCAAACGGTCGGCTGCACTTCGCACGGAATGGATGGTCTGGGCCCGCTTCGGGACCCACCCGAACGTTCAAGGTGGCTCAACCTGGTTCAGCCTCCTGGCCTCGAAAGCAGAACCGAGAAGATGTCCATAGGGAACGACATTGTGTGTCCAAAATGGGCGAGAAGTGAGGGAAGGTTGGAGGGAGGAAAGACATCAACCACTTGCCGTCCGGCCGGAAGAACAAAAGAAGCGCCGAGGGAGGGAAACAGCGGGCAGCTCGCGTCTGGACTGTTAAGCGCAAATTTCACCCGAAGAAGGAACTGCTCACGATTCTGACCTGCCAAGTTCAGCAGCCGCATTTTTGACGTTGGGGCAAGCGCCGCTCCGGAATAAATTGAATTGTGGCGTGGGAGCGGACAGAGCGACTGGACGATGGTACCATTGGGTTACAAATACCTCAGCTTTCGGCAGCGAGGGTGAGAGCTTGTTTGAACGTGCCCTGCTCGGTCAGCGTCCCACCTTCTGGAAACATCAAAGAATTTAGCAGTCGGGGCAGGCACCGTTGGACAGGGCCTGCAGGCAGGGGGGCGAGAGGAAGGCCAGGAGGGTGCCTGTCTCTCTGTCAGCTCAAGTTCGAATTTGGGCAGATCCAATGTGATAGTCGTCTTGGGGCTTTGGGCTGATGGTAGAGGTTTCGGAACCGATGCGCTGGCAACCCCTAAACCTCCAGAATTGCGAATGATTGACAATTATGAAGTCGTCTTCGATGAGCAATCCGAAACTGTCGGGTTTTAGCGGTTGACGTGCCTGCTTGTTGGTCCAAATTTCACACTCATCTGGCGAACCCCAGCTCCCGGTTCCATATGCAGTCCCCCAAACCACCTCCCCGGAACAGCCTAGCTTGCGTTTGCGTGAGGCGCACCCGCGCCTGATGATTGGCCACTCTTTGGTTTTGGTGCGCCCATCAATGGACACAGCGGAGCTGGGTCGCGACGAGGAAACCGAAAAGCAGTGCAAAGCACCTGCCTCCCGTCTCGCCTGCCCCGGTGTCGTCGCTTTCCCGCTGGAAATGGGGGGGCCGTGTTGCAGTGGGCCTGCCGCGCATCGCACCATAACGGAAAAATCATACATACATTTGCGTAATATAGACCAGACAGAGGGTGTCGGCCGCGAAAGACCCATTTTGAGCGCTGCGGAAGGACGCCGAGTTAAATGAAATTTTTGATGGAATGATTGCTGGTCACCAACAGGATCCAGTCGGGTAAAAGAAACCCAACCAGGCACAGCAGCTAGGTGGAAGCAATGGAAGCACGGGGAACACACACCTTCCAAGAGACGGCAGAGGTGACCTCGGTGCCCGTGTGAATCCAGATCGGCCAGCCCCTTTTGAATTTCTTCCTTTTTGTAGCTCTGCCCTGCGCTAGCGAGCGGCGAACAAGCCCGCCTGCCTCAATAGTGTGGACGAAGACGATCGATATTGATGATTGATACATGTTGTTACCGTACCTCTTAGTTGCGAACTCATTGATCAACGACCAAGACGGGGGCATCCGGGCAGCCATCCAAGCCATCCATGAGCGATCCGGGATGTGGAGACCCTCCAAAATCAAAACCCACTGTCCCACGCAACACCCACTGCTGACAAGCCGGGGGCTGCTTTCAGCCCCTCAATTGTCGCCAAGCGCTGGGTGACTGGTTGACTGATGGTTTGGGATAATTGGCAACAACTTCCGCATCCTGTCACCTTGCCCGTTCTCCTAGCCATCATTGCTGCCCTTTCTCTCCACACTCTGCCCGTTTGGGAGCAGCTGCGACCTGCGACCTCGCACCCTCCTGGCCACGTCAAAGTCAGGTCGTGCTTTCCGTATTCCGAGTTCCGCTCTATTCATAGCGTGGGGTTTTCCGTCGTGTTTCCGCTCGTTACCTTCTTCATTCGCACTCCCTGTCTTTTGCACTTCACCCAATCTGGGGAGCCCAGAGGGCAGTTGCAGTTTCCTTTCCCGACGAGTCGACGACCAAGTTCCTTCCGAACTGCTGCAAGCGCCTGGGGCTCCTGCACACACACCGGCTAGACGCTGCCCAAACTTGCCTCCGCACGACCAAACGGACTGCACACGCACTCGCCTTCCGCATTTCCGCCGTTACTTTCTCGCACTCACTCTGCAGAGGCGCCTTTTTTTCCCCAGAAAATCAATCCTGCAGGCTTCTGGCCTCCCAGTGACCTCTGCGCCCCCTTTTTTTTCCCCTTTGGAGTTTTTGGACGGGAGCGCTGCGTGGTCTTGGCGGCCGTCTCATTTCACTCATACCTGCGAGTCTCTCTCGGCTATCATCCCGTCATAGTCCTGGAGTACGTCTCTTGTCCGCGGACACCGTCGCCGACTCAAGCCGCAACTCAGACGAAACTTGCGCCCGCCAACCCCTGAGCGGACACACGCGCGGCATTGCCAGAGTGAACGGCGACCCCGACGCCTTTCCCGTCGAAAGGACCCCCCACTAGACGGCGCACTGGGGGCCGGGCATGTCATGCCAGCGAAGACCGGATCAGCAACCGAACCGTGAGTTAATGCTCACACCAGCGACAGCAACGCCAGCGACCACAGGATCGATACACCAGTCGGGAGGAGGGGGGAGGGAGGGGGGAACGGAACCAGCTTGGTCCTTATTCTCGACGAAACCGCCACCGCCGTAGTGGCACGCGCAACGTCGCCGTCCGGAGGAGATTAGGCAGTCCCATCGCCCCATGGCGCGAAGGCCTAGCGATGCCTTCTCCCAGTACAGCGCCGGCGCCGGCGACGCGGTGTCATGTCGCCCGCGACGCATGTCGATGGAGGAAGACATGTTCTACCGGGAGGTCATGACGTCGCGGCCCGCCCAGCCTCCGAGCTATGACTCTGCTATGAAGGCGGTCATCGCCTCCCAGAGGAGGGCGCTGGCTGCTGCTGCTGGGCAAGGAGGAGCTGTGGGACACATCGCCGAGGATGTGTTGCCGCAGTATTCGTGTGGAATCCATATGGAAGGAGTGTTTATGCGCAAGATGGAGATTGAGGAGACGACAAAACGAGCCGAGTACCGCGACTGGAGGATGGTGTATGTCGAGCTGCGGGGTACCGCGCTCAACGTTTATTCGGTCAAAAAGGAACGAGGGTGGTGGTCGTCGACAAAGCAAGATGGCCCGGACATCTCGCCCGACAACCCGCCGTGGGTGAAGAAGTCGACGCTTGAAAAGAGTTACAGCTTGCTCCATGCGGATGCGGGGATCGCTGCCGACTATAGAAAGTGCGTATTTACAGGGAGAGGGGGAGATGGATCTATCAGTTGTTAAGGGGTAAGATGCTGACCAAGAACAGGCGACGATATGTTATCCGCATGAGGGTAGAAACCGACCAGTTTTTGTTGTCCTGTGTGGAGATAGGGACATTCGTCAATTGGCTGGACGGGATATTCGCAGCTATCAACGTGTCGCCTCCGATTGATGAGCGCGATTTTCCGCGGGATTTCAGTATTCCGCGAATTCAAAGGATACGATGGTTACGTGGACACCGGCCACAACCCGAAGACAGCATCGGGTTTCAACGATTGACGGAACAGCGAAGGCAGGATGGGAGCGATGTAGACGAAGACGGTGACGACGGCGTGGAAGGCGGCGAGCCGGGGGATCTCGACTATGAAGGAGACGACAATGGGTATGGACCGCGGACCGACCACCCGATTGTGGGCCGACTTTCGACGACGTCGTATCCGAATGAGAACATCGACCCCGACACGGGCAAGTGGCGGCCACAACACGGATGGAGCACGACCCACGACCAGTTGTATGCGCGACTATGCTACAGCGTGCTGCTGTTCAAGAGCCCGCGCAAGAGCAACTATGTGATTGCGCGTGGCAAGCGCTGGTACGTCGACTGGGGCACCGGCCGCATGATCCGGGTGCTACCGCCGGCGTATGGCGAGGTGGACGTCATGGGGCCTTGGCAGGTCATCATGCCAGAGAACAGGCTCATTTAAAGGGGCAGTTTGTGTTGAAGTATGGTGGCCCCCCATACTGGCAACGTTTGGCTGCCGCATTCTTCTTCGCCTCGGGCGACTCCTTTTTGATATCCACTTTTTTTACTTTGTCATTTTTCCATTTTACGTCATACCAGCGGCAGGAGTTTTTTTACGGGAGTATAGCGGAGCATCTTGGGCGATTACATCTGGCGAGCCATTTCTTTGCATATTTCTTTTTGGTTAGCATGGGACCGGGAGGCTGCGAAGCAGCGAACGGTAGGAAGGACGGCGAGCATCAATATACCACTTTTCTTGGATGGAACGTCGGGGAGGCTTGGGATTTGGGGGCCCCTCCGGGTCGGGTTGGTTGCGTAGGACTTACCAGTACATAGTTGTGAACATGGAAAACATCAATAATGTTCCTAAGCGACGAAATGCTTTGTGATTGGATGACCTGGGTATATCTGTTCAAGTCGACGACGCCCTTGAGTCTGTGTTGTTCTCGTGTTCCGCCCGAGTTGGACTATCATAGCCTACTGCGTTCCCTATACTGGTGGTATTGTATATCCTGATTTAAACCCCATTTACCTCCTTAATTCCCACCTCACCCCCTTACTTAGCCTTGCCCCACCTTACCCTCCTCCCTCTCCTTCTCCCTCTCCTTCACAGCCCGTATCGCCTCATCCGCCGCCCGCGTCTCCGCCGCAATCTCCTCCGCCACACTCACGCGGACTTCTCCTCCTCCTGCTGCCTCCTTCCCACCAGGAGTAACAGCACTGGGAGTGGTAGTGCCGTCCTCGAATAATAAGGCATTCGCCCCTTCAAGATCGGCCATGACTTTCTCCACACCGGAGAGCAGGGCTTCCATTTCAGCGCGTTGGGCGCGGATTTCATCCCAGAGTTGGGTGTTGAGTGTTTGGGTGGTGGAGAGGGTGGCGGTGAGGTGGGTGTGCTGTGAGGTGAGGTGCGGGAGGAGGTGGGCTTGGAGGATGGTCGGGGCTGGGAGGGTGTGGGGGCTAATAGGATGTTAGCTGGATGGGCTGGTTGCGAGGGGCGGGGGGATAGTAGGAAGAAGGGGGAAGGGGGGTATAATGGAGAAGGGGGAAGGGGAAAGGGGAAAGGGGAAGGGGACGTACGCTACTGGGGGGGAGGTTGGGTCGTCGGCTTCGCGACGGCGGTGGGCGGCGTCGGTGACGAGGGCTTCGAGCTCGTTGAGGCGGGCGACTACTTGCCGGTTGGCCATGATTGTTTCGAATTCGCGCTGGGAGGGATGTTAGTGTATGTTCCTTTCGATCGACTACATCCTTGAAATAGAAAGATTCTAGATCAAGGAAACACGTATCGAGCTGCTTCTCGGGGACCACTTGCTGAGACCACAAACTCCCGTCCGCGGCCACTTTCCAACCTCACCAAACCCAACAACACAACATAGATACAACAATAAACCTGTAAAAAACAACAACGAGAAAACACCAAAAAAGGGGGGGACAAAAGAAAAAAAACATACATTCCACAACCCCCCCAACCTCTCCACCATCTGTCTTTGGACAAACTCCAACGTCCCCGGCGCCCGCGCCGACATGGTCGGAAAACACGCCTCAAAATTCTCTTTACTAATCTTGTCCAGCGTGTGTCGTGCCGTGGAGGCGAAAAGGGCTTGGAGTCGGGCGGCGCGTGGGCCGGGGGTTGGTATTGGCGGTTGGTCTTTTGCGTCTTGTGGTTGTTGTTGTTGTGGCTGTTGTTGTTGTGGCTGTTGTTGTTGTTGTGGCTGTTGTTGGTCTCGTGGGGGTTCTGAAGAAGCATGTTGTTGTGATGGTATTTGGGCGTCTTCTCCTTCTGTTTGTTCTCCTGGGGGAGTTTGTTGTGGTGGTGGTGGCGGATCGAGCATCTCGGTATCTCGATCGTTGGCCGCCTGCGACGGGCGCGACGGTTGCGCCGAGGCGGACATGGTGAGGTTCTCGAGCAGATATGTGGTATTGTGGCGTGCGTTTTGTCGTCGATTGGAGACTTGATCGGAACCTCGTGAATTATTAGGCGATCTGTGATCGATGGTTGGCAGCTTCCTGAGCTTGAGGCGAGTGTGGTTTTCAAGATTTGAGAATTGAAATGCGCAAGTCGCGTCGCGAACGGGTCCCATGCAAGCGCGTTTGATGGGACGTCGTTGACAGCGGGGTACCGAGGGAACCTGCCCAGCGAAATACAGCGGGGCAGCGCAAATTGCTGGGCGTCTTGGCGGGCTTCAACGCTGAAAGATAGGGTGCACGGCCCCTATAAAGAACACTCTAGGAGTTCATCCCATCTCTATCACTTGGGATCGAGACTGCAGCGATTCGACAGCAGAAACAAGCTTCATTATGAAATACCATCGCAATCTCGACATCAAAATACACAGTATCCACCGCATCCTTCCCAAATCATCACCCTCGTCATATCATCCCTACCCTCCCGTCATTCTTCCCAGGTCATATATACACATGTATAAACAAAAGAAATTCGCTTTCCACACATCCACCACCCCCGGAATCATCCGCTGTCCACCTTTCATTTCAGCCATCCCCATTTTCTCATCAGCGCGCATAGCCAGCGTATTAGGATCGATCTGTGTCCAAAACGCCACGCCAACGAAAAGAAACAATCCGACTTTACCTCCCCCCAAAGAAAAAAAACTAGCCTCCTCACGATGGACTTATTAAACCCGACCCCAAACCACCCGATCAGGAAAACTCCACCGTCGGCTGCCGGCTCCCATCACGACGTTCCAACCTCCGCCTCCGCCTACGATCCGCCGCAGCGCCTGCATCGGTCATAGGCCCGCTCGTGAACGTAGCGTGACTACCGCCCGGGCTCATCAAGCTCGGCGCTCCCGGGCCAGCACCCGCCCCAGCAGCCGTGCTAGGCCCAGGGCTCTCGGGCAAACTGGACATCGTGGTTCCCGCGGCTGGGACGCTGCCCGATGGGCCAGCGGCACCAGCGCCGCCCGAGTAGTATGCCGAGTCTTTGCCGGCAGCGCGCTTGGCGAAGGCCGGGGTGGGTGGCTCCAGGTCCTCCCCGGGAACAAGGCCCTCCACACGCTGCTCGGCGGCACGCTCAGCGCGGCCGCGGCTGGTCGAGTCACGACGGTAGCGTCGGCTGCTGCCTGTAGCGGTTTCGTTGCCCGACTGCGAGCTGATCGAGTCCGCGCGGCGCCGACGGGCTTCCTGGGTGGGGACGCGGTGTAGAGTGACGCGGTCAGGTCGATCCCCGTCGATGCGCACGCGCACGCCGACAGGATCCCGGGAGTGGTGACGACGGCGTTCCTCATCTTCGGCCAGGGCCAGGGCACTAGCCGAGGCCGCTGCAGCCGCGGCAGCAGGGTCCGTCTCGCGTCTGCTCCGGCGCCGGCGGTGCGTGACATTAGGCGAGCCATACGCCTCGCTGCCGTCGGACTCGCGGTGGAAGATGCCGTGCGGGTCGGCTGGCATGGGCGGCATGGAGACGGGGTCGGTCACGTCGAAGCGTGAGGGCTGGGTCGAAGGTGGGCCTGCGGTGGTCGGAGACACAACAGGAACCGCGGCCGCGCCGGTGCGATTAGGAGGCGTCACGGGGGCTGGTGCCGCGCCCAGTGGAGGGGGCCGGAATCCAGGCGGTGCTGGATCATACGGGGTGTTCCCACGCGGCTCGATCGACGACTCATCCGAGAAAATGGAAGTCTCGGTGAATGTCGTCTGCGTAGGCGCGGGTCGGTGAGATTGAGATTGCCGTCTCGAATCACGCCTCGTCGGCGTCGGGTAGCCGTCACCCGTGTACCTCGAGTTCCGCCGCCCTGCTCGTCTTTCCTCCTCTTCCTCCCTCCGCCTCTCTTCCTCATCCCTCAGCCGCTCCTCTTCCCGCCTATCCGCTCTGTCCTTACCCATCTTGGTCAAGAACCCCAACCCCATTCCCGCAAGCAGTCCCTTTCCAACACCCCCGCTCTTTCGCGCCGGCGCCGGCTCTGATGTCCGTCGGGATGGGCTGACATAGGAGGAATAGTCGGAACCGTCAAGTGTGCTGTCGAACCTGGAAGTCGCGGCATGGGAACGCTTTGGAGTCATAGGTCGTGGGGGCCGGCCGGCGCCGACCACGGGCGGGCGCGGTGGCGGCAAAACAGATGATTCAGGGCCAAGGCGGCTCGGGTACCCCGTGTCCTCCGTCCGGTCGGTGTACTCGCTCTCCGTGAATTCGCTTCTGGCCGGGTGGTGTCTGCGCCGACTGGGCGTGTCCGTCGCAACGGCCGAGTACTCGTCGTCATGGCGTCTGTCGTTCCTGTTCACCATCTTAGATATTAGAGCACCGGCGCCCAGCCCAGCGCCAGCCGCAAGAATCTTATTCATGAAGCCACCGCCGCCACCACCTCCACCGCCGGTACTTGCGCGCCGTCGTTCCGGTTCCTTCTCGTCATAGTAGCTATCGGATTCCCGTCGGGAGGAGATCACAGTCGCACGATGCGGCCGGTCCACGGGGCTCGGGCTCCGACTCAAGCCACGCTCGGCATCCTTGTGCTTCTTGCGGCGGAAGAGTGCCAACGCACCGGCGCCGATCGCCAGAGGGCCGAGCCACTTCATCTTGCCCCCATGATGGTCCGTCACGCGGCTGCTCTCGTCATCCACATGGCTGTGAGCAGCGCGTCCCCTGACAAATTCATGTCGTCCATAGTCCCGGTAGTCCAGAACAAAGTAGAGCACGAGCAGAAAGCCCATCCATAAGGCGTAGAGGATGAACAGAACCTTGGGAGAGCCGTACAGCGTAAGGCCCAGGGGGACCTGCACAATGCCCAAGAGGGTAATAGCCCGGCCGGACCAGCGATGGACGTGCAGACGGAACGAGCGGCCGGTGATCTTCCTGACCAACCCACCACCAAAGGCCTGGAGCAGAACTAAGACGTAGATGGCGACGCCGATGCCGTGGTGCGGGTTCGTGAGATTGCGCGGCGGGCCGACAGCGATGAAACCGAGGACGAATATAACGGTGGTGAGGCCGACAGCGAGGATTTGCAGGTATGCGTGGTACCGAACGGCGCTCCCGGGTTGGCGAGTGAAGAACCTCACTAGCAGAACCGCGATAGGGACGATGAAGAGGAAGGTTATTGCTGCGAGAACGCCGTGGCCAAGAATGAGGGTGTGATACTCTGCAACGGTCGAAAATCGGTTACCCATTCCTGAAAAAAACAGTTAGCCCTTGTATTAGTGGCTGACCAACCCAAACAACAAAACTCGACCCTCATACCATTGTATTGCATCGTCTCAAAGTTTAACCCCACGAGATTCGGCAGAAGGAAGGTATTTTTCGTAAAGTCCCATGTCCCGTCACCCACATTCAGGGTATCGGAGGAATAGGAACTCGACCCCGGAGGGGAAAGATTGTCTGCCGGCGCCATGGCGGCGGTGCACGGCGTTGGGAGCCCAGCACGGGCAGAGGGCGGGTGTGTAAATAGGAGTTATTCGGCAGTCGATATGCTCGCTGTCGAAAAATGGCGGTTTTTTTCTTAATTTCTAAACTCTGCGTCGGCTCGATAGTAGGTGTTGACGGCCAGGCGAGCGATCTAGCGGTGGGGAAGAAACAAACGAAGGAAGGAAGGACCGGACAAGCAGCCGATGGCGGGGCAAGCCAATGGGTTGCTGTGAGTGATTGGCAAATCCGTATTGCTTGCTCTTTTTGCAAATCGATTGTTTTCGCGGGGAAATCGTCGTCCAGCCGTCTCCGGGGTAAAAAAAAATGAAACACACGTCGTCGAAAATTCACATCATCATCCTGCCCATGGAGGGAGCAGGTGTCTCTCAAAAAGTGAGACGGGGTTCTCTGATGTGCTGGCGCTGTACGACATCGGATGCCAAGGCCAACAACTGGTTGCCGGGGAACCAAGCATGCCAAGCTTGAGCCCTTGACCCACTTAGCTGGACTGCGGGGCATTAAATGTGGGTCTACCCGAACCTCAAGTGGGCCGATTTCGCTTCCGACTTGGGGGTGAAGCTTGGTCGAGCTCAGCTGCCCTGTGACAGCCCGACAGAGCCCCGTCGCGAATCTCGTCACCGAGACAGGGACGGGAGTCCTGCTCTAACGCTATTTTCAACGGCTAAAATGAGCATCCCCGATACAAAACGCACTCGCTCCTTTACTGAGGTCATTTCTTTGAGTGCCAACCTTGAATTGAACTGCCACCGGTCTGCGTGGCTGTGGCGCGAGGATCGCGTATTTCGCTTTGCGGGCTCATTGGTTGCCCCAGCTAAGGCACATTGTACCTATGTACTGTACAATGTACATTCCTTGCTCATGCTCTCTTTGAGCGACCGAGAGAGCCTCGTTTGCGTGCTCAGCTCAATGCTGCCAGTGCCAATTGGCTAGCTTCTCAGCGTCACGCCTTTGGGAAACGGAAGTGTTGAACTCGGGCTGCGAGCCGCTTTCCCTTCTCCGTGACTAGGATCGGCGGCACGCTTCGCCTCGAGTGGCTGATACGGTTGATACGAGCCAAGTTATTGTCCCTTCACGCGATGTATTTAGACGAGCTCGACGGCCATTTCATTCTGGGCGAGCGCACTTGATATTTTATTTTGTCCACACATCAAACCTCAAAACAACACTGATTGACTACCTTACTTAACCACCATGTCTTCCTCATCCTCCCCTTCGTCCCCCTTCTCCCCCAACAATCCCTTCGCTTCCTCCACAAACCCTTTCACCCCCTCAGTTACTACCACCAACCCATTCTCTTCAGTCTCCTCGCCCACATCCCCCTATGCGTCTCTCTCCTTCCGCAAAACCGACACTATCCGCTTCCTTAACTTCCCCCCCTCCGTAACCTCAAGTCTCGAAGCCATCGTCCTCGCCTCCTGGCCCCCAGGTCTAGAATCCCAAGGCAGCACCACCAACAGCGACAAGACAGGCGCCACCAGCAACTGCTCCGTCGTTGAGTTCAAATGCAAGGGCCGGCCGTTCGGCCACTTCAACGACCAGCAACGTGTCGGCGGGTTGCGGATGGTGCGCAACGTGATGATCCTGTTGCGGAACCAGGGTTGGGAGCCCGCTGCGGCGCTCATGTGCAGTCGGCGATACACGGCCAAGGACACGTTGTTTTTTCGGCAGGTTGGGCTCGCTAGGGGGGAGGCAGCGGTGGTTCCGGAGGTGGAATGGGCGGTAATATCGCCGATGGGGATGGATAAGCTGCGGGTGGTTTACGATGCGGAGGGGGTAAAACCGTATGATAAAGTGGGAGGGGATGAGGATGCGGAGGGATCGGATCGGGATTATTTGGGGGTTTTGATCACGAAGATTAAGAAGACGCTTCAGGAGTTGGGGATGTTTTCGAAGGGGGACTGGAGTCATGACTCGTTTGAGTTTGAGTTCAAGAGCTGGGTGTGGCGAGCGAGGGGCGAGACGAGCGACGCAGTGAGGATCATGTTTATGAGGTTGTTGGAGTTGATGGAGGATGAGGGATGGAGGCTGTACACGTCGTTTGTGCTGTACACTGGGACTGATGAGAAGCGGATATTGGATTCGTGGTATTTTGTACGGGAGAAGAGATCCACAGCGAAAGCGACATGAACCAACTGGAAGGTTATGGGGGTTTCTGATGATCCCGGGCGATGTTGGCATCCAGGAGCTTCACGCCGCGGAACCTGGGTTTTCTAACACTCATCGGCATGGGCAGGAGGGCGAAGATGTAAATCTGCGGTGGTTTATTGGCGAGGCGTCTTGCGGGTTGTGCCTTCCTCATATTTCAACAGAGCATACACGGGCTAGGTCGGTGGCTACCCACCTGGTTTGAGAACACGAGTGGGTTAGTACAGCCTTGAATCCCTCCCTTTCTTCACAGCCTAGAATTTTCGCTAAAGATGTGTCAGTCCATTCCCTTGTTGTCGGGATTGAATGTCGGTTTGATGGGTCGGTTTCCATTAGGCGGGGCTTTCCTCAGTGTTGTTCCTTTGCTTTTATTCCTTCCGGATGCTCAGCAATATCATGCGGCTGTTAGGGAACGTCTTGCCTTTTCGAGGTTATAGCTAGTTAGGTCGGAAGGAGGCTTCTGCGGGAACAAGTAACATTTAACTCCATCTTCCGGTGTTCGGTTGAACTCCCAGCTTTCTTCTTCCAACCTCAACAGTCTTCATCTCGCCAAAGCATCGCTCTCATTTTTTGGGTTTCCGAGCCTCTCATTATCGCCGTTTTAACCGCATTATCACCTCTCTGTCATTGATAAACAACTGTCCACAATGAAGTCCGCACTTTCGGCCGGCATCGTTGCCGCTTTGCTTTGCCCCAGTGCTGTTGTTGCAGGGTCAACTTGCCCGAAGACTTCGAGCGGCTCGAACCGCATCACCTGCTTCGTCGAGGTCGACCACAGCGAGGTCAAGGAAGAGGGCCACCACCACGGCCATCATGGTCATCATCACAAGCGCGGGCACAAGGACAAGATTGAGACCACCCACACCATCAGCACATACGCCTGGTCCTTCTTTTGGAACTGGACTGTGACCGATACTTGCCCTAAGACCACGGCACAACTATCGACCGTGCTCCCCTTCTTGACCACTGCCCAGCATGGAGTCAAGTGCACAGTCGAGCATGCCTGGACCCCCGAGGAGGACTGTTGCGAGGATTCCTGCGGGATTAGCCTGCCCCCCAAGAACCAGACTTTGGAGGAGTTCGCCGGCCATGGTCATGTCGATTGGTCGACTCTTCCCGCCCGCGTACACTGGCCTCTGTATGCCGGGCCCGGTCGCCCTGACCATCTCAGCAACAAGTCTGGGGAGTTGAACATCCAGTATGAGGCGGCTAGCGACATTATTGACAACACTCTCGAGGTGGGTCCCCCTCTCTTCTCCTCCGATTTCCCGTAGCAGTCTCTCTAACGGATCTCTTTTAGATTCATAGCGGCAAGGGCAACGACTTTTTCCACTGCTGGGGTCCTGATGACCATTACGGCACCGGACAATACCAGGAGGTTGAGGACCACAGCGATCATGGCAAGAAGAAGGGCCACCACAAAAGCAAGGTCGAGAGCCACACGTTCTTGACCAAGGACCACCGCAAGTTTGGCGGGTTCTACAACACCGACAGCCTGCACTCATGCTGGGTTTTTGAGAAGTTCCACCATGGCGTCCGCCAAGTCACCAAGATCCCGAAGAAGCACCACGGTCATCACGGCCATCACGGTCATCACGGCCACCATGAGGAGATTGAGACAATCCCCGTACTCCCATTCCTGCCCCCAACCTGGTCTAGCTGTGAACCCCACTTCGTAGCGCCTCACGAGGAGAAGCATTCGGAAGACTCGCATGACTCCCACGATGACGGCCACCATGATCACGGGGACGAGAAGCATGGGGACGAGAAGCATGGGGACGAGAAGCATGGTGATGGCCACGATGATGAGGGTCACCACGATGAGCACAAGCATGGTGATGAAGAGGATGAGGGACATGGCGAGTCAGATAAGGATAAGGAGGACTGCGATTGCTAGACCAGTAACATGTACAGTGTTTGGAATGCTTGAGCTATCGTTAGAAGGGGACGTTGTTCATCAGGTAGATGTCTAGAATTAAGAATCAGACACTTTGCTCTGCAATTTGGGACTCCCAAGAATGGTTAACGATGCCATTGAGATGGTCCTCCTTGGCACCGACTGCTAGAGTTATGCCGAGCTGACACCTTGCCTTGTGTCTTAGACTGTGGTAAGCTAAAATTTTGGTTTCCCATCAATTTGTTGACGCCGGTGTATCGGTGGGTTGAGACATTCTAAACATATGACAGCTCAAGTGTGTAGTTGGGCCTAGGTTAGTTGCAGGGCATCAGACAGTGGTCAGGGGTTGGGAAAGGTCTGATGGATGTCATAAAAGAATGAATTTGGAGGGTTTAGGTGTTACGGTTTGCCTATTCAGGATAAAAGCCCGTTTTTGAAAAGAGTCAGATTTTAAACCTAGTTGAGTGAATGGTGTCTAGGAGCATGAGGAGGACGTGTCTCGATGAGCCGCCATGACCCTTTTGAGTAATTCAGTTTGTTTCAGCCGAGTTGTCAATTCTGTGGATTCGTTTCTTGATCTGGGCTCTTCACGTGAAGGGGTATTGAGCGAGTGAACCCGGATCCTTTTTTGACAGTTGTCCTCCCCTCTTTTCTGTTAGAATACCATGGTTGCTTACTCGAATCTTCAATTCACCGGCTGCTATACACTTTTGTCATTCTGAACCCCTGCGTCTTTTCCTTCTTGGAAAGTGTAGTGTCGTTTTAGTTTACTATTTTCATCATCATAATTATCGTTATCACTCTCATCCTTGATTGGCACCTCCAGCTGCATGATGCTCTTGTTGTGCCCCAGTGCAAATGCCTCGAGCGCGTGACCCCCGACGCTGTCTTACTTAACTACTTGGACGTGTCAAACTTCGGGCCAAGAAGCCGGTGTGGGGTGTGGGAGGGGGGGGAAATCTCACGGCATGGTCTTCGTTCTTGTGCTCTGGTGGAGCGTGGAGGATGAGGGGAGGTAAGCAAGTAAGGTAGGGAGGTAGGTAGGTAGATAGGTAGGTGGGTGTTCCTCCTTACCCACACAACACACAACTCATGCTCTTCTCCCTGTCCCCCCTCCCCCCCGCTCCCGTGCGGATGGTGTGATGGAGGATGTTGTATCCTATTCTGTATTCCCCTCAAACTTCCCTTGCCCCTTTGGGGGAGTTACGTCCGTGGGGTCTTGTGTTGCCCGATTACTCAGGCGACTGACTGGTTAGTGTTTCTTTGATGGGGAGTTTGGTCTTGTGTCAGAAAAGAAATGCGGAAAAAATAATGGGCCCTGCCTGGGTTGGTTCTGTCGAGGATGGTCATGGATGAGATCAGTGAGGGCGAGACACGGGGTATTTGGTGGGACCGTGTTAAGCTTGTTAGTTGATCACCGTACGAATGGGAGGTTCAGGTGTATGAGCAGTTGGGGCCCTGGCCTCACATCCTTGAAGTGTCTCGCAGGGCAAGACACGCTGTCGTCATTGAGCTATATCATATATTCAGGTTTTGAGGAGCAGCTAGTTTCTAGCACAGACAGAGGGAGCTGATCTTGTTCGAAGTCGAGTTTGTTTTGCTAGATGTGTCGGATTCCCCCGGATTTGCTAGGCCTAGATAAATACCGAGGCGGTGGAACCAACATGTTGGAGTTTCACAGACGGACGGCCGCTGGGGTCCGCAGAAAAGTTGTGTATGCCTGTATGCCGGTTTGACAGGTGGACCCTTCGGTAAAGGCGAGATACGATGATAGTGTTGAGTTTGGTATGACGGGTCAGGAGTCGACGGCTTTGGGTTGGTTCTGGAGGAGGTCAACAAAATCCGGGCCGGCATACTTTTAGACCAAGTGCCGGATGATGACCATCAAGGCGTTTCTCAACATCCGTGCAGCAGTCTACCACAACAGAGTTTCCCATGCAACGGCTCGTTCTCGCCTTCTCAATACGTGGCGGTAGCTATAATCCGGAAACACCGAGCGTGGGTGGTTGAGCCGCATTGAAGTGGATTAAGGCAAACCGATGATCAAAACGAGGCAACCGAATATCGCGGCTGCTAAGCGAGTTGAATGTGGCTCTACGATCGGAACCGGTGAGGTTAGGCCGTGAGAGTGAATGATGCCATGAAGTCTCAGGTCAACGCTAGTTAACCTGTCGGGTACGGGCCAGCCGAGATCCAACCGGCCTTAGTCTGCACAGCCTGGTGTACCGCAGAGAGAAAAATACCCTGAATATCACCGCAGAGATTGCTCCTTTTGCTCTTAAACTCGTTGGTGGCTAATCGGAAGTCTGTTTCGACGCCACCAGCTGTGCGCCTTTGGCGTTGGAGGACCTACTGTAGCCGGGCAAAGATCGGTCACCGCATCCTGAGTTGCCTTGCTTACGAGCAAACGTATGTCGATAAAGAGCCGCCCACCCTCCGCAAGCTGAGATATGCACGCTGCGCTGCCCAACCCAAGAGCTCCAGCCCTGCAAGACGGGAGACTGCATGGTGGCGAAAGGGCGTTGGAAACCGTGGAGCCCGGTGACGGAAACAGAAAAAGGTGAAAGTCAGGGTGAAAAGTGAGGCTGTCTCAAACGGCAGGCAAAAGCCATCCCACAGATCGATACCGGGCGAGTCGAAAAAAAGGTGAGGCTTGAGGTGAGGGGCAGTCTCGGTTTACCCCTCCTGACCTCGGTCTCCAACACGATTAGTGTCCTGCGTACTCCTGACGGCAGTCGACACACTCCCCGAGTCTTAACTTTCCAAGCGCGCACATACATCACACATATCTCGAGCAACATGAGCCTCGAGAACGGCGACCTGCTCAGGCCAAAGTGATCGGAATCGCATCGTATTCACCGTGTTCAGGGTACCGACGCAGGTGTACATGCTAACGGCCCAACCGCATCGGGGACCACGTGTGGACGTCACCCCAATGTTGCTGCCGCTTCAACAAGACACTCATTTGTGTTGTAAGTGCGGGCGGGCACCAAACTTGGAGTAGGTGGTGCAGCCGCCGCGCAACCCCATTGCATACTACAGCCCCCGGGGAAGATGTCGGCTTGCAGAGCCGCGCCTTCCCTGTGTGAGACGTACCGGAGGAAAGATGCCGTGGCGGTCATGACTGCAGTTTGTGTTCGGGCCTTCCGCAACTAGAGACATGACAAGAAGAAAGAGCACAGGGAGGTGCGGGTTTGGCAGACCAACAAGGACAACTCGGAAGGTGCATTGAGGGTTGATGGTGGATGAGATGGGGTTGCCCGACCGCACCTGCTTCGGCAATGCTGCCCCACTATCACGCCCGGCAGGAGCTTGCCTGAACCTCAAGCTTCCCTTCTCCGCTGCATTGTTGCCCGGCCGAGCCCAGAACCAGACCGGGCGAGGCAACCACCTCCTGTTCCCTAAAGTGAACTTTGCCTTGGTTCGCCCGAGATGCGTGGTTCGCATGAGAGATTCTAGCGAATGAACTTTCCGACCCCTTTCCCGGGCCGGCAACATCCAACATGCCCCCTCCTCGCCCAAACGTCCCCCCATCTGTCCCGGATTGCCCGCAGCCTTAGCGAGAGCTGAAGGCGAGTGAACATCAATAACCCACGAGGCTTGGAGGCATCCAAGGCTCCTGCACCTCTGACGTGCAGCGATCGAAACATCCGGCCAAACTCGAGTTGCCGGCCCAATCCTACTCCCATATCGATGCTCCGGGATCACTCTCTTCAAGGGTCTTAAGCCTTCTCTCCTGAGTCTCTTTTGTACAACTTACATGTCGAGGTCACTGCGCAGAAACCGGTCGGCGGCTTTTACCCCGCCTGGGCCGGAACACCGATGGCGTTGCTGAACCAAACCAAGGATGCGAGGAGTCGGGATGGCGCTCGTCGCCCGGTTGCCTTGTCAAGGTCGTCTATCTGTAGCCCTTCTTGACGGCCGGCCGCAGATCGAGGGAGCTAGATCGACCGTACCACTGCATTGATGAGAGGCTGCTTTGCCTCCCACCCCTCCTTGCTCGGGCGAGACGACGACACCCCCTTCTTACCATCCCCCAGAGACACCTCTCCAGGGGGTACTCCGTCTTGCGTAACCCGCAATTTGCCCCGTTCCCCTCTCCATACTTCTTTCGAGATAATGGAAGCCGGTATGTGTATAAAACACTCAAGGTGCTTCGTTGCCCGGTCTCTGTGTCGATTCATCCCCGCATTCCAATTCCAGCACTTCCTCTCGTGCCCAGCTGCGCCCCGATCTGCCCCTGTTCGATATAGTTCCTCGTTTATCTTGAACAATTAGCTTTTTTATAAGTTGCAGTTCATCTGTCCGCCTGCTCATCGGCCGATAGGCGCCAGAAGAACCTTTAGGCTCTCCACGAAGCCTTGTTTTTTCACACCACTTGGTTTCCCCGGAGTACCTAGAGCTCCGTCTCCAACACGGCAGCCCCTGACCGACAACCCAACATGGATCAGGCCCAACGTCCTCTTGGTCCACCTCAGCTACCCGGCTACCAGGTTCAGGTCGGCCGGCAACCCCTCAATCAACTTCACAACGTCAACATGCAACAGTACGGCCCAACGGCGCCAGTTGCCTTCCCCCCACAGCCTCGGCCCACACCATTTGTCCAGGGAGAGCCCCTTGAAAAGGTCGTCGATTTACGGGAGCGACCCTTGACAACTGAAGAAGCTCGTGAGGCTTGCTCCCATTACATCGCGGTACGAATCACTCGGCTCGACCAGAACGGCTACGACAGCGATGGTGGGCGGCAGAAGCCATCATGGAGGAGTGCCGTCGTCAAGGAGGTCCCTGGCATCAGCAATGAAGAGGCTGAACGGATCGTACGCCGACTCAACCGCACAACCATATCGGTTACGGAAAAGCGGGAGACTCTCAACCAATATGAAAAGGAGCAAGTTGAGCGCGCCTTAGTTGAAGTCCAGAAGAAGTATGGCGACCAGTGGTTCCAACTCACGCTCGCGCAGCTGGATGCCCTGACAGACGTGAAGCAGCAGGAGCGGGCTAGGTTGAAGGAGAGAGAGAAGGAGAGAGAGAAGGAAAAGGAGAGAGAGTGGAAGAGACGTGAACGCCGCAAGGACTACGTCGGCATGTTCGGCGTGGTCAAGGTAGCGCCGCCCAAGTCGCGTTCCAAGCAACACAAAGATGCCAGCTCCAAGAAACTCCGGGACCTACAACAGCCCATGCCCGACCTGAGGAGTATCACCGTATACTTCAAGAGGTCTCCCCGGCCCGGCGTCGACCCCTTCGCCCTCCTCGAATCCCGCAACGCTCAGCAGAACGTCCAAGTTCCCACAAATGGACAGTACCACCACCCACCGCATGTTCACCAAGCCCACGAACTACCTCCGCCGAGGACTGTTGGAGTGCAAGGTGTGAACACGGGTTACAACACTGGTTACAAGACGACGGCCTACCCGCACCAACGCGGAGAAGCCGTTATCCAGCCTGCCCAGCGGCGGCAATCACACCACGAGGCACTCCATCAACCCAAGCCAGGGGGCCGCGCTCTCAACGATCGCCGGCCGCCACCTCATATTCATCACGAGGCCCGGAGTCCAGCCAGCTCGAACGCGTCCGTATACTCGGAGACCTTCTCTGCAGGAGACAACGACACGGACTACACGCCTCCATCCACTCCTGCGAGCGGCAGATCCTTCGATTGGTCGCCGCAGAAGGCGCAATTTAAGGAGGGTCGGACACGTTACACCGTCCAGCCCGGCTTTGGCCGAGGAGGCGGGCCCCATCCGCCCCGTCATCATCCGGATGAGGGGCGTCCTAGCCTCGAGGTACACCAGCACGCCGTCACGGCGCCCACTCAGAGGACTGCAGGGGCGCAGGGGTTTGTCCAGCTCCCTCGGGGCACAATCAACATGCCAGGTGCCGTACCGCCCGTGGCACCCTCACCACCGGCCCCAATGCAGACCGCATCTGGGCCAAAAGGTGGAAATCAGATGCCGTTCTTCCCCCCGCCGCCTCCACCGCCTGTGGTACAGGCCCAAGGTCAGGCTCCCGGTCATATCCAGGCTCCCGGTCATATCCAGGCTCCCGGGCCTATCCCGCCTTCCGGTCAGCAGTTCCGGGGTTCTGGCATGGCCCCCGTGATCAATCAACCACAGCCAAACCACCAAATTGGGGGCGTGCCCACCGCATCACGAAATCCGGCGCTACTTCCGGGGCAACAAAACACTTCGGCCCCTATTCCTATGAATCAGCCAAACACGGCAGCGAACCCGGCAACGCTCAACACCATCTTTGCTAAGGGGTTCGAGGCTGGCCGTGCCAAAACTCAAGAGGAGGCCATCAACATCGCTGAGCGTGTCGCTCAACACATGGTCGGGGCAAACGCGCCCAAGCGCCCCGGTTCTACTCCCATCATCATTCAGAACGACCGTAGATACGGCCGGGTCCGCGGCCGTTCTCGGTCACGATCCAGGTCCAGGTCCCGGTCCCGGTCTCGTTCTCGTTCTCGGTCACCGGATCGGCCGCCTTCGAGGTCCCGCTCTCGGGATAGGCCGCCCTCGAGGTCGCCTTCTAGGACGCCTCCTCGATCCCGGTCTCCTTCCCCGAACAATCACCATCGTCACCGCAGAGGAGGGAGCGCCAGTCCCAACCGGCGCCGTGGTCACTCTCAAGGCAGAACTCATCACCGGGGTCGCGATCATCGAGACCGAGATTATAAAGATCATAGAGATCACAGGGATCGGGACCGTGGAAGAACCCGTAGCCGCAGTCTCAATCACCAACACACCCGCGCTCGTAGCCAGGCGCAGAGCCGTGCTGTCGATCATTACAGGCGAAGACGCAATCGGAGTCATAGCAATGACCGCAGTTGCAGCCGCAGCCGGAGCCGCAGCCGGAGCCGCAGCCAACGATCTTGGAGAGCTCAACGCCGCAACAGCAGCCGCAGCAATCACTCGCGTCCGCGCTCCGGTGTACGCCTTGTCCAGCCGGCGCATGGATATGTCCGACCCCGTGCGGGCATGGATCGAGAGGGGCTAGAGAGGGACATAGAGAGACTGCGGTTAGGCGGTGACTGCCATCACCACCATATTCTCTATCCCGAGAATGACGATGATCAGGGCGTGTATGATGACACTATCTGGGAGCAGCAGCAGCAGAGGGAAGAGGAGTGGGCTCTGCGAGAGGCGCGGGAAAGAGCCCGGGAGATGGAACGAGAGAGGGAGTGGGCGGGGCCGATGGGGAGTGGTGGGCTTGCTGGTCTCGGTGTTGGCGGGGGTGCCGGCGCTAGAGTTCTTACGCCTAATCCGTTTGCGCCACGGCCGGCGGTGAGGAGGCGGGTGGGGGGTTCGGGAGTGTATCCGCAAGGTCGATATGTTGTTGAGGTGTGATGGGAGCTTGCGGGAGTGGTACTGTCTAAAAGGGTCATGAATGGGCTGGTCAGGGGCGTTTTTCCTTTGCCATTTGTTAATTTTTTGTTTGTTACTTTGTTGGGTGATATAAGTCCGTCGGTTCGGCACGTTGATGATTGATGAATCAATTCCATTTTTTCTTCTCAAAAAATTGTTAGTATGAGCCGGTGTTTGAATTTCCTTGCGCAAACCAGAGATCATTGGGTCGGTCGAAAAAAAACATTTTATACATAGCATACATTTCTAAGTTTACAACACCCTCTCTCCACGGGTATCGTGCTCGTAGCACCCCCTTGCTCGCTCGCTTGCAAGCTATTCCAGCCGCGCAAATGCAACTGGTTGCCCCGTCCATCGTCTTTCCACCTTCCCTTTCCCCCTTTTTTTCTATCCCCACACACACACAGAGAGAGAGAACTCCAGTCCCTACCTCAAATCCATCATCCCCCGAACCGACTTGAAATACTTCTCCGGCAGCAGCTCCTCCAGTTCTTCACGCGTGAGCCAGCGGAAATCGGTCAGACCGTGCGTGTTCCCCGTCAGGTCGGCCTGCCCGGCCATGATGCGGCCCTTGATGAAGAAGGTCTTTTCGCCGCGGATGTCGAGTTCGGGCTGCGGCGGGGTCACGTGGTGGGCTACGGGGACGCGGCCGACCAGCCAGGTGTTCATGTTGATACCGGCTGATTCGGCGAGGACGCGGGCGGCGGTCTGGGGGGGGTTGTTAGTTCAAAGGCGTGGTGTGAGAAGAGGGGAGGTGGAAGAGAAAAAAAGAGGGAACGAGTGAAAAAAAAGACAAAAAAGAAGTAAAACATACCTCATCCAACGTCTCCTCCGTCATCACCATCCCCGCCGGAAACCCCCACACCCCTTCCTCCCCTTCCCCCTTCCTCACCACCAAATACAGCGTCCGATCCATCGCCCGATCCAACCTCTTCACATCCCCCTTCTCATCCGCCTCACTCCGCCTCGGCATCGGCCTCTCCACAGGCACCCTCTCCTCCGCCGTAATCGGCTCCCCATCCTCACTAATCCGCATCTCCGCATCCGCCAACAACTTCTCCACCACGACTTGCGGATCCGACGTCGTCGACCCCACCAGTACCTCGTCGTTCCACGCCATGCGGCCCCGCGAGTTGTACCGGCCGATGTCCTTGGCGGGGACCCCGTGGCGCTCGCGGAGCTTCATGCGGAAGTCGATGTCGGTGGCGGTGTTTTGGCGGAAGTAGAACGGGCGGCGGAAGGGGGCGGTGAGACGGTCGTTGAGGCGTTTTTGGTAGAGGTAGAAGGCGGATTCGAAGGGGTGTTGGTCGCGGGTTAGGAGGGGGGGGCGGGAGAGGATGAGGGCGGATTTGATGCGGTAGAGGGGGGGGTTGGGTTGGGGGGTTGGGGCGGTTGAGGTTGATGCTGCTGCGTTGGAGGTGGAGGGGTTTGAGGAGGTGGTGGTTGTTGTGCTGCTTGTGGAGGCGGCTGGTGGTTGTGTTGCTGATGGGGGCTGCGGGGCAGAGTGGGGGGTGCTGGCGGTGCTTGTCGCTGCTTCGACGGCGTAGTAACGGCGGGAGGCTAAGGGAAGGGTGGCCGCTCGAGAAGTAAGTGTTGTCGCAGCTGGGAAGGTGGTGGTGGTGGTTATCCTAGGCCGGGGGGCGGGACGAGCACACTGGGTGCACACTCGCTGGGATCCTGGAGAAGGCACAATAAGTTAGCTCGAGGAATTCTGATATTGAAACAGAGACAACCCAAACTTACCCCTAAGCAGGGCCGACCCTCTTCCCGGCGCCGACATCATGGTGGTAGTGTGACTTGTGCAGACGCCAACGCCGGTCGTTAAGCGAGTTTGCAATTGCTTAAACGGGGGGGTTAAGAATATGGGAACCTCAAAATCGCAAAGTCCACTCGCTGCCTGCGAATTGAACCGTGAACTTTTTCCCGTCCTGAACAAAAAGACCCACTTCCAATTGCCCGCTGCTCAACCACACACCGCCTGCTTTATTCTGACTAGCGCAGCGCTTGACACACGGACCACCCGGCTTCCGTCGACTACAACCCGGAAAAACATTTCACTTCGTTTCCTCTTTCTCCTTTTTTTTTTTTTTTCTTCGCGGCGCCAATCCTTATCATCAAGACTGTTTCTCACCTCCAAAACGTCCTGACCATTTACAGGTGCCTAGACGGACATGCGGCTGATTCGCTAGCGGTGCCTGCCTTTTTTTCTACCGGGTTGCTGTTAGATAGTTGCTGCGAACATACCGAATTCTGCTCAACGCGGGATGTCGGTTCGTAATTCGTGCTCCAATTCTAAGCGCTGCTACTTCTCTTACCTGCATGACAATAGTAGCCATCCTGTACCGCATTCACTTTGACCTGTCTTCAGTTGTGCCGCGCCTGCTGTTTAACGTGTATTTTGTGGCAGGCAGTGATTATTTGGACACTCGCCTAAGCCCATTCAACGTCATGTGAATGCCACGGAGCGAGGTCGTGACCATCCATACAAGAGATGCCACTGCCGCCGTAATCAAGGCCAAACTTTAACCACTGACCTTCCTCGCTCGACCCTCAGCACCATTCCCCAGATAATTCACATCCAAATCCCATCCAAAAACGCCCTGACCGGCCACCCCAGGCCCAACAAACAACGAAACAACATGCTCCAAAGGAGAAGGAAACCACCTCGAATACAAAACAACCTCATCACCAGACCCCAAGCTAGGACAATAAGACCCAGGGTAGCCTACAAAACAGCACCCTCACGCTTGGGCAATGACACTGATTCATACCAAGGGAGATGAGATAATCAAGAAGCAGAGTAGTGTGACCCCCAAAAGAGGCCAGCAGCTCAAATAACTCAATATCAAATATCCCCCCCCCAAACTCAAAACCAAAACGCCTACTCGATAAACTTCCCAGGTATCAATGACTCCCTACCTAAATACATACCCCATAACCCATAACCCATAGAATACACAACCAACCCCAACCACCCCCCTTCCTTTTCTTTTCTGAAAATACCCACCCGCTATGAACCCATCCCGTCCCATCCGCCTTTCCAGGTTGAATCAAACCCATTCATTCATTCACAGCCGTAACCACCCATCATCCCTTATCCCTCATCCCCCATCCAAATCATCACCTTCAACCCCCTGCCAACCGCTAGAGTGGTGATTGAGTAATAATTTGACACGAGATGGGAGCTGGGAAATAAGAAAGCGGATAAAATAAAATAAAATAGAATAGGAGTGCCTCCCTTGAGAAAAAAGAAGAGAAGACATGATTGAGTAGCAATGGTAGCCATGCCGTGCTGTGATCCGCATTTTCTACTGCTCTTCTTATCTTCCCCTCTGCCGCCGCCATCTCTGTTGCCCGTCATTCATATGAATGTCACATGTCCATAAAAGAAGGCCGCCCAAACCCGTCGTCGTGGTTGTAGTTGTATATCGTCGCAACGGATTCGAGGCGTCGTCGTCAAGGTTCCATTGTACTGTACACTCCTCATACAACTCTCTTCTTCCTCATTCCATTCCATATCCTCTTTCAACTCCAAACCCTAATCTTAACTCTCGTTCTCACGCCTTCAAAGAAGCCACAGCCCTCGCCACCTCCCTCGTCGCCAACCTCTCCCACCCCTTCTGTACATTCTCATCCACAGCCTCCCCAACCGCGTCATTTCCTCCCGTCCCTGTCCCCGTGGTTGTTGTCCCTATCCCTACACCACCCGCGGCCGTCGCCCCCAATGGGCCTCCACTCGCAGGCTCCCTAGCCTTGACCTCTTCATAGATCTTGCGCGAAATATCCCGGTTAATAGTCTCGTATTGCTCTGCCGTTAGTTGTTTTGAATGCCAGTGTGGCTTGAGCGCGCCCCGTACGATCTTGCTGATGCTCTCCTTCATTTCTAGTGGGAGCGCGTGGGAGTGCGGATGTGGGTGCGGATGTGGGTTGGGGTTAGGGTTCGGGTTGGCGTGGTTTCGTGTTGGTGATGTACTCTGCGGCCGTGACCGGGACCTTGATGTCGACGATGACAAGATCCCTCCGGGCGCTCGCTGTGGTTGGGGCTGGCGGATCTCGAGTGGGCCATGTCGGTTGATAGCGGCTGTCGCAGCGGCACTGGCAGCCGATGGCCGTGGCCGTTGTTGTTGTTGTGGTCGTTGCCTGCGCCCGCGGTGGTGGTGTTCTGAATCGCTGTTGTCGGGAGACGACTGGGCGGTGTCCCGTGACGGTCCCCGTGGCCGACCTCGTTGTGGTGAGGATGACCGGGACTCCTCTGCTGTGTCGAGCGAGAGCCCTCTTGTTGGGGTGTAGGATGGTGAAGCGTAGATGGGTGCGATATGCGAACTGAGTGTCATCACCGGCGAGGTTGCGCGATTAGGCGGCGGTGGTGTGGTTGATCCGTGGCTGTGCGCGGGTGATGGGGCGTCATTAACACCCGGAATCGGCCCAAACATCTGCACTAGTGAATCCTCGTCCGATGGCGTGCTCATCTCGACCTCCTTGAGCAACGAGGAAAGGAACGAAGGTGGAGCCTCGGCCGTCCTTGAAGATGAACCGTTCTGTGGCTGATGCTGATTCTGCTGTTGCTGGTGGTGAGGGTGGGGTTGTTGTTGCTGCTGCCGTGATGTAGATGTTGATGATGATAATGCCGAGTCCCGGGCGGCTGACGAGGATGACTCGCCGTTCTGAGGCAGCAACCGCCTCGTGCGCGGCCGCTTGAGTTTCCTTTCTGGCTCGTGATGAGGTTCCTCGCTCGGCTCTGCCGTGGCAGACCGTGACTTTCGCTTCCTCGACTCCATCTCCCGTGCCTTCTCCAGCGCGCCCCAGGCTAACCGTTCCTCGCGTGATGGCGGGTTCGGCTGTGGTTGTTGTTGATTCACCCACCGCGGGATATTGTTCAAAAACACATCCCTCGCTCCGAGTCGGGCCGCGATATTCAGCCGTTGCTGCCAGCGCTGGTGTTCGTCCCGCTCTCGCTCGCGCAGCTGCCGTGATCGCTGCAAGCCCTCAAACACAGCCGAGTCCTCCTCGTCCTGATAGTCAAGGTCGAGCTCGAGCGCGTCCCACACTCGGCCGGTGATGCGACCCCAAGCCCCCTGCCACTCATCCGACCGTGCCCGCTGCCTCGCACGTCGCATACTAGCCTGTGTGCGCGGGAAGTAGTACCCACGGCTCATGAACCCGCCGTCTCGGCTGGGCACGTTGTCGACGGGCTGCATGATGTCCGGGCCCAGGGCGTGCTCGCACTCCATGCAGAACCAGGGGCCACGGGGCACTTCGTCGAGCTCGACGCAGTAAGTGTGGTATGCGGCGTCGCAACCGTCGCAGAGTAGGAGTGTCTCCTCGTCGCCGGACGAGTTGCACACGGGGCATCGACGGCCCGGCACATCGGCCTGTTCGGTGAACTCCTCCATCCATTCTCGGGGGTCGTACTCGGGTACTACCGGGGCCTGTCTCTTGTCCTCGACTTTACGGGTGGATAGTGTTTTACCTATTGCCAAAAGGAAAGTTGTTAGTTAACGGTGTCCGTCTTTGATTTTTGTTGATTCAAATTCCAAAGTTACAACAAAGGCAACGTACCTCCAATCTTGTCGTAAACGGTGACATTATGAAATGCCTGGCGGCAGATCGGACAGCTGTTGGCCTTCTCGGTCCATTCGCGCAGACAGCTATCGTGCAGCATGTGGCCGCACACATCGATCTTGGCTACATCTTCGTGGTTGTCCCCATGCACCAACCCGTTGTTGGCGTCACCTAGGGCTTGTTTCCCTGCTAGCGTTTCTGCATCTGCAATGGCGAGGTGTTCGTGTTTGACTGTGGGGGACTGTGGTGGCTGTTGTGGTTGTTGCTCTTGTTGTTGTTGGTGTTCTGGGTGCTGCTGCTGCTGCTGCTGCTGTTGCTCTGCAGGGGCCAGCGGGGTCGGGAGAGCGCTGGCCTCCACGTCCAGTGGCTCCAGACAGACGATGCACTGATCGGCCATGGCGAGTGGCGACCCGAGCGGGGGAAAAAAGGAAAAGAAAGTGTCAAAATAAATTGAGCCAAAGCCGGCACAGATGCCGCTTTAATGAATTTCGTATCGGTATTTGATTTTGGTCGGAATTGGCAGGTATTTTTGATGCGTTTCGTCGATTCAAAGCGTTGGGATGCTGTGTTGCTTTGAGCGTTGCGCTGCTCTCTTTAACGGCTGGGGGAAGGTGGTGCTGTCTCTTAGTGGTGGTTGCAGTGGGTTTTTGGGAGGGTTAAGGTTCAGTTTGCCTGCTGCGGGTGGTCGAGTTAGAACCCTTGGCCGTTGCAGTGTGTGAGCGTGGGCGGGATGACGGGAGGAGTGGAGCGTGTGTGCGTGCGTGCAGGCAGCTCAAAGCGCAGGGCATGGAAAAAGTGGAAGTGAGAGAAATGGAAGGGAAGGATGGAAAGAGCGTTGCTTGGTGCTGGGCCAGAGAGGTGCCTGCCCTTTTGCGTCCGGTCCCGTGTGAGCGCCGGCTTGGGGGTGCCGCAGCCAATCAACAGGGCTCCTCACAGTGCAAGGTCGTAGCGGGAAGGCCCAGCCCGGGCAGGCAGTTCGGGGGCCAGCTGACTGACTCTTTTGCCCTGAACGGAGACTGTGTGGGGAGGATATTTCGGGGCTTGCAGGACAAATGAGGAATGAGGAGTCTTGGGAGCTTTGTTGAATGAATGGGAGCAGTTTGACTGACCGCTTCAAGATAAGTGCGTCGGATTTTTGGTGGAGGATACGAAGGTAGAGAGGTGCTGTATCTCCCCAGATCGAGAATGAGGATCGTGGCTGAGTGGTAGGAGTGTCTTGTATCTGCCCCAGATGCCCTAGGACAAAGACAACAGAAAAGAAGGAATTGGGGGATGAGATGAATTACGTCGGTTCGTAGAGTAGGTTGGTGGGAACTTGGTACGAGTGTTGGATCCGATTTTCCGCTTGGCTTGTGCTGAGGAGGAGGGGAGCCGACCGATTCTCACGTGTTGTGGCTATCATGGGTATGCCGAAGTTGTAGCTCTTTCTTCCCCCGGACTCTGCTGGGACGTGAGACCTCGCCACCGGTTGGAGCCAGAGTTACACGAGTTGTTTGACCGAGTTCACGGACTTGCTCCTAGTAAAGCCGGATTGGGGGCGGGCCTATTTCTCTCAGCATCACACATAAATAAATATGTAGTTCCTCTGATTCTGCGTCAACGAAATGACGAAATTGCAAAGGGTTGGGGACATGAGTCCTGAGCCCGCAGCGTGCTCGCCCCTCACTTCACCCGATTCGGGAGACGTTAAGGTTGGTGAGTGCGATCCACAGCAATTGTGGTAGGCGAAACGGCAAAACAACTCGAGACGGGTTTCCCACCTGCCAAGCCCACACTGGGCATCCGATTCCGTCATCCTCTTCGTTTGCACCGCATCTCAGTCGCCTTATCCCGACAGCCCTCCGTTCGGTCATCAGGGCCTGATCATGTCAGGTACTGTGGTGAATTGTGGCACGGTTAGCATTCGAGACAGTCCCTTGGCCCCAGGCCTCCAATCATGGGCCTTGGTAGGCCTGCGTGGGGGCTATTAGGTATGGGGGTTGTGACTGGCAGCTCCACGTTCACATCCGGAAAGTTAGAAATCATATTCGTAGTCATCGCGCTCTGTGAAGACCGGTATCGCCCTACTATTTTGAGTGAGTCTGTGGCTGACGAGGCGGGCAGGGCGCCCAGGCGTAAATGGGGAGAGAACGGAGCCGGGGTTCGTTTCGTCGTTACTTTGCACATTCACCCGAAATGCACCGAAGGTCGGTTCGCCCTGTCGTGGAACCGCAGCCAATGGGATGTGTCATGGTCATTCGATAAACTGCAAGGTCTAAAAAATCGGCGACCTTGACGGCCTCGCCCCCCAGCGATCATCGTCATGAGGGGGGTTTCGCGGAGTGCCGGTTCGGTTCTCGCCCGTATCATATATCTGACATCGTGACTCGAGACCGGGGACTCATCGTTGCTCAAAGAATTGTCATTGATGGACCCGCCGTACCCTACGGCTGAATGTGTATCGCGCAGCCTCCGTTGTCCTTTTCCTTGACACCAAACCTGAAAGCAAAAGCACGCCCAACGCTCCTCTAAACCTCGGTGATCTCGCGGAGACGGCGGAGGGTTGACCGCATGGCGGCCGCCGCGGGGGTCCTAAATTGCCAAGTCAGAATACAGCCCTCGCTGAGCCCAGCGACAGCACGGGGTCACTTACGCAACACTGTAAGCACCACCAGCCATGGTCTTCTTGCAGGCCTTGCAGTTCTGTTGAATCATGTTAGTTGCTGCCGGTGTGGTTGCATTGTTGCAAGTTATCGGGCGAGTTCGCGGGATTCGACGCATAGAAACGTACCCAGATGCCAACGGCCGAGCGACGAACGGTGTCTGGTTCCGAGTTAGCGTTTGAGTTTTGTTGTCAACGGAAATGGATTGCACTCACTCTTGCCGCAGAATGCTGAGCGGGGAAAATGCATGTCAGTACATGGGTATAACAAAGCGCACAGGTCGACTACGCCATTTTCTGTTCAAATATGGTGCCGGCCTGAAGGGATCAGTCGGGGTACATACTGCAAGTGTACCTGGCGTGCTGGGAAACTTCCTGCTCTGTGGTTGAGGTTAGCACGGCAACGATAGCGCCAAGAATGGAGGCAAGGTAGAACGTACTCTTCACCAGCTTACGGAGCGAGGCACCGTATCTGAAGTTGTTGTCAGTTCCATGTTCTCATCAAAATCACTTGGTCCGCCCTCGACAAAGCACCGGTCCGTCTCGAAATGGTGGGCATGGGAACCGTGCTGCGCGGGTATGGCATTACAACGATGCCATAACCACATGCATAGCCCTAAGACTCGCAAAACCCAAGCGCCAAAAGCGAAAACGCCTTCGGGACTGGACGTTTCATTCGTAGATTTCGACCTCCCAATTCGACGGGCCATCGAACCACCCACAACACACTGCCCCGCGCTTCCTCCAGGCCATGGCGCCGGTGTGATAGATCAGGTTTCGGAATGATCGAAATAACGGTGCTTCGACGAGGGCGGATCGGGAATCAGAACGTAGGAGAAGTTGGGATCACGAACCTTGTGCCATACTATTTTCTCCATTGTCAGCGAGGGCCACAACTAACACACTTCTAGCACCAACGTCCAGAATAAAGGAGATTAGAAGAAAATGGATGTTCGATAACGTACCTTGCCGGAGATGCCGACCTTCTTCGTGCGCTTGGACATCTTGACTGATTTGAAGGGGTGCTTGCTGTTGCTAGAATCTCTTCAAATTGGGCGACTCGCTTGAAAGATGGCGGGCAGGCGATTTTGAGAAATGTGCACCTTATTTTTCTTGGTGTGCGGGACCGGGGTGCGGGCGCGCCTGCCGGGCAGAGCGGAGCTAGGGCGGGACTGGCAGAACCGTTTTCCCGGATTGCTAGAAAAGTGGGACAAACTATTATGAAAGAGAGACCTAACAGCTGGTAACGGCTGTCAGTTTTTTGTGGGGTTAGGATTTCGAAAACGCAGCTGAGGCCACTGGCAACTTTTCATGTGGAAGTCTTCAATTCCTTTGCTTATGACAACCTTCTCAGCGACTCATGAACATGCTCAGAGAGGCCACAACCGAATTGAACTGCTTGAACTTTGAATCAAACGTTTCCCAACCCGGAAACATCCCGTCGCCAACCCGGGCCTCGGACAAGATCCGATTCAACCTAGTGGCCAACATCGGATGGTGGTTTCCTGATCTGGCGAAGTTCAGCAGTGGGAACTTGAACGTGGCGGGCGCAGGGATCGCACCCGATGGTGAAGTGCAAGCGTCCTGGGCATATGAAGAGGTGACAAGCAGCGCAACTCTATTTCCCAATCTTTCTGTTCATGTACATTTGAGACGACACCTAGTGAAATAAATTCAAACACAGTTTTGTCACCGCCCGTTTAGTTAGGATCGAGAATTTAGTTTGCTCTGGTTCAATCGAGAACCGTGCACGCCATTTCGGAATAACTTCAAACTTGCACCATTTCTGAGCCAAACCAAGTGAACTCACGACACTAGATTCCATTATCATCACCATGGCGCGCAAACAACACGGCCGCCAATATGACGTCGTCGTCTTCGGCGCTACCGGTAAGTCACCATCACCATCATCTCGTCGACCAGCATCAAACAAACACTAACGAAACCCAGGCTACACCGGCAAATACACGGCGCAATACATCACCACCCACCTACCTACCGACCTCAAATGGGCCGTCTCCGGCCGCACCCACTCCAAGCTCGAAGAGCTCGTAGCGGAGTGCAAAACCCTCCAACCCGACCGCCTCCAACCCGCCATCGAAGTCTGCGCCCTCACCGACGCCGACCTCGCCTCCCTCGCCCAAAAAACCTACATCCTCATCACCACCGTCGGCCCCTACGGCAAACTCGGCGAACACGCCTTCAAAGCCTGCGCAGAAAACGGCACCCACTACCTCGACGTAACGGGCGAAGTCCCCTTCGTAGCTCGCATGCTGCAAAAATACTCCTCCGCCGCATCCCGCTCCGGCGCCCTCTTATTCCCCCAAGCAGGCATCGAATCCGCCCCCGCCGACCTCGTCACTTGGTCCCTAGCCTCCTTCATCCGGTCCGAATTCCACGGCGCCCACACGCGCGACGTGACCGTCTCCATCCACAACTTGCACTCGGCCCCCTCCGGAGGCACCCTCACCACCGCCCTGACCATCTTCGATTACTTCACCCTCGCCGAACTGCGCGCCGCTTATGCACCCTACGCCTTATCCCCGATCCCCCGCCCGGCCACGGCCGCCCCGGTCCCGACCAAACCCTGGCTGACCCGCCTCACGGGCCTCATCACGGTGCCCTCGCTGGGCTTGCTAACAACCTCCATGGCAGGCGGGACCGACGCAGCACAGGTACAACGCACCTGGGGTCTGTTAGAGACGGTACCGACACGTAAACAACAAGCGTACGGACCGAACTTCTCGTTCCGGGAGTTCATGAAGCCGCGGAATTGGTTGACAGGGATTGGGGTGCATTATGGGTTGTTGGGGGCCGGGTTGGTGATGGTTACGCCGTGGTTGAGGCGGTTTGCGGCGGGTTGGTTGCGGTATCAGCCTGGTCAGGGCCCGGAGGTTGAGGCGGCGAAGGCGGATGAGATTGAGTATAGGGGCGTGGGGAGACGGGATGGGGGTGCGGGGGAGAGGGTCATGTGTCGGGCGGAGTTTAGGGGGAGTATGTATTACTGTGAGTTCTCATTTTCTTCCTCTCTGTATTGCCTAGCTCTTCCTCCCTTTATTTGCAAAATAAGCAGTAGTAACCGAGTTGCTAACCACCACACAGTAACGGGCATCCTAGTAGCTGAAGCGACATCCTCGCTTCTCGAAGACGATGTGGACCTACCCGGCGGCATCTACACACCTGCGTGCCTGGGACAGGGTTATATTGACCGGCTGGAACGGGCGGGATTCCACTTTGAGACGAGGCACTTGGAGGACTGAGGCGGGGGATGCAAAGAGACCAAGACCAAGAGGCGGACTGCAGATGTAGTAGCAGATATGCATTCTATTCATGCTCGCGCGACGCAAGTCGGGGGGGTATCTCTCATAACAGAGGGTAAACTAAAAGAAACAAGACTGAAAAAAGAAAAGATACCAAGTGCTTGCTAGCTATGCACGCTCGAAACAGAAACCGACACCGTCCTCGTTTTAGGTCGTCCCCACCATTTCGACCACCATACCCCGTCGTTGTTCTCGGTTCGCTCCCTTTCCCTTGACCCGACCAGCCGTACTTGTGAGCCCATGTATCCCATCCCGTCACTGTCATCATCTTCCTCCCCGTCCTCGTCTCCATTATCATCATCGTCATCATCCCCCTCATCCTCACTCCCGCCCACATCATCCTCCTCAGCATCATGAGCATCTCTCCCAATCCCATCCAACCTATACTCCCCCACAAGCAAAGCCATCCCCACGACCGGCCCACACCCCACAAGCGCCACCCACAACAAAACCGTAATCGTCTCCTGATACGATCTCGCAATCGCCTCCCTTTCGGGGCTACCCCACGCATAACTACACGCCACCACAACGCTTGCATAAATCTTGTCTGCTTCGCTGCGCGCCGAGTCGGGTAAGTAAGCGTGGAGTTTACCGGGCACGAGACGGCCCCATATGGCGCCGGAGAGGGCGGAGCCGACGGCGGCGCCGACTTGCACTAGGGTTAGGAAGGAGGCGGTTGCTACGCCGACGTATTGTTGTTGTTGCTGCTGATGCTGGGGAGGAGAGGTGGTGGTGGTGGTGGAGGAGGAGGAGGAGGAAGAACGCCGTGGGTGAAGAAGGATATCAGGACTGCTAGCAGCAGCCTGGACGACCAGCTGCGTAGCGACATGCATCAAACCGGCGCCAGCGCCTAAAGCAGTCTGGGCCGACACGAGCGCGAACACAGACGCGCCGCGAGTGCGGGTGTGCAGGAGCACGGCAATCGCAAATGTGTAGAGAACAGCACCGGTAATGATAAACGGCCTCGGGCGCGGCGAGGCAAGGCGGCGGATGATGAGCGAGGCACAAAGGGCAGCGATGGTAGAGGCGAAGGAGAAGGTCTGGGTGATGGGGCCGGCCTGGGAGACAGGCAGGTTCAGGGCGACGAGGAGGTAGGAGTAGAAGTAGGGCTGGACGGCGATGTAGAAGACAGCGAAGTAGAAGAAGCCGAGGGCGCAACCGGCGCAAAAGGTCCGAGACCGAAGCAGCTGGAGAGGGAGGAGTGGGTGCGGCGCGCGGGATTCCCAGACTGGGAAGAATACCAGGAGCACGGCGCCGGTGAACATCATGAGGAGCAGTCGTGGGTCGTGCCAGCCTGCGGGGGAGCGTGAGACGAGCGTGAGAGGGATTAGGATTAGCGAGAGGCCGCCCGAGAGGAGCAGGGTGCCTCCCACGTCGAGATCGTGGAACAAGCGGTTGACGGCTGTGCTGAAGGGCTCGCGTTTTCCGGGATATTGGTGGTTACGCTTCGGCTTCTTGATGAGGCCCATCCTCTCCGCCTTGCGGCCGTTGAGGAACAAACTCAGGGCCAAGGGGCAAAACGCAAACGGGAGGATAATCGCCCAGATCCCGTAGCCGACCCGCCAGGTCGAGTTGGCGAGGATGAAAGCAGCGATGGCCGGGCCGATCCACACGGTAACGAGGAACGGGCTATCGGGCAGAGAGGAGAAGAGCGCGCGGTTCAGGAAGTCGCTGGTATCGGCGATGAAGACCTGCTGCAGGATCTGAAGGCCCGTCGATCCAGCCGAGTAGAAGATCTGGGCGGACGCGTAAGTCTGGACGTTCTGCGAGGCGGCCATTTGGATGTAGCCCAGCACGCAGAGCACGACGGAGATGCAGAAGGCCTCCAGGCGGCCAAACACATCGGCGAGCTTGGCCATGGGTGGTTTGATAACGGCTGTCCAGGTTAGTCTGGAATCTAAAAGGGGAAGGGGGATGAAATATACCGTTTACCACCCCTTGGACCACAAAGACCGTCGACAGCAGCGAGTGGTTGTTGAACGAGCTGACCGCAAAGGCCGTCAGGGAATAGGTGACCTGGCCTTCCAACGACACCGTAAAGGCCATGAGAAAGATGCTAGGTCGCCTATATTAGCGGACGTCTAACCAAAACCACAAACTGGACACCCACCTCAAATAAGCCACCACCAGCCCCCATTTCGACCACGTCCGGGCCACCGCCTCAATACGCCGGACGCCATCCTGAACATCCAAACCCAACTCCGGCTCGTCCACGTCCCCGCTCCCGGAACCAGCCGCCAAGTCCGCAACAGTGCCGTATTCCGCATCCCGGGTGTTGTCCGGCCGGCCCGGGAGCAAAGCGGCCCGGACATCACCATCGACGGGCGAGATGGTTTTAGCCTCTCCCATGTCCGCAGTCGGTTCCCGGCGTGCCGAATATCGATACTATCCGCGGGTTTAGGTCGAGCATCTACAGCCCCGGTCCCCCCGACAAACTTGGAACCTCTCGTCTGACAGGCCGGTGTCTCGCGCGCCCATGGGTTTCTTTGTTGCGGGGCGTCGGTGACTGTGGTTGTTCGTCGGTCGAAAAAACGGTCGATATTTCGGTTCCAAAGGTGACAGTGTAGGTAGGGGAGGATGTTATTCAAATCAACTACCCAAAAAGCCAGCCGTCTCAAAAGCCGCCAGCAGGTAAACGAAAAAAATAAAAAAAATAAACAAAAAGTCCCCCAATAGCAAATCGTTCAAAAACAGAAAAGTCGTAGGAACGGATCGGTCGTTTAATCAGGGGTGGTTCGGCATTATTATTTGACTCACTTGCCCGCGCTCATCAGCTGAGCCACCGAGCGAGCTCCCGCTGCGAACCACCACTCCGGCAGCAAGCAGCGTATTGTGGTCCCCGATTTAGTTATTGAACGACCGCCGCCTGTTTTGCCTGCTGCGGCCTGCGTGCCTGTCTTGTCTTGTGTTCCCCCACGCCGGACAGCAAAGGCCGGATTGGAGAGCGGGTTTCAGGTGGTGGGTGGGTGGTGTGTTGTCCAGTCACAGTGAGGGTTCGGATCGTGCCATAGGACGAGGTCTTGGAGGGAAGCTAGGAGAGGAAAGAAGAAAAAAAGATGATTCTAGGACGGAGGTAAAGCGAGAATAAAAAAGACAAGAATCGGAGTTTCTAAGTATGAGAAAATAGGTGAGTTCGGCAGAAGAAATGCGAAAACGAAACACCCTGACCGAGGCATCCCACTTCACTCACACACACACACACCTCTCCGAAGAACGGGGAAGGGGGAACACATCCCACACGCACACAGTGGATACACAGTAGCCCGACACAAGTCACCTTCGGCCTTCGGCCAACCCAATCCAGAGCCCGAGACGAACCGCCCACTCTCGTCCCAGGTCGGCAAATCTCAACCAAACTGCTGCATCGCAAAAAGCGAACAAGGAAAAAAAAAAAAGCAACTCGGAAAGCGCGAAGCACCTTGCAGGAACCAGTGACACTTCAGTTCTGCACCTCAGCTGCATGCTCAGGCAGGAGGGCAGTCACCGGGGCGTCGGAACCCCACAATTGGGGCGGATTTATCAGATCCTGTTGATAATCTGCATCCACTCAGCGTCAGTCGTGTGGGGAATCAGGCGGCCGGATGACCCGCTGGGCCGCTGCCGTCGTGAATACCTTCTTCCGCCTGTCTCTCCCGTCTGAACTCAGACATGGAGGAAACGATGAGGGGGAATGGGCTAGTGTAAAGTTCTAAAATCACTTTTTCCACACATTTTAATCAAATATCCAATCACTCGTAGTTGTCCACCGCATTGCATTTATCCTGCATCGGAACTTTTCTTTCCAGCCATGCCTCAGACGACGGTGTGGACGGTGTGCAACATCCCCACTTCTGCAGCGCCCAGCCGTCGGTTCGGGGGAGAAGGCAGGTGGCCCATCTGCAGTGCCTGATTCCCGGCTGGCGTTCGATGTCGCCTGACGATGTCGGGGTGTTGGGGCCGTGTCGTGTCGGATGTGTGCATTCTGTAGGAGGGGTTCCGCAAGAGGGGATGCGTCGGAGTTTCTCTTGCATACCCTCATACCATACGAAAACTGTGCGTGCGATTTGAATCCAAGGGACAAAGTGGGATCATTTTTAACTCTTACCTGCCCTGTTACAAAATAAAAAGCAATAAATCGCCTACCCTGAATTCCCTCTCGGACCCCGGATCAGATTGCCGAAGCAGCCGGGGACTGACGCTCACGCTGACGAACTCCGGCCCGTCCCGACGGCTTTTCACGGTTACAAATTCGGCCGGGCAGGCATGCTGCAATCTCCTGCAAGGATCGCCAAATCGCCGCCGAACCCTTTTTGGGCGCGCGGGGATAACATTAAATTTTTGAGCCTAGATAGAGTTCACGGTACTGTGTGCATGCTATGTAATTTGGAATCTCAATCCCCAGCCTACGGTAAACCAGGCATAATATCCTACCCGCAGGTCCAGCCCATCGAAACATTACATTTCCCAACCCAATCCTCTTTCCAACCCTATCTTCATCGCCATTCCATCACTCGACCGGTTAATCGAGCAAGCAAGCAATCGATCAATAAAATCAAGTTCAGCAAGCGAGTCAAACATGAGGATATATTCTCCTTTTCACTCAAGGCCCCATACCATCACCATTCCCTAACCAAACCATATTACCGACCAACCCATCCGCCCATCCCATCCTGCTCCATGTTGACCATCCGTCCGTCCCATCACCCCTATCCGCCCGCGACGAAGAAAACAAAGGAGATTGACCCCCCTAAAAAAAGGGCAATCCAGCATGCAGAGTGTAGATAGAGCATGTGTAAGCGTATATACATATAACGATTAACGAAAATACACAAGGACAACCAGACATGTATATCTTTTATTGCAAATCATAGGTAGAAAAAGGAGACATAAAATAGGTATAGGCATAAACAGTAAGTAAGTCAGTAGATAGGGTAAGTAAATAGTAGGAAGGAGGACCATAATTTTCACCACCCCCATCCATGAGACCAACCGCGATATCAACAACAGTGACGATATCAATAACATCAGCAATAACAACAGCAGCAGCAGCAGCACCAACAACAACAACACCAACACTAACAAAACAGGAATCAACTCATACGACGGCGTGAGAGACACTCAGGGGCGACGTGAAAAACGGGGCAACGAAAGATGGGCATAGACATAGACAGAGTAATCAAAAGTAAAACAAAAAAAAGTAGCAAGGCTCAATCAAAAAACATTGTGGTATCGTATCCCTTTCTTTCCTGGCCCTTTCTCTTCATTTCCCCCCGTCTTCTTCGTCTCTTACACAAAAAGTTTAAGCACAAGATATAAATGGATGGGTGTGTTACAAGTCGGCCGGCCGGCCAAACAACCGGGGAAACCTCGGATATTCTTCCATCCGGATAAGAAAGAAAGTTAAGGAAATAGGTGTGCACTAGTAATGGCGGGTCCGGAGAGGATAAAATGAATCGTGTGGAGATCGGTAGGGAGTGAGGTATGTCAAGAAGATAGATCGTGATGCATGCGAGACAGCGCTGGCGTGTTGTGTTGCGTTGTGTTGTGATGTGTGTTTGTATGGTGTATTATGTGTTGTATGTGTGTGCGTGTTTTCGCTGTCGAGCCTGGTGGAGCGTGTATTTGCATAGACAGAGACAGACCCGCGGCTCGGTAATGACGACCGCGACGAAACGGCGTATAAGTCCTATCCGTTCTGAACACCCAGAAACGGCGTCCCGCATGCATCAGTTGTGGTACAGATGGGATACGTTGAACGGCCTCGGACTCGTCGTCGGGTAATCTTCAATGCCCGGATGATCACCGTCGTGTAGTGTAGCGACCGGATATTGCGTGCGGCGCAGCACAACCAGCGGAGCGAGCGGTTGTGAGCCACTGGTACCGCCCACTGTGCCGTGGCTGCGCGTGTCTGTGGCGTTTATCACGACAGGCAGCGGCGGGTAATGTGCCGTGTCTGGCCAGACCGGGGCCGCCGAATCTTGATTGCCGTGTCAGGAGCCGTCTCGCACACCGTTATGGTACGGTATGGTATGGTACGGTGGAGTAAGTCTCCTACTCACGAGATGAGGGATGGAGTCGCAAACCAACGAGACAAGTCTTGTAGATCAAGCTTCCTCCATAATCCCTCCCTCGCCGCCCCCCTCTTCCCTCCACTCCCGGCTCTTCTCCGTCAGCCTGCGAACACCACCAACGCGCCCGGCCCACAAAGCCTCAACAGGCGTGCGGAAGGTAAACGCACGCTGCGAGCTGATCACGCCAATGGCCTGCAGCACGGCCTTGCGGCTGTCGCGGCCAAACACCGCTGGGTGGCTGATCCATTCGAGGCTGGACTCGAGCTCGGCGTCGAGGGCGGCCACGGTGGTAGCGTCAATGCCGGCTGAGGTGGTGGTGCCGATGGTGAGGCCGTCGTTGGACCGGCTGCGCGGGAGCAGGGGGTTCGGGATGGGGTTGTTATGGCTGTTGTTACCGCCGAGAGCGGCAGAGGCAGCGAGATGGGCCGAGGTAGGCGAGGGCGTGTTCTTACGGTCCGGAGTGCCCAGACGGTTCGGAGAGGTACCGTCCCGGTCCGAGCCTGGGTGAGGCGTAGACGGCTGCGACTTGAGGGTGTTCGCGCTTGTAGCCGTCGTCGGAGTGGGCGGAACGGGAGGCAGACCCCCCTTTCCAAGGCCCTTGAGGATAGAGCGGGTCTCGGCCAGCAGGGTATGTGCGCGGTCGTGTTGGCCGCGGCTTACCAAGGTCAGAGCACGGGTGAGCATGTCGGAAGTGAGCAGTTCCATGCGGCGCTGCACAATATGCGGATGCGGGGGGATCGGCGGGGCATTGCTGTTGCCCCAAGTCTTGCGCGGGTTCACAGCAGGCAGCATGGTGATGGCCAGCAGGCTGGGGCGGGTGTGCTGCACGGAGCCATCGCCGCGCAGGACGTCGCCCCAGCTAATCTCGGCCTGAATCAGCGGCACCTCCTCGACTGATACGGCGCGTTGCTCGTCCTGGTCGATGGCACCGCCGCCGAGGGCCTCGAGGCCGGACACAATGTTGTCCCACGGGTCTTGGGGCAACTGCTCCTGCGACGACGTATCGGGCAGCACGACCAGCTGCACCAGGACGTCACGCTTGTCACCAAAGCGCAGGTCGCCTAGGGAGGCCTCAGCCTCGCGGCCCGTGGCGCGCTTCGTGATCTGCAGCGCGCCGCTGATCTTGTGGAACTTGGCCGGCGAGCCCTCGGGCAGACGTAGCTTCAGCTTGACATTCTGGTGCGACAGCGTCTGGCTCGCCCCCAGACACCCAGCGAGGCACTCGCGCAAGTTCATCCAGTCCTTAACGTACGTGTACGACGCCTTGGTGCGCGTCGACAGCTCGATCATGGTGTCGGGTTTGTGCGTCATGCCCAGGCCGAACGAGTGGATCGTGATCTTGGCCGCTTCGGCGCGCGACACCACGAAGTCGACACTGTCGGCGTCCGACGTTGACGCGTCGCTGATCAGCATGATGGTCGCAATTGGGTTGTTGTACTTGCGCCCCATCAGCAGGTCCATGGCCACGTTGGCGCCCTCGACCACGTCCGCCCGGTGGCTCTTCTGGCCTACCGGCTTGATCGCGTTGAGCACGTTGCTCCAGCCTGCCCATGCCTTGGTCGTCATGCCCACGATCGGCACACCGCCGCCCGATGAGCCGAACGTCACCAGACCCATGCGGTCGCGTTCCCCAAGTGCCTGCACCATGAACCGTAACGCGTCGCGCACCAGGTTGATCTTGACACCCTGCATCGACGCCGAGATCGGCACCACCACGACCACATCAACCGGCACGTGGATCGACGCCTGAGGCCCCGTTTGGCTGCGTGCCGTGTTGGAGTGTGTGTGCGAGTGCGAGTGTGAGTGCGTGGGTGTGTACTCTGTGGGCGCCGTCGTGGCCGACTTGGGACCGCCCCACGACGATGACGCCAGCGACGACACACGCTGCGGCCGCCCTGAGGCGCCAGACACGCCCGAGCCCGAGCCGGACCCCGATCCCGCCCCTGATGCCCGGTTCCACTCGTCTTCCTCCGCCTCCGAATAATCCCCGCGGTCGTAGTCTGGGCTGCGCACCGGCGACGTCTCGACCGCGTTGAGGTCTAACAGCGCCTGTTGCCATAGCTTGAGTTGGTTGCGGTTCTCAAACCGCAGATGGAACTGCGGTAGCTCGGCCACCGACAAGCTGAGCGTCAGCACGTTCTCGTCGATGTTGCCCGTCTCCAGCACCTCGTGCAGGTGCTTCTTGATGAGAATCGAGCCCTTGAGCGTGCACCGCGGTAGTTTACGCGGTGCAGCCTCCTCGCCCCACGTGGGCTGCGTTAGCTGTGGCGCCTGCTTCTTCTCCTTGACGCAAATGAGCATCTCGGCAAATAGGAAGCACTCCAGCTCCTGCCACGATATCTTGTCCTTGCCGACCCGTAGCGTGCCGTAGAGCCGGAGCTTCCCAAATCGGCTAAAGTCCAGCCCGTGCCAGTTGTCCACCCGGCTGCGCAGGTTTTCCGTCATCTCGATCAGCACTTCAGGCGACTCGTACGGGTAGAACCGTGGCGCACTCCGCGCAGGCGACGGTGACCGCATCATCTCCTCGCCCGGCCCGCGCGATGTGGCCGGCGTGAGCGGCGGCGCGTTCTGCAGATCCTCCGGGTCCGGCCGCCATTTGTTGTCGGGTACTTCGATCGTCACGAGGCACGTTAGTGTCTGCTGCTGTCGAGACCGGTTGATAGTCGGGAATTCGGACCGCACTGTGACCGTCGGAGCCGGGATCGGATTCCGTGTCACCGATCGGGGGCTGGACAGCGACGTCTCCATCGCCTGTACATCGTAGTCGTGTCGTCGTGGTGGCCCGCTCTGTGTCGTCTCGGGGTACCCGCCCGAGGACGCCACGCCCGTGGCCTCGCTGTCCGTGCGGGCATGCCGTTGTCCTTGGTATTGGTGCTCGGACGATGGCGCCTCGCGGCTGTCTCGGCTCCCACGAAGGCTACCCTTGGTGTGGCTGTGGTTGCTGTTGTGGTGACTATTATTGATGCTATTGTTGATGTTGTTATGGTTGGCGGCCTCTCGCGGACCGCCGTGTCCAGCGGAACCACCCCGGGCACCAGATCCCCGACTGTGTGGTCGCCCTTGTGGGTCGTCCCAATGGGATGGTGTGGGTGTAGGGGTTGCTTGGGAGCGCGAGTCATTCGCGCGAACCATGTTGCTTATTTTTTCTACGCGCCCTCAGTGGTCAGTAACCATCCCATCGCCAGCATTCCGGAGGAGACCGGATGAACGTCTCGAGACGACTTTCCAGAGAATAGCAAAAAAAGGAAAAACAAAAAAAAAAAGTAGCAAAAAGGGGCCAACTCACCGATATCGAGCACATTTCCTCCACGGCTCGTGTCTAAATGTAGTGGCGCATTGCATGTCGGGCAATACTGCGAGTCGAACTCGCGGATGTACTCGTAGAAGCAGGCCTCATGCGAGACGTGCGCACACGAGAACTGCAGGATCTTCTCGCCGCGGAGCGTGTGCTCCAGCGGCTCCTCGCAGACGGCGCACTCGCTGCCCACAAACGTGCGCTCGCGGCGCGGCCGGCTCCGTTCGGAATTCATCCTGGTGAGAGACGGCGTAGGCGTGGCCGAGACGGCTCGCGAGTAGTTGTCTCGTAGTGTGGTGTCAGAGGAGAAGAGGGAAGGGGTCGTAGCTCGATGGGAGGATGGTGCTCCGCCGAGTGTTCCTGAGGAGATGGAGTGACCTAATTCATGCGTCCGCCACCCCAGATTAGCCTGCTGCTTCCTTATCTGCTAATGGTCTCCTAATCCCGATCTCGACCACGCGCACGGATGGGCAGGTGTTCAAGTCTGCAGGGTCCGCAGGCTCTCGGATACTCCAAATTTACACACGACGCGATGCACGGCTACGGCCGGTCGCCAAACCGAGAAACGTATACGAAAAGGGGGGACAAAACACCACGTACTCCTCTCCAAGTGCGATGGCGAAGGCGTGGCAGCGTACGTGCGCGCCGAGGCCAGGCTGCTCGCGTAGTCGTTCGATGGCCGGCCGGAATCGGTCCTCCGCAGAAGGCCACTACCAGACCGCGCCGTCGACGAGCCCGAACCGCCGAACCCTAAACCGGCAAGCAGTGACCGGTGGAGACTGGGCGACTTGTGCTCCCGGTCGTTTCCAAAACCCTGCCCGATGTTGCTGTTGCGAGATCCGTGGGACCTGCCGAACATGTGGGGATGTGGTGATGCGATGTGCCGTTTATTGCCTGTCGTCAAAGTGCTAAGCTCCGTCTGCGATGTGCTCGGTCGGCAAGGGAGGCTGGGCGCATGGAAGGGAAAGAAATGCAGGTTGCTACAAGCGTCGTGACCGTGAATCGCAAAGTGGCGTCGAAGTGTTAGGGTGTCGAGGTTTCAACGTATCGATAGCTGGATCGGTGTGTCGATGTGATGCCGTCGTGTCCGTGGTTCCGGAAGATCCTCTTGCTGCCTGATAAGTCCGGGATTGTTGCAAACCATAAAAGATATCGCTAGCTGTCGTGTCGGAGTGAAAGAGGGTAGCACAATTTCTTGGGGCCGACCCTTGGAAGCTATGTGTTTCAGGGGCGGTATCAACAATGCGGGTGTCGATCGGAGAGAAGGGGGCGGGGCATGGCCCGGGTCGGCGCGGAGCAGAAAAAGAAAAGAAAGTGGAACAAGAAGCAAGCGAATGCTACAAGTAAGTCGGTCGGTCGGCGTGTGTCCTGCGGGCGAATTGCTGACACTTCTTTTTTTGCCTTCTCTCCCTCTCTGCCGGCGTGTCGATCTTCGGGGGTCTTGGGATCCCGAAAAAGAGAGCAGACTTTTTTTCTTTTGCTGGCCGTTGCCTTCAAAAATGCGCCGGCCGTGAGCGTTGCGCGCCAAGAATGGGGGTCAAACCAGGGTTGCCCGGTATTCGGATCTGGAGTCACCAGCTCAGCGGGCACTTCGCTCGAGATCCTGTCCGTAAGACGGGTAACTACTGGCGTGCTTGGTGTTGCAAAGAGCGGTTGGATGTTGTCTGCAGCCGCGGAAAAAAGCCCCCCAGCCTCCTTGGCAATCCAATAAATCCAGTCAGTCAGCCGCTTGCAGCCGACGAGATCGCGCGTATTTTCGACGTTGCCACCTATCGCGCGCTTCTTCGCAAAGTTGTGCGTCGCCTGTCGTCCTCTCTGCTTTGGGCACAGGAAGCTGCCTCCTGAGCGTAATTATAGTAAGAAGAAACCCAACATATAATAATAATAATAATAAAAGAAGGAAGTTGGTCCCGTCCCCGGCCGCAATGCTTCACAGAAGCAAGAGGTGAGGAAATACGGCCCCGTCGTTGGTCAATGGCGGTTCCCGTGTGTTCAGGTTCACCTCGCAAAGGACCGCGGGGGGAGGAATCGCGAGTGGTCAGGGGACTAAAAATGGAGCCGCGAGGCTATAGGAGAGTGTATTATTATAAGTTGAGAGACGTCTCCGAACCAAGGGCGTGGCCGGGTCGCGTTCCTACGGCATCTCGCTGTCCCAGCAGATGGAGAGGGGGGAAACAAGGTACTTGGGAGGTTTGGCCTGGCTTTCCATGTCTGGGAGCCGGACGGTCTTGAATCCCTGCGGCCCCAGATCGCTGAGCAGTGAGTGGCTGGTTTGGGTCGAAAAAGGGACAAGGGCGCTATCAGCCCTGTCCCTGCTGGCAGCTTTCGTCGTCGTCGTTGCTTCCGTGGTGGGGTCGACAGGCACTCTTCCTCGCACGACAAAATTGAGGTACCAGGACCGGACGGGCCAGGGTTCACGCAGTGCGTCGATTCGCCCAGGCGTGCAGGGGTTTCGATCATTGGTTCCCAAGCCAGCGAGACGTGACAAGACGGCAGCTTCCACTCTCGTCCGCTTCTGTTCCTTGCCGCAAAGACACATGGAGCAGCGAGCCGAGGACGTTGCAGTCTCCTACATATCGGGAGGAATATTGACCTGAACACAGGCCAAACTTTCCACTTGACTCTCTCAAAGGAGGTCTCGGTAACGTACCGCTGTGGGCGGGACGGCTTGGGGTTGCTTCTGAGGATTCCAAAACGGTGCCGTAGCGCCCACCGTTTCTGTGCCTCCTTTCTTGACGTCCTGTCCGTGCGACTGACGCCCTCTGCGAACAGACAGTGCCTCCCTTGCGCCTGCTTGATGCGTCCGTGCCTCGAACCAATATCGCGACCTCGCACCTTCGTGCCCACTGGAACGTGATGCAGGATTCTGCAGCTCACAAGTGGGCTTGCTCAGCGGGCGCAAATGAGATCAGACCGGGCTTGGCCGAGCGGGTCATCCTAGCGCACAACAACCACATTTTTGAACGGCGAGTAATGGATGACGGACGGATCACCCTCCGGCCTCACGTCCCGAGTCATTAGCAAACGATAACTAGACTCCCCGCTGCGTCCGGTTGTTGGTGATGATAGAGAGAGGGGGGGCATACGAATAGGCTCACTCGATATCCTACATCCTACAAAGTACACTACTTCATGACAGCCAGGTTCTTCGATTTCTGCGGCCGCTACAAAACTCGCGAGGCACCTTTTTGAAACGTCGATTGTCGAAATGGTCTTGGACCTCCGCAATCCGATCTGTCGTCGTCTGATGTTTGCTACAGAACGCCCAGTGCTCACAAACATGGCCGCACGTGGCATTGAGACCGGGAGAACGCCAACCGGCTAAAATAACGTTAACGTTAGTCCCTGGCGTCCTTGTCCCCGGTATGGCCGAATTGCTGGTGTCATCCATCGCGTTCTGTGTTGATCTCCCCGTTTTCTGCTCAACGAACTGGCAAAAAATAGACTTGTGAGAAGAGGAGAGCTCCCGTTTTGGATGGATGGAAAAATTGCACCGACGCCAAGAACAGGAAGCATGGCGGGCTTGCTCTTTCCCACTTGGCAAGTGCGAAGTTAGCGCCAGATGCGTCGCTCCCCGAAGCAGCAGGAGCAGCCCAGACAGGTTGACGCCTGTTGCCCAATCCAGTAAGAACCAGAAGATTGGACAGCGCGGGCTCTTCTCGAAGCTTTCAGGAACCACCCACACCTCACACACACACGCACAACGCACAAACTTGATATTTTCCTGATAATAGTGTAGACTTTCAGATACTTCGTCCACACGTCCCCGAGAATGACACTGGAAAAGGGCATCACCAATGAGCCTGGTGGAGAGTTTCTCACTTTTCACCATGTCTCACTTCCAAATTACAGATGCTCGTGTCGTCACCCGCTTACTGAACTCGGGTGATCGTCAGCCTGGATGGAATCTGGGCTTGCCGCTCATCAGCGTGGGCGCTCCATGGTTTGTGACGATCTGCCGCTCCTTACTTCACAAACTGCATTGGGGACAACTTTGTTGATCACCCGACCAAATGCCACGCGATCACGCTGGGTAGTGGCCATTCATGAAAACACGAGACCCTCATCTCCAATTTCCTTCCGGCGTTGCGAGGCGGAGAGCACGCGGGAGCGTGAGATCCTGTCAACGGCGAGAGGGTGATGGATCACTGTCGAGAACAGAAACAAATGACGAGTCGATGGGCCAGGTTCGAAAACCGGGTCGCTGCATTCGTCTGTGCGCGCCGCGCCAATAATGTTACAAGTTGTCGACGCACCTCGTCCAGCGACGGCATCTCGGTGGAGGAACCGAACGATGCAGGACATGCGGGCACATCACGCTCACCGTCTCCCGTCTAGTGTACACTAGATCGTCCTGTCCGCAATCGCAAAAGGGCCCTGCTTTCGGACATTGATGAGATCAAACTATACCAGTACTAGAGCACGGTAAATCTTGTGCTAGTGGGATCCCATCAACCCACTTCGCGCCACTCACCTGGTTAGGGTTTCTGTCAACGAGTTCTCGATCTCCGTCTCATTCCTTCAGCGCCCGCTAACGTTAAACCCGGTGGCCCGGCTCGCGCCACGGCACCGAGATCCCGATTACCCTCGCCAACGAGCGACAACAGCCTAGACGGAAAAGCGCCGAGCCACACCAATCCTTCCCAGCGACAAAGAAGCGAGATCCAGTTCCCGCTGCTTGGGTCGAATCAGAATCCGTCCCCAACCTGCGTTCGCGTTAGCCTGGATCAACCGAGACGCCATTGAGCCCGAGAGCGAATTAGAGAGCCTTGAAGATCAACCCTCGGGAGCAAAGTCCCTTGATGAACATCTTGTCTCTGGCAACCGCCGAAGAAAACGTGGTCTTCAGGATTGCGAACTCGGCCTCCGAGGCGTTCGTTGCTGGCCGAGCTAGACTGAAATCTTAGGAGGCGGGCACGTGTGTTTGCCAATACCACCATCGCCGCCATCTTCGAAGGCAACTCAAGTTTCGCGGCGTGAGCCAGTGGAGTACTTTGTTCGTGGGGGGCACAGCTTCCTCAAATGCGACCCCATTACACACAAATCGGCCGCGCCGTTTCAAGGACAACCAAGTTGTGTGTAGCGTAGTGTATGTACACTATGTGTGAATGTCAAGGTCTTCAAAAGAAATGCCCCTTGATCCCTCCCCATCGAGCCATCCACGCCATCCTAGTGCAAGTTCATGAAACAATCTTTCCAGGCAAGGGCGGCATGACGGGACTGAATTCTGTGGGGTGAACACCCATCCCACATGTCACACATCTCGACAAGCCTTGCTTGGGAGGATTCACAACGGTTTCGTGCCCCACCCAGCGACCCCTGGGGGCAGTTCGGGGAGGCTTCCCTGTCCATGACACCACCCAGCCGGCTGCCCCCCCAGAAAAAAGAACAAGCAATTGTTTCACCATCGGCATGGCGAGCCGGGCGGGAGCGGCTCCGTCACTCCGGGTTTGTTCGCGGGGGCTGCCAAATGATTCCAGCTTCAACATCAAACTCACATCCTCAACGCCCGGCTGTGGCCAAACTACAAGTTAGTATCTCTCAAAGGCCCCGGGCAAAGCAACCACCCGCCGTACCATATCCCAGCAAAAGCACCGCGTAAATCCCCGAGCAATTTTCCCCGGACTCCGCTCGAACTTCCTCATCTGCCGATCCTCCGTTTTTTTCATGTCAGAGACATGGGACGAGGGCAGGCAACACACAACGGCAACTCCCTTCTTTCTCCTCTCTTGGAGCGAACTTCCATCGGCCAGGTGTCGCGGCCGCACACCTTGTCCGGTCGGGTCAGGAAACGGCCAGCGGCAGGCAATCACAACCCAGAAATGCCACCACGACGGGGGTTTTCAAGTTGTCATGCATCAGCAGTTGCAGCGGCCGCAGCACGAGCGGTTTCTCCTGCAGATGATGCCCACTGCAACGCTCCACAAGCAGTCGATTGTGCCCCTGGCGAAGTTGCGTTTTGCCAAACAGGCCGTCTGGCCCCTTGGGCCTTCGGCCCAGGTTGTTTGGGAGTACCACAGTAATTATCCCGTCCCCCGCAACGGTCTCCGCTCTCGAGCCGCTCCATCACGAAGCGAGCGAGACGTCCCCAGCGCCAAGAGGGTTTTGGCCAGGCCTCGTAAACATCGGATTTGGTTGACACTTGACAGTAACAGTGGCACCAAAGTCGAAGAAAAGCACACAACCTCCGACCCCGTCCTCGACCAGGACAACGGCAGTCGCCCAATCGAACCCCCCAGGCAACAGAAAACGCCTCGGCAGTTTGAAACCAAACGAATCGCAGCCACGGTAGTTAATCAGGGGCCGTTTTTCCCTGCCTATATTTCCAACGTGTTAACGGCGAGGTTGCTTGCCGGGACCCGTGAGCATCCTGTATTATTTGGATCGGCTCGACGAGACTGCTGCCCCGAGTCGCACGGCTGGAGCCGATGGGCCAATGAGAGAGACATTTATTGCTCGCCTTTGTTTCTTTCTTTCGTTGTTTCTTTTCTTACCGACGACGCGGTGTTACCGTTTCGCTCGGCTATGCTTTTTAACTTGTGGTGACCTTGCAGCACAAATTCGAAGACTTGGCATGGCAGGAGACAATGGCAGAAGACAGTAACGGAGTGTTGTGTGATAACTTGACGCTTCTGGGTTGGCATGCATGCCGCAGGTCTCAGAACGCTGTCTGTCAAGCCATCGTGTCACAGATGTTGATTGTGCGAACATGGGGGGAGACTGCGAGACAAGGTGATCGGGAAATTTTCCCAACCCAAACCGTTGGGTGAACTGTGGGCTTGAGCGCTCGCAACACAAAAGTTTGACATTTCCGGGCTCGAATCATCCGTTCATCTTGTTCCGTTTGGCTTGGCGCGTGTCTTGGACAACGGGGGACGTTCACGTAATGGACGAACATCCCCCGCATTTTCTGCTCAAGTTGCGAGGCTAACGTTAGCGGCCGGCAAAGAAGCTATGACGCTTTCTGAAGAAGGTCTGACCGCGCGCCCCAAAGGAAGAGAGAGCCAATATCGGGCACTGGTGAGGCGAGAGAGGGATCCACGGGCGGAAAGCAGGCAAGCCCTAGCTTTCTTGAGCCTTAGCGGCCGAGTTCCGCCCGAAATGGACGACGCATCACGAGAAGTTTTGCTGCTCATTTATTCCTCTTTGGGGGTGAGAGGCAAGAGAGGGTGTGGTGTTGGTTGCTCAGCCGTCTGTGTGGCGGCATATGCTGCTCGCTGCTCTGGGGAGGAATTGGAAAACGGTACTGTGGCTTGCAGATGTTGGTGGTTTCGGGAGTGCGGCGCGGGATGTGAAGCAGGCTGTCTCTCCGCGGCCATGATATTAAGTCTCGGGAGGGCAGAAGCGTACATACACTACAGTGCTAGTATGTGTCAACCGCAGACAAACAGCACGGCATCATGGCCTAGGTTGTCGCGGGATATCAACACCGCAGAGTCGGCCACGCCCAAATGAGTGTTATGAAAACGCCGGCGTTTTCTCAGTGCTATTCGCTCTATTCGCCCCGTCATCAAGAAAAATCGATAACCTCAGGTCATCTAGCCCTGAATAACAGACGTCAGGCCAGGTAAGCCAGGGTAAGAGCCGTAAACTATCCGTACAGCATCACGGAACACCGCTCAGTCCCTTTATTCCCAGATGTTCCTTTTCCCAAGTGCAGCATGTCGTGCATATCTGAGAGGTGTGCGTGCAGACATGCCGGTATAATACCCAAAATATATCCCTGGGCAGATCGATGATGAACCCCAACACTGGGAGTCTCCTCACCTGGCCGCTGCGAATAATACAGAACCAAGTGTGCACGGTTCGGTCCCTACCTCTGAGCCAAGTTCATATACACTACCTACTCTACCGTAGCATTATCCGTGCGCGCTCGACCCCTCTTCCCTTACCGAACTACAGAAGGTAGCAACGAGGTAGCTCGGGACGAAGATATTTTAAACTCTAAACGAACCAGGCTCAACTACTACAAAGGCGTTGGATGTGTATGTTGTGTCTGTGCCAACGGCAGGGCTGCATGTGACTTTTCTCTCATCGGGGTCTGTGCCTTGCCTGTGTCTGTGGGTATGTACGGTATGTGGGATATGGTGATAGTGAACTACATAGGATATATCGAGTTGGTTCTGCTGGGATCTCTCGTGCTGTTTGTTAGTTTACTTGGTTATTGTATATTGCGTGTTGTGTACTATGTCGGTTAGATAGATGGCGGTGAGCTCAATCAGTGCTGTCAGTCTGTCAAGTTATGGTACGGTGTATGTGGATGGGGGACTGTGTCAGACGTTGTGTTGTGCTGTATGGTTGGTAAAACGGTGAGTTCTTAGGCTTGAGTCTTGCTTTCGCATTTTTCTGTTATTTATGGGGGTATTGTATTCTATCTGGACTGTGCGTGAGAGAAAGAGAAAGAGGTCCAAAAAGTTCTCGAGTTGCATTGTTACAGGCGCACAAGATCGTTTCCTGTTCCTCCCCAAAGTTGGCTGTTGAGTCCTGCAGCTGTTGTTCCGGAACCTGCCAGCCGGTTTCCAATGATGGGTGGGGGATGTATAATAAGGGGGATATACCCAAGGAATCATTACACCATGGCCCCAAACGGAACCTGTTGATAGGCAGCAAAAACAAAGAAAAAAGCATCGGAGAAGGCTAACACAAGACAAACAAACCAATATTTCGTTCATAAGATCGGCTGTTAAAATCATGGCGCAGAATACATCCCACCTATCGCAAAGACTACCTTATTCCCCCTCCCCCATTTAATAGAGCCGCCTTTAAGTAGTCCCTGGTAGTCTGGTTCATGATGTGCGATTCTGCTTGCCCCGGATTTGCTTTTCCAGGTATCCAGCTGCCAGAAACAAGCTACTTCAGGGGAACGAGATGAGGAAAATGGAACAAGAAAAGATACGGAATGAGGGCAAGCAAAACCCCGGGTACGAATGAAAGGAACACAGTCATGCGTGTCTTGGGGGTCAGGAGTACATAGTAAGAAGCGGTAAAAAAAGAAAAGAAAAAGAAATATCAAAATAGAATTTTGGGAGGGGAGGGAGGAAGAACGTGGGGGGCAACATCGCAAAAGGGGCTGAAGCAAAAAGAATAGGTTGAAACCGTGAGAGTAACGATTAAAACCCCTCGAAGTTAGGCGAGGTAGAGGGCATTGAGTCTGAGGTGGGCTTATGGGGGTGGTGATGATTCGGTAAATTCCCCTCGAATAAATGCGTAACAGGAAGGCGGACTGGGGAGGCTGTGAAACAAAATCGGAGGGCATACACATCGCTACGCATCGCATCACATCGCATCAAACAACCAAGGCATAGCCAAAGAGATAATTGTACCAGTCTGGACCAGTGTTAATTTTCCACTCGCCCTATCTGACACCTCGGCCGTACGCCCCCTTTTCTTTTTTGTTTCCGGGACGCCACGGGACTAGGTAATCCATTCATATTGAGTTTCAAATCCAGAAAGATCAGTCCTCGTCCCAGTTCTGGTATGTACAAGTTAGCAATAGGGTTCATAGTCCTGAAAAGTGGACGGGCGTACCGGGTTAGGTCCAGGCGGCTTCGGCCCGCCGGCTTGGCGGGCAACAATGATCTGGTCGACGGACAGGACTGTCCGGGCGGCTTCGGTGGCCAGCTTGATGGCCCACTGCTTGCTCACGAGCAGGTCGAGGATACCTTCGTCCTCGGCGTCAAGCGTCCCTGAGTTGTCCTGGTTCTGGGAAAGAGTTAGCGGAATGTCTACATCAATGGAAGAATGCTTAATTTAGGTTCTGGCCATACCTCGATGTCGACACCCGTGGACCAGCTGTCCGATTTCTGATGAGCGGCGTACAACCGGCTGAGCACCTCGGTGGCGTCCAACCCAGCGCTCTCAGCCAGCGTCCGCGGGACAACCTCAAAGGCCTCGCCAAACTTCTTGATAGAGTACTGCGCCAGGCCCTGGGTCTTGTCACCGATGGCCTGTATCCTCTCAACCAGCTCAACCTCTGTGGCGCCGGCACCGGGGACCAGGCGGGGGTCCTTGGTGATGGCCTTGATGACGTTGACACCGTCGTCGACAGCGCGCTCGATGTCGTCGAGGTGGTTCTGGGTGGCACCGCGGAGGACCAGCGTTGCGGTCCGCGTGGCCTCGTCCTCCTGGCGGAAGACAGTCACGCGGTCGCCGCCGATCTCCTCCGTCTCGACCACGTCGATGTTGCCCATCTCGTCGGGCATCGGGGCGCCGAGGCGGGCCAGCGGGGTAGCGCCGACGACGCGGCACACGCGGCGCAGCTCGAACTTGCTGAGGATCTTGATGGTCAGGATGCCGTAGCGGTTGAGGTAGTGCATGGCTAGGTCGCCGACGGTGGACCCGGCGACGACGACGCGGAGGCCGACGTCGTGTAGCTCCTTGATGGCGGCCTCGAGGCGCTCCTCCTCGCCCTTGGTGAAGTCGAGCATCTCCTGGGCGTTGTGCAGGAGCACGGTGCCCTTGGTCTCGGTCTGGGTGATGTCGATGGGGCAGGTGAAGACACCGACCTTGGCCTTCTTCGCCTTCTTGACCGACCCATTGGGCTCCTTGGGGAACACCATGCCGCGCACGACCCGGCTCTGCTCGAGGCTCCCGCCCAGGATCTTGACCACACGCACGTTGTCGACGTTGAAGTTGGCCGGGTTCTTGGGCAGCACCGAGAGGACAGCCTCGGCGACGAGTTTCGAGAGAAACTCCTCGTTACCATTCTGCTTGCTCGCGATGACTGTCCGTACGGCCTTGCTGAGCTGCTCCTGCGACCGCAGATCCTCCACCTTGTCGACCTCGAGCTCCTCGAGCGTCTCAAGGGCGATCTTTTGTGCCCGCTCGTATCCCGTGACGATATCCGACGCCTTTAGCCCCATGCGCAGCAGGTCCTCGGCCTTCTTGAGCAGCTCGCCGGCTAGGACGATGACGAGGTTTGTGGCATCGCCCATCTCGGACTCTTGCTGTTGGCTGGCCATGACCAGCAACTTGGCGGCGGGGTGTACAACATCAAGTTCGCGGAGGATCGTGGCAGCGTCGGAGGTGAGGATCATCTTTTGCAGGTGGTTGATGACGATCTTGTTGCGGCCGTAGGGGCCCAGCGACGTTTGGACGGTCGACGAGATGGCCCGGCAGGCGTCGATGTTGCGCAGGACAGCACCATCTTCGGAATCGTAGCTGGAACAGTGATAAAAGCAGATGGTCAGCACGAGTTTCTGGGGTATGCGAGTGCTGGTGTAGGTTTTGGCAACACCGTCTACTTCAAGACGCCCCTGAAGCAAACCAAGAGAGCGGTATGGCGGGGTAGCAGAGGCACGAGATACCAGGGCCCAAACATCTGCAACAAGGCAAAACTAGCAGAAAACTTACTTGTTGTAGCCCTGCTTGAACAAGCCCGCGTTGGGCGCATTGGGGATATTTAGTGACATCGCGGTGGTGGTCTGGGGGCTGTTCGAAGGGGGATGGTTCGGCGAAAGAGTCGCCTGTTTACGACGGACTGCTCAACTTCTAAGCTCCCACTGCTGCCCGCCTTGGGATCCATAAAAAAAAGTTGGTGAACCAAATCGAATCCGGTCAACACACGGCAGCCTCAGCCCCGCAGTCCAGGGAGGCCCAATGAAATTGCCCGTACCGCCTGGGCGTCGACGCGTGCCCAGGCACCGGGCCCCGGAAAGACGCCCTGAGGCACCCCTGTTAGGTATGCTTTCGGGCTGTTTGTGACCCACTGTAGCGGCTTTGTGCCATCCATTGCGATTGTCAGCCTTGTTGCTCGCGACACCTCAACCACCACGTTCCGGAACCCGGAATCCCTTCGTGACTTTCGACTTTCCACATAACACAACCGCACACCCGTCCACTTGACGACTAAGCGCCGAGACCGATCGCATCGTTTTTTCGAAACACGACAACAAACCAGTCTATTTAAAAATCTTTCGAGCGGGCTACTCTTCCCGTTTGTTTCTCCGAACCGCGAACTTCGCCAGCACTCAATCGTTGATTGCAACCGTCAATCGACACCATGGCACCTGGTAAGCTGGAGTTTTTGTTTCTTTATCGACTATTGTCATTGAAATATCGTTGATCGACGCGTCTTTCAATTGCGAAAACTCGGAAATCAATGCGTTAGTCGCTTCTGAGGAATTGGTGTCGGCTAACTTGGGTGGTTTCTCGCTTTAGCATCGGCTGTGGTTCCGCCGGCGCTTCCTCCCTCGGTGGAGGAGGCGTATCGCAGGAAGTGCATCCAGCTGCGCCAACGGACCAACGAGGTCGAGGAGGCCAACGATGCCGCCCGCCTTCGACTCGCCCGGCTTAAGCGCCAGGTCCTGAAGATGCGACTCGAGCGTGCGTTCCTCCTCGAGCAACTCGCCAAACGCTCGAGCACCAACGTGGAGGATTCCGACGGTAGCCCGAGCCCGCCTCCGACGGTAAGTGTACAGTGCCGTTACTTTAAGACTCGTTCAATTGCTTGGATCGAATGAAGCGGATGTGTCGCTGACTTGTCCCGCCATCGCAGCCTAAGGAGAAGCCGCTGCGTATCAAGCGCGGCCACCGCAAGCCGTCGGCGTTCCCCGCCAATGTTGATGCTCCGTCTTCCGTCAACGCCGCGACCCCGGGCTCGACGACCTTTATCAGCCAGAACCTGCTCGTTCACTCGCCTAGCTCCGACGCCTTCTCAGCCGCCCAGCAGGGCGAGGGCAGCAAGTCCAACGGCCTGCACAAGGGCGCGCCCAAGAAGCCTGGCACCGCGTTCGAGTTGTACTGCGACGACAACAGAGAGTCGGCCAAGGAGAAGGCCAAAGAGGGCGACAATGTCGAAGACGAGCTTTCCAATGCCTGGAAGGAGCTGCCAGACAAGGAGCGCGACGAGTACCAGTCGCGCGCCGACAACCAATTGGCCGAGTACGAAAAGGACAAGGAAGCGTACGACGAAGCCAAGGCTAAGGCCCAAGAAGCTGCTACCGCAGCTGCAGAGACTGTCCTTAAGGCCGACGATCGCGACGACAAGGCCGACTCAACCGAGTCCGACCGCCCTGCTGTTGAGACCGGTGATCGGGAAGCTTCGCGCCAGCAAGAAGACGTGGAGATGACAAATTACGACACCGATCAGGAAACACAGGGGGAGAAGCCTGAGGAGTAGAATTACTCTGGCCATCGCGACGCCATGCGTCGGCCAGGCGGGTACTCAAGCGCTCAACCCGTCGGCATTGGCAATCATCAGGGCAATCGGAGCAGGGAGGTGGAAAGCCTCTTTACGCGAGGCGGAGTGTACGATCAGCAGCCGGCAGGAACATCTTTACAGTTAGAGAGGAAGGCGAATTATCGGCAAGAGGCACAGACACAGCATTATTTTGGCGGGACTTGTACGAATAGCAGGCAAGGCGCGTCTCATTCACAGCAGAATTATTTGGGGTTTGGCAGCATCGCGCCCCAGCAACAGCAATTCAGACGCGGTTTTCAGGCACCCACAGAGATGAGGCACTCACCCTACCAAGTCCCGGTTATGTCTTCCCCAGCCCAACCGGGTCCTCAAGGCCAGCATCACCAGCATCACCAGCATCAGCAGTATCAACAGTATCAACAGTATCAACAGCACCACGGCTGGACTGCGGGCGGGCGTTCTCATGGCGAGGCTTTCTATCAGGGTTATCATCCGGGCATCTGTCAGGGCAATCATCATTACCTACCGAACCCGACTCGGCAAGTACCTCAAGGGTATCCGTATCCTGCCCCGATTCCGTCCTTGGCCCGTCCTGGGTTGCCACCTGAACCACCGCCGCCGGGGTTTCCTCTGAATCCGAGTCGTTCACAGCATTATGCTTCATATTTCAGCCCAGCCCAGCCCCCTCCTTTGGTTCCCAACCCCCCTGTATCGCATCGTGGTTCATCTTTTCCTCCGTCTAATTTCCCAACCTCGTCGCACCCGTCTGGGCTGCCGTATCCCGCGAATCCGGCTGGTCCTCTGGGCAATGCTGCTACTGGGTCGTTGGCACCTGCCCAACGAACTCCTCTGCCTTCTGGGCCTGTTCGTCCCCAGCCAGCATCCCAACGTGGACCCCCTCCGCGCAAGCCCCTGCCTTCGTCCAGGAAGGCACCAAAAGGTCCCCGGCAAGTCCACAAGGCCGTTCAACGCGCCCAGCAAGCTGCCCGAAAAGACCAACAACGTCCAATGCGCCCTCCACCAGCACATACCCCGGCCCCGGCCCATCCCCCGATCCCTCAACCACAACCCACAGAACCGACCAACCCTGCCGATACCGACCCCTCCCACCCGTCTCACCCGAGCCACCAAGCGTATCTCGTCCACGTCGCCCTGCGCGCACACGAAACCCGCCAGGCCCGGCAGGCGTACGAAACCTATGAAGACCAAGTTGATAGGGGGGCCCTGTACGCTCAGGGGCAGCCCGCGCCGCGTTCTCGGTTCCATCTCGCTGAACCTGCGAGGCCGGTGTTGCAACTTGCGCATCGGCCTGCTTGGTCGTCGGTTTTGGGGGCTGCTGGTGTTGTTCAACCCACTGTGGAAGGGGAAAGGGGATTTGGGGATTGTTCGCGTCCGTCTGGGATGGACATGGGCGGAGGAGGAGTGATGACGTCTGGGATGGAGGTGGATGGGTTACCTCGACTGCCTAACCCGCGGTTCTTTCCTGAGGTTCTTCCTCCTGCCGGTTCGGCTCCTGAGGGTGGTTCTGATTCGGGGCCTATCAAGAAGGAGCGACAGGACTGATTTGGGGGAGGAGTTCTGATGGCATTCGGGTCCACCGGTTCTGGTCTTTTTTTTTCTTTCTTCTTTTTTTCCGTTTCGTTTCCTTTCTTTTCTTTCCTATCTCTTTCTTCTCTTGCCCTTCACACATACCCCTGTATTTCCTGCCAGATTTCTTTCCCCTTTTCTCTTTCTTTTCTTTTCCCATCTCATCGTTGATTTTCCGATTCGATCTTGCCGCCGGGTTTCTCCGTTGTGATTTCGGGCTGGGACGGATAACAGGACAAGGCATGAGCATTGGACGTCTGTTATAGACGATGGAATGGGTCTTGATGCCGATGATTTACGGCGCATGGGAGATGACTGATTGCGTTGATTTCTTTCCCTTTTCATCCATTTCTTTCCTTTTGATTCCTTTTCATTTCCTTTTCTTTTCGTCGTCTTTTTCCTTTGGCGAGGCGTTCAGAGAATGGTCAAAAAACAACAAAAAAACCAAGCGGCGGGGTTGTTTTCTCCCCTTGCTTGCTTGTGTGTGGGTATACTGCCCCTCGCTGAGTAGTCATTTGTGTTGCTTTTGGGCGAGACGGACGAAAAGAGGAGGGGACATCATGTATGGTAGATATAAGGATCAAATCAAGATTCTGTGTATTGTTATGTACATGGGTGTCCTATGCTTCGCTTGTGAGTGTGTGATTTCTGAAGATGGTGATACGGGCTCTTGAGAGAGGGAAGTATTGATCCATGTGTCGGGAGTTCGGGAGGGCGTGGACAGCATGCTTCCGCCGCGGCTTCCCAACAGATGCAGCTGCAGGCTGCCAGCGTCGTTCTCAACCAGTCTTACTAGCAGAATCAGCAGCTGATCCAGCAGAACGATGCCACCTTGAAGCAGAACTCCGAGCTCATCCAGCAGCTGGCTGAGCAGCGTCGGGACCTGTCCGCTGCCCTGCAGCACAACATGAGACTCACAGACGCCTTTATCGAGCAGGTCCGCACTCCACAGAGCTCCCGCCAATCCTCCCGGCCGACTTCTGCCACACGCCGCAGCGGCCCCCATCGCAACCGCGATAGGAACGCTCCGATCCCCCTCAACTACAATCGCACGCGCGTGCCGATCTCTCCGACCGACCAGATGTTGTCCAACCGTGGCCAGGAGCAGGGCGTTTCCGCTTCCGATGCCGACGAGTCGGGTGCAGACTCCTGGAGTGAGGTTGACCCCGAGATCGCTCGCCGTTTTGCGGGCGCTGGGGATGATGGATGGGTGGGGTGGGTAAGTGAGTAAGTAAATCAGTCAGTCCAACTGAGTCCTAGATGGATGAAAGACACTCATCTTTCTACCGCCATGATACCATGATACTTCATTAATCGCCCTAAGAATAATGACAACCAGCCGTATGCCGTCCGTTTGTGTAGCAATGCAAGGTATTTTTTATTCAACACCCCCAACGCCCCCTTGTGAGGATATAGATATACAACCCCGTAAAAGTACTGTACACTGCTACTACCCCCTTACCGCCCTCTTGCTCGCTGGAACTAGCTAAAAGGAAAAAAAAAGACATATCGAATGCCGGCCTATATGGACCCGTACCAACTCTGTTTTCCCAAGGCCGAATAGAAACTATGACAAACGAAACGAAAAGAACAGGAAAAGACATGATTTTCTCAACCCGACACGAAAACATAACCAAAACGCCTGATAACCTGACTGCCCGCTTGGTTGATTGATTGTTTGGGTTGTCCACTATCCGAAACGCCGGGCCCGGTGAGAATAATGACTATTATGTATGATGGAGCTCCTCGATATCGATACTTGTGGCCATGTCCAGGGTTGATTGGTTGATTACACGCCCGCCCACAGGTCGACAATGATGTTGACGACGGCGACGGCGATTTCAGCCGCGATTAGTACGATGACTGTCGAGATTAGTTAGTACTCATTCAACAATAGGGGTGTGAGGAGAGAGAGAGAAAGAGAAAGAAGAACTCACCAATCCACTCCAACTTCTCCCCATGCCCATGACTCAACTGCTCCTTTAACACAGCCAACAAGTCCGCAATCACATCCAACCGCTCCGTCAACAACCCGACCCGCTGATCCATCTCCAAATAACTCCTCACAGCCTGATACACCGGCTCCAGCTGCGGCTCAACCCAAAACAACTCGGGCGTATCCAGCACCGACCCATTCAAATGAATACTAATCCGCAGAATAAACAGCTCGCCAATCTGCATATTGATCTCCGCGCGTGACAGCGCAATCTTCCCCGTGAGGGCAAGCTGCGCGGGGATGTTCTTGCAGGTGTCAATCGTCGAAGCGATGAGTTCTTCAAAGAGCGAGGTTTTCACGCTCTGCGCGAGGGCGTGGGAGATGGCGAGCTTGGTCATGTAGTTGCGCTTGTCGCGCAGGGCGATGAAGTCGTTGTAGATGCGCGCTTGGTACTCGTGGGTGTAGTAGAAGTTGAATTTTTCGGTTTCGACGTCGTCCGGGGCGAGTTTCTCGACTTCGAATTTGGAGATTTCTTTGAGGAAACGTTGTTCTTGGGAGGCGGTCATGCCCCAGATTACGACGACGCCGTAGTCGAAGAGGAAGACTTCGGGCGTGTGGACGTTGATGTCGAAGTCGGCGATTTCGCTGCCGAGGGGGTTGCTGGAGTGATCGCGGTCATGGCCATGGTGGTGGTGGGGGTGGTGATCGTGGTCGGATAGGCCATGGGGAATAATGTCGTTGTCATCGGCGATACCGCCACCGTGATGGCTGTTAGACATATCGTGGTGTGACGGCCGTCCGTTTGCAACCAAACTATCGTCGGACGCCTGACTCGACTGACTAGGCAATTCGTCGAGATCCCCCGTCGAGTACCGCCGTTCCGGGTTCGAATGCACCTCCAGCAAACTCTCCTGCCGCTCCGTCTGCACCTGTTTCGAACTATAACTATACGGCGTATAAATGCACTCATCAATCAGTTTCGGATTCGCCCCCCTCCCTTTCCCCCTGCCGCCCTTCAAAAACCGCTGCAGCCCATCCATCTGGTATCGATTCGCCGTGCAATACGCCGTCACACGCGGGAGTTTGTCCCGATCGGCTTTGCCGAGCCGCGCAGCATCGCGCCGCGCGGTTGGGTCTTTGATACGGGTGTACTGCGAGTAGACATCGCGACCGCTCTCTTCGTCGACCTCGTCGGCTTCGGGTTCCGGGTTCGGGAGTAGTTTGAGCTTCTGGGCGTTTTTGGTGCTGCGCTGGGGGCCGATCTTGGGCAGGCCGGCTGCCGCTGCGACCATGGGCAGCCCTAGCCCTGCGAGCTGGCTGCCACCGCCCGCGCTGCTGCTGGTGGACACGCCGGCGTGGCTGTTGCGGCGGAGGAGTTTATTGTTGAGGGCCGAAAGCATGGGCGGGCCGCCGGTGCTGATGGCGGAGGCGCTCAATGGGGTGTTGGGAGCGCGGTGGTGGAGGTAGGAGACTCGGGGAGGGGATTGGGAGTAGGCAGCGGCTGGTTCGATGGTTTTTGTGACGGGGTTTGGGTTGAAGGTGACGGTTCGTTGTGGTTTCGGCGGTCGGACGGACTCGGGAGATGGGGGTTCGGCCGGGAGCAGCGGCGTGTGCTCGGAGGCGGGGGTTTCGGACATGGTGGCGGTGGTTGTGGTGGTACTGTCTCAGTGGTTGTTCTTGTCCTCCCTTCTATTTTGTCTTCTTTTCCCCAGTTGGTTCCCTTCCTCACGACTCGACGTCCCGTCTCCAAACAATCCAATGCAGCACAAACGCGCGAATCAACAGGCCAGCACAACACAAGCAGCAATCAATGCGACACCCGTGGCCATGTAAAAGAGAAATAACAATATATTCCAATGCCGGATTGTGGAAAAAAGAGCTGCTGGCGGTTGGCAAAGGAAGACAGGCAGACGGGGAAAGGGCGTTTTGGCGCAACGGGTGGAATGGCTTCAATTGGTCGACAGCAGGGAAAAAGCGACGACCGTTGGACGGGCACTGCTTGATGACGTCTGGGGCCTGGGCCGCTCTACAACGGCGCTGCGGGGCCAGCACGTTTTTCAGCGGTCGGCCGACGAATCAGGTGCCGCGCTGGGTAGCACCTGCCGCTCCATGCAAGCTGTTGGACCAGACATGTGCATCCTGCATCGCCTATCAACGGTACGGAGAATGAGCCGTTGAATCGTTTTCTGAGAGGTGCAAATCCCCTTTTTTGGAGGGTGAACCAGTTGCCAGTGCAGTTTTGAAATCACTTCCGTCTACCCTCCACGGTCATTTTGCATGCCCACAGTATTTTCAAACCCAGCATCGTGCGTTGCCTGGCCAATAATGTCAACACCAGCATTGTTGACTTCCCCTGACGCCAAGACACGGACATCGCCAGACTCTTGAGGATAATAATGAGCCATGATATTTGGGGCGGCGAGTCCGCCAAAAGTGAATTATTATACTTCTTGTAGCTAATGTATATTTGCGCAACCACGCGCATTGAAACCGTTAATTCCCTCTTGTTTTACTCCTCCTCGCTGACCTCGGCCTCTTCCTCTACAACCTCATTTTTCTCCTCCTCCTTCTTTCCCTCCTCCTCCTCCTCCTCCTCCTCAATCCTCTTCTCTTCGGTCTTCTTCTCCTCAGTTTTCTTCTCCTCCCGCCCCACAGGCCCCTCAACAACCATATCCCCCACATCCACCGGTCCCACCAACTCACTCCTCACAACCTCAACCAACACCCTCGAAAAAGGCCAGCGATGCGTCCGGTCCATAGGCGGATCCCACTCCATCAGGGCCGGGGTAGTGCACCCCTCCGCACCCATGCCGGCGTCCTCAAAACTGGCGCGCATGCCTGGCTCGACGATGTGGTGGTAGTAGTGGTTGTCGTCGATGGCTCTGTTTTGCGGGCGGGTGAGGCCGAGGAAGGTGGAGAGGGCGGCGGTGTTGGCCAGGAGGAGAGTGGTGTAGGAGCCGTGGTGGGTGGTGTTGATGCGGAGGTGGTCGAGGGGGGTTGTGGGTGGGGGGGTTGGGGTTGGGGGGCTGATTTGGTGGGTGAGTTCGTCGTCTTGGGAAGAGGAGGAGGACGAGTCGGAGGAATCGGAGGAAGAATCGTCGTCGAAGTGGGTGATGGTTTTGGGGCCGTGGGGGTTGATCGTCCTGACCTGCTTGTCTTTGTCGTCCTGGTTCTGCTTGTTTCCCGTTGTCTTGTCTTCCTCAACTTCCATGGTGTCGTCCTCCTCCTCTTCCACCGCATCGTCCTTGTCATCTCCCATCATAGCTTCATCCACATCCTCCATAATTACGTCCTCGTCACCGTCCACAGTCTCATTTTCCTCTTGGTCTTCCCCCTCATCCATCCCATCTTCCTCCTGATCCCCCGCATCATCCATCTCAACGTCCTCTTCATCTTCTTCCAAATCCATCTCATCTCCCTTTTGGACCTCCTTCTCCTCCTTCTCCTCCTTCTCATCCTTCTGATCCTGCTCATCCTTCTGATCCTGCTCATCCCCCCCACAATCAACAACAACCCACTGCCCACTCCCCCCTCTCATCTCCCTCCCACTCGCCCACACGCCCCCCGTAAACCACACCACCGATGACCACACATCAAACCGGTGCCGCGTATACACCCCGACCAGCTTCTTATCCACCCACTCACTGCCAAACCCGCCGCCGGCATGTATCTGCTGGCCTCGTCGGCTACCACCACCACTGTTACTGGCAGCAGCAGTAGTAGTGGTAATAGTAGACCGAGAAGCGAGAGCAGCGAGATTGGCACTGTTGGCTTCAAAATCCCACGTCTCCTGCGCCACCCAGATATGCTGGACTTTGCCATTGGCGTATTCGATCCGGCCGCGGCCGAGCTGGGGGGCGGTCGGTTTCTGTTTCTGTTCCTGTTCCTCTTCTCCCCCCTTCTTCTCATCCATCTGACCCTTGCCCTGGCCCTCAGTCTCACCGGCAGTCTCACCACCACCAGAACCAGCAGCAGTCGCAGTAGTACTCCTAACCGAAGTGGTCGGCGCCAACCGCCATATCTTCCCCACGACTCCGGCCTTTGGCCGATCCAACCGTGCCGCAGCAGCTGTATTCGCCTCGTGCAACGAGAGGTGCTCGGTGCAGCGGACCGCGCGGGAGGTGTATGTTGTGCGTGGGTAGCCGTAGCGGTCTTTGTCGTCTTGTGCATCGTCGTCGTCACCATCGTCACCGTTGTTGTTGGCTGTGCTGTCCTTGGACGTGGTGTTGTTGCTGGAAGAGGAGGAATAGTGGGAGTTGTATTGGGCAGCGCGGGCGGCCTTGGCACGGATATCACGGACTTCGGACCGGGTTGGAGGAAAAAAAGGGACGGTGCGGTAGACGATGTATTTGGTTATCGTGCGGTCTGGGCCGAGGGCTTCGAGGAGGGAGATGGGTTCCGGGGAGGGGGAAGGGGGAGGTTCGCGCAGCTGTTGGGGAGCTGGCTGTTGTTGGAAGGTTAGTTGGTCTTGGGACTGGGTTTGCGCGGGCGTGGGGAGGGTGAGCTGCTGTTGACTTGTTATGTTTATGGGAGCAGGCGCCGAGACAGAAGCCGGGGTCAGGGCCGAGGCTGGAGCTGGAGCAGGGACAGGAGGGGCCGGCTGATTCAGGGCCTGTCCACGAGCTTTGGCGTTGGGAGGGACCGCAGCTTTGGGCTTGGGCTTGGGCTTGGGCTTGGGGAGAAATATTTTTGGGGCCGCGGGCGGTTTGTTGGTCTTGCGGATTCCTGAGGTAGGTGCCACAGGAGTTGTACTGTTTGTGTTGCTGTTGATATTTCTGTTGATATTTATGTTGATGTCAGTATTGTTATCGATGTTTCTGGTGCTGTTATTGATATTACCCCCGTTATTACCGCTCATCAAACCCGTCGAAGCCAAAGTCGGGGCCTGACTAGGATGGGCAAGGCCAGACTGCCCCTTCAGCGCCTGCCCAGTCTTCCTTCCGGCCTCACTCTTCTTGTTATCACCCCCTCTCTTCAGACTCTGCGGCAAACCAGAGACTATCTGGGACGTTCTTTTCTCCGGCTGCTTGGCCTGTAACTTGCGAATAAACTCTTCATCATCTCGGGTATGGTCGTCTTGCTTGTCCTTGGGAAGCGCACTGGGGACTGCGGGCTTAGTGTTGGAGCCCACACCGCTGGGAACCACAGTCTTAGGTATCACAGACCTAGGAACCGTAGAGTCAAGAAAAGAGGGCGATCTCGCCCTGCGGTGGCTCCTGATATTGAAATCGCCCTCATCCTCCTCGCCCTCAGTATCCCGAATCCGACTATGCAAACTCAGCATAGTCCTGTTGGTATCAATCCTCCTCAGCGCCACCTCCGAGCTCCGGTTAGGTGCTGTGGCCGTGGTCGTGGCCGTAGCCTGTTCCTGGGTCTGCGCCCGCTCGACGACGTCGCGGTCATGTTGGAGGGAATTACCCTGGAGCGACGGGCTTGATGCTCGGCGCCTTCTTTGACGATATGCTTCCCGCAGTCGTTTATGTTCTCTCAGCCAGAGCTGATCGTTCTGCTGACGCATCGTCTTACGCCGAACATGATTACCGATGCCCAGACCCGCCAATGTCAGACTGCTGCCGCCGGTTTGATATTCTACGGGTTGGTGTAGACGGGGCAGAGCGGCCACTGCTGCTGCTGTTGCTGCTGCTGTGGGACCATCACTACTGGCATTTCCTTCCTGTTGCTGTGGCGCTGGATGATCCGGGCCTGATGGGCGTGAATCGTGGGCCTGGTCGGAGTTCTCTCCTTTTCTTCTCTTTCGGATATGGTCGTTGCTGTCTTCATCATGTTTATGATCTCGATCACGATGACGATGGCGATGCGCCCGGTCCTTATCCCCACTCTCCTCGCCATCTCCTCCGTCGCGATGGCGATGCTTCCGCTTTTTGCTCCCGGGGCTCTTCCCCAGGCCCCGAGTCAGAGTAGACTGCGCCGGAGTAGACCGCGCCGGAGCAGGCTGTGTCGGACTAGCTTCGTCATCCGAGGAGAGGGTCAGGTCGATGAACACCATCCTTTTGGCAGGAGTCGGAGCAGGCGCTGGAGAATCATCGGCGGGGGCTGCAAGACCAGGACGAAGAGTAGGAGGAGGAGGAGGAGGAGCAGAGGACGCCACTGCTGGCTGTTGAGCCCCTTGCTCTCTCTCCTTCTCCTTCTCCTTCTTCTTTTTGTCCTTCTCCCTCTCCATCTCCTGCGCCTCGGCCTGCGCTCTAGACAGCCCGCCATAGCTGTACTTGATGAAGCTGCTCGAGAGTCTGTTGGAGATTTGGTAAGCTGATGGTCCTCGTAAAGTCTGTCTAGTCTGTCGAAGGGTGTTCTTCAAACCTGTTATCGGCCGGCTTGTCCAGCCCACTGTCTCCCGAGGGTGACGACATCTTGGTAGAATGGGAGAGACACAGAGAGAGGGAGGACTTGTTTTGTCCGTCCCAAGTGCTGTTGATGCTTTGCTTGTTATCGTCTCGTCTGATCTCTCTTCTCGTCTGTTGTGTCGTTCTCTACTTTTTGAGTTGGGTCTTCTTTCCGGGTTTGGAATTGAGTTCCGACGGTTTTTAATTTGGGCTGTGTTCCATGTTTTTGATTTTGGCGACGCTTAATGAGACGGGGAAGGTTGATGCGACGCAGATAGAGGTAAGAAATTGATAAATTGAGTAATCAAATGTCGTGAAGAGAAACGAATAACCGAAGAACGTGATGGTGGAGTGTTGTGAAGGCGTAAAGGGTGGAAAAGATAGGGCGTATGTCGTGAAAGGATGGTGTAGGAAGCACAAGAAGGTTGAAGATGTTGGGTTAAATAAATCATGGTGGGCGAAAGGAATCAAGAAAACAAAGGAGTGCCCTAATGAAGAAAAAGAACATCCTTACACCTCGACGCCACGAGGAAACGAATTTCGAGAAGGAGTGGGCGATATCTTGCGGTTGAGAGAATCGACGAGAAGGAGGGCGGGCAGTGCCAAGTTCAGCCGAGAGAATACAAGTCTATGAAGAACAGGGGGGCATATTTCCGCCAGCACAATAAACGGCAAAGAGACTCTCCTGGACAGGATTCCGCCGAGAGAAATCAGAGTCTTGGAAGGAAAGAAGTTGGCGATGGCCGTCGTCGAGAGACCTCAAGTCCGCGAGGAATCAGGAGGTCGGTTTTCGCCGAGAGAATCAACGACAAGGGGAACGGCCCGCATCCGTTTCCGCCGAGAGAAGTCAAGGGAGCTGGCGACATGTTACTGTCAAAACATCACGGGGCAGTAGGGCGTGGTGTTTCTGTGATTATCCCACAAAGAAATTGGCAAGGAGCCGTTACTAAGAGAATCACCGACAGGGCGCACAGTCTATTCATACTATCACAGAGTGAATCCACAGTGTAAAGGAGAAGGGACTAACAAGAGTTGTCGTTGAGAGAAATAAACCCTAACGTCCAGAAGCGTCACTCATAGTAATAAGAGCATTGAGGCTCAGACTTGAAAATGTCAACTTTAAAATGACAGCGTAGACAAGTTTGAACCCCTGATAGAAGCAGTGTTGAAAATAACAAAGATAAACGAGTCTGAAAGGAGTGAAGTGAATGTGTTGGACGAGATTGAAATCGTCGAGTTTTCAAGAGTCCGAAAAGATTAAGGGAATGGAGTTCAACAACTCCAAGGCAATCGAGTCTTTTAGAAAGAAAAGAATTGGCCACGACAACGCCGACTTTTTCGAACTTTTCAGACCGAACAAATCGAGTTTGACCATGCGGAGAGAATCAAGATTGAAAAGAGCAACCACACACAAGTTTGAAAACAACAACAACAGCAGTAAGTTCGACAACACCATGTTAGTCGGGGGTTTCGGGCTGGAAAAATGAAGTTTGACAACACTGAGGGTTAGGACTGAACAGAGCAAGGAAAAGGAGTTTAGAGACAGGGAGGGGACAAGTACGACAATTCTAACATAATTAACAAGCTTTGAAAACACCAGGAAAAGTTGAACTTGATAGATAGAAAATGCACTAACAAGTTCATTAAGATCGCTTTGAAAATACAGCCAAAAATGAAATGATTAACTGGATTCATAGACGAGTGAAAATTGAAGACAACCTTTCTTAACGTTGATGGACTTAGATAACAAAACCTTCTTGCAGACACAAGTCCTGTTCGCTTTACTACGTCGTTCAGGGGCTGTGAAAAGTTAAACGTTAGTAGAGGAACACTAACAAGGAGATGATTCTTTTGTAACAAAGAGCGGGTTCCTAGTTCCAGCTGCAATGCACGTGAAGATGCAGACATATTCCTATAGGCATTGACTGAATTTGTTCAGGGACCGAGATTCTTGATCCGCCATAATTAGACAGGAACAGAAATATACGTTACAAAAACACAGAAAACCAACAGGCACAAGCTGGAGCACACCACGACAGAGGGCATCGGTAAGAGCCTAGACATATATATGATACATACTCCACTTCGCCAAGTCGGTCTGTGGCTTACCAGTCCCCTTTTCTTGCCTCTTATTCCGGGTCGTCGGCTAACTCGCTCGTGGACCCTGCTGCGGCCTCTGCCTCCAATTGCTTCCACTTGTCTTTGCCCTCCTCAGTAGTGGCGTCGATGACCCCGCCTTCCAAGCTGAGAATGTTGGCCTGTGTGGGTTGGGATGTTAGTAGAGCGTAGATAGCAGATGGGACGGGAGGATATAGTTTGCGAGAGGATACGATAACTCGAAAAAGGGGGGGAATGGAACCGACGAAGAAAAGAGACAAATGAATGCTTACCTCCCCCAGCAAATTGACCACCTCCTCCGCCTCCTCCACCTTCATCTCCCCCAACACCTTATTCACCTCATCCAGCTTCCCTGTCTCCAACGCCTTCCTCAAATCCGCCGAAAACCCCTCAAAGATCTCCCGCCCCTTCTTTTCCTCCTCATCCCCAGCCCCCTTTTCCGGAATCCTGATCTTGATCTCCGTCCCAGGCTCAACAGCATGCAACTGGATCTGCTCAACCCCTTCCGCGCCCCCCTTTCCTTCCGCCTCATCCTTCGCCCGTTGCATCGCAATCTCACGCGTGCGCGTACGGATCCGCGCGTATGTGTCCTGCACATCCTTGAGGAAGACCTCCTGCGCCTGGTGGCCGGGCGTGGTGACGCGGCGGAAGAAGAGGGCGACGCCGTCGCGGCCGAGCGCCCGGCAGTACTGTATGAGGAGGGCCTGGTGCACGCAGTTGCGCGCGTAGTCGGCGCGGTTTTCGAGTTGTGCGTTGAAGGCGAGGATGAGCAGGCCGTCGGTTTCTTTTTCGGTGAGGATTTCGGGGTGTTGGGAGAGGAAGGCGTGTGAGTCGCGGTAGGAGGTGGATTTGATTTTGGCGAATTCTGTGGCTAGCGGCGAGGCGGCCACTTCGTCGTCGTCATCGTCATCGTCGTCATCTTTACCAGTTGAAGAAGACGCAGCCGGAAGCGCGTTAACGCCCGCGAAGTTGGGGTTGAGCAGCTCAGGCTTCGAGCCACTACTACTCGCCGCCCCAGCAGAAGCAGAAGAAGTAGAAGCAGCCGACTTGTTAACAAACGAGCTATCAAAGCCCGTATGGATCCCCTCACTCGTAATCTTGCTCGCCTCCACCTTCTCCAACTCCTTCAGCTGCTTCTCCAGCTCTCCCTGCAGATCCGTGACCTTCTTCAGATGCTCGCCAATCTCCGCCACCATCCCATCATACCGCTCACCCTGCTCAACCTTCTTCTCGTCCAACGCCTTGTTCACCTGATCCAGCAGCGTAGCCATCATCTTCGTATACGACGGCAGCGGCTCCTCAGAGCCATGCACGCCTTCCGGACGCGGCGGCGGCTGGTCGGCTTGGGGGTCCAGCCCCGCGGCCGACTCCATCACGGCGCGGAAGGCGACCTCGCCCGGGTTTCCGGCCTTGGCCTCGGCCGCGTGGGCCTGGAGGGAGGTGAGCAGGCCCGAGATGCGCTGGATCAGGCTGTTGTTGATGATGCGCTCGTATTTGAAGGTCTCGATCTGTCGCTTGCGTTGTTGGCGCTCCATGTGGATTTGGTTTTGCTTGGCGCGGATGAAGGAGCGCTTGTCGACGTTGGGGTGCACTTCGACGTCTGAGTCGTCGCTCAGCTCGAGAGCGTCCTGTAGTGGTCACGGTTAGCTTAGCAAACCCATAGAGGGGATGGGACGAGAGGTAGAAGGCGATGGGATGGTCAAGGGTGTAAGGCTGTGACGGGTATGATGGAGGGGCAAATCCGAGGATCTCACGCACCCATTTGCTGTAGTCGACAGGCATGGTGTCTATCAGCGGTCGTGGCCGCAACTCCAATCAACAGTGTTTCTTGTTGGGTTGTGATGTATGGTGTGTACTAATGACAAGACTGATGTAGACGGGTTTGTTGACTTTTGGGGTGTCGCGATGTCGAGGCTGAGGTCGTTGCAGCTCAAGCAGGTCACTGCACGATGGCGGGGTAGCTTCTCGAATCCTCTGCTCGCGCTTAGGTGGGGTCGGAGAGCAGCGCCTACATAAGCTTCTGAGCTCTTTAGCGCCAACAATGACAAATGATGTTGGGCATTCCGTCCAGACCGTTCCCTGTAACATCTTTCCATCGCCTCACCGTCAGCATACACATAGGAGCAAGGCTACGTCCATACCGCCATGAGAAGAATAGCTAGCATATCAGCGTACCGAGGTATAACTTTATCATCCAAAGCAAGAAACAAGCCGCACCATCAACTTGAACTCCTGAATATACAGCCACTGATAAAAATATGTTTCCCGTATCTGACCAAGTGTCACTCTCATCCATCCCATTTACATCTCCCCCATCCCTTCAAGCAACCCAGCTTGATCATATCCCCTTCCCATTTCACCCACTCTCGATTCTTCCCTCCCTTCCTTAAACCACAACGCAAAGCAACATAAAATAGAAACCGAGCAAAACTGGGATAAAATAAAACAAAACCCCCTACTTCTTCTGCCCCTCCACGAAATGCAGCGCCTCCTCCGTCGGCACACAATCAATAGTACTCGTCTTATTGTGGAACGTCACGCCGTAGCACTTGTCCGCGACGTGCACAATCTCCGGCCGGAAGGTTGTGCAAATGAACTGCGTCTTTTGCTCCTCCGAGATGCTCATCAGCAGCGCGGCCACGGCCGTGCGGTACTGGGCGTCCAGGTTGGCGTCGACCTCGTCGAAGATGACGAAGGGACTGGATTCGGCCGCTTGGAGCGCGAAGATTAGGCAGAGGGCGCAGAGACCTGATCGAGAGGTTAGTATTAAATGTCATGATGATATGGGGCTGGGGATTGGAGAAAAAAAAACACTTAAAAAGAACTCACTCTTCTGCCCACCACTGAGCTGCTGAATCTTTTGCTGCTCGTCCATCACCTTGGAGTTGAACGACACCGAGATACCAACACCCGTGTAGCTCTCCACCCCCGTCGCCTCATCCTCCGACTCTTCAGCCGCCGCGGCGCCCTTCCTAGCGCCACGGTCTGCCTTGCGCTGAATGACCAACCGCCCGTGGCCTGCGGGTACCAACTTCTCGAAGATGGTCGCAAACTCGCGCGACACCTGCTTGAACGTGCGCTCGATCGCCTCGTCCTTCTCCTGGTCCAAGTGCTCAATCAGCGCCTCGATCGACTGCTGCGAGGTGTCGAGCTCCTTGCGCCGCTTGAGCAGCTGGTCGCGCTGTGTCGTGAAGCTGTTGTACTGGTCGAAGGCCTTCTTGTTGATGTGCTTGTATTTCTTGAGCGCCTCGTTGACCTTGCGCAGTTTTGACTCGATCTAGGCCTGTTGTTAGAGATGATTGTCTACCCAGCCACAATCACATATGTAAAAAGAAACGTACCTGCTCCGGCTTCATCTTCTCATACTTGCCAAACGCCTGCTCCGGCAGGATACCCAGATCGCGGATATTCTTGGCGTACTCAGCCGCCTGGCTGACGAGACGGGCCCGCATCTGGATATTCTTCTCCATCTTCTTCTGATGCTGGTCGATGCGCTTCTGCAGCTCCTGCACCTCCTGCTCGCTCTCCGCCTTGCGCGCCTCGAGCCGGGCCAGATCACCCGCGACCTTCTCCCCTTTCTCTTCGTTCTCCTGCAGCTGCTGCTCCACCTCGGCCATGGCCCGCTGCGCTTTGTTGAGTTCCCGCTGCGCGTCTTTGTAGCTCTCAGTGCCGCCCGCCGTCGAGTTCTCAAAGGCCTGGCTGCGCAGCTGATCTTCCTGCGGCCGCAGGTGACTTTGCAGTTCCGTCTCGAGCAGCTTCTTGCGGCCCTCGAGCTCGAACCGTTTCTTGCTGACCTCTTTGAGCTCCCGCTGAAGCTGGTACAATTCGGCCGTGAACTGCGCCAGCTGGGTTTCCTCAGCTGCCGACAGTGCCTTCTTGAAATCCTGCGACATCTCGGCTTGATACACCGCGATCGAGTCGTCCAGTTCCTTGAGGTTGCGGTCCACCTGCGCCTGGCGCTCCACGGCCGCCTCCAGGTGCGCTCGCTCGCGGTCCAGCTGTGCGTTCTTGGTCCGCAGCTCCGTCTTGAGCGGCTCAAAGCCCATCTCAAACTGCCGCATCTGCTGCTCCAGCTTGTGCTCCTCGCCGCTCGCGCTCGTCACCCGCTGGTCGACCACCTCGACCTCCTTGCGGATTTTGTCGATGTCTGCGAGCTGCTGCTCGTACAGCTTACGCACCTGGCCGACCCGCTGCACCGCGTCGAGACGTGATCGCCGCGCATCGACGTACCCGCCCGTCATTGCACCCCGCTTGTTCGTCGTGTCACCCTCTGGCGTGATCGCGTCGAGTCCGTGCGACCGGGCGTATTGGGACGCGATCGATAGGTTCGGGCAGACGATCGTGCGGCCAAAGACCTGTTGGAATGCCTTGTCGAACTCGGGCTCATACTCGAGCTTGCTGATCAACGGCTGCACGTCGGCCGCTCGGGGCATCTTAACCTGCCTCGGCCGCAGTTGCTCGAGCGGCATGAACGTCAACCGCCCACCGTATGACTTGTAGAGGTGATCGGAGAGCATGGTGGCCGTCTTGTCGTTGTCAACGACGTAGTGGAATAGGCTGTTGCCGGCCACTTGTTCGACCGGTAGTTTGTACGCCTCGACTGGGACGTTCATCAGCTCCGCCAACGTCCCGTACGCCCCGGGAATGTCCCTCTCGCGCTTGAGTCGCCGAATCGACGCGAGACCTTTGGCGGTGGCCGAGTCCATGGAGTGCGAGAGCGAGGACTCAGCCTGGTCCCGCTCCGTCCGCGTGTTGGAAAGGAGTGAGCTCAGCCTGTCCTCCTCACGGCGCAACCGTTTCCGCTCCTCGTGCAGCTGCTCCCGGGCCTCCTGAGCCTTGGTCAGCTTCTCCGAGAGTGTCACGCGGTTCCCGCCGTAGCCCTCGATCTTCTCGCGGATATCCCGGATGGCCTCCTCGAGCTGTGCGATCGATTTCTCGACAGATTTTACTTGTTCGCGCGCATCCATCTCGTTGGCCTTTTGCATGCCCAACGAGGCTGTGGCATCGGTGATTTCCTGCTGCAGGTACTTGTCGCGTTCCGCCTTGGTCTTAAACTGGGAGCTGCGAGTCTGCTTTGTGAGCAGGCGTTTCTTCTCGGCGGCTGCCTCGTCCCGTTTCAGTCTCAACTCAGCCTCCTCCGTCTTTCGCTCCTCATACTCGGGCGTGATCTCGGCGATATCTGACTCGGCCGCCTTGATCTTGGCCCGCACATCCTGCAACTCCAGCTCTTGTCTTTGCTGTGCCTGTTCCCGGGCGTGCCTAGTTTCGTCCAGATGTTTCGTCTTGAGTTCGGCCTTGGCGCGTGCTCGGGCGGCGTCCTTGCGATCGTCATCGAGTTGTTGCCGCTCCATCACAAGCAACTCCAAGTTCTGCTTGAGCTCATGTGACTTTTGGTCCAGCGCCCCAATCTCTTTCTCCGTCTGCTGAAGCTGCGCGCGGTCCTTAGTCGACGCGCCCGCCCCGCCTTGCCGCACCTCCTCGATCTGCTCCAGAGCCTCGGCGTTGTTGGCTTGTAGACGGTGCCAGTGGGCGTACTCGAGGCATCGTCGCTCCCTGTCCCTTTCTTGGAAATCGCGCAGTTCGTCCTTTTCCTCCTCCAATTCGCTCAGGCGTTCCTCGATGTACACCAGGGTCTCGTCAATCTTCTCGCGTTTGCTGTTCGTCTCAGCCATGATCTTGAGCGATTGTATCCTCCGGTCGTCGTAGGTGTTCGTGCCCGCAATCTCCTTCAGCAGATTTAACCTCTCGGACTCCTTCATGTTGGTGATGGCTGCGATACGGCCCTGTGGGACAATGTAGAACGGGTTCTCCTTGGCGAACCCCGCGGTTTCAAGAATTTTGAGAACGTCGGCGCGAGTCTGAACCTTTCTGTCGACGGAGTATTCGTCCTTCTTCAAGCCGATTGTCCGGCGGATCACGACCTCGTCGCCTGGCTCGCTGAATCGCTTATCCGTGTTGTCGAAGATGATCTCGACGTAGGCGGACATGACGGCAGACCCGGACCCTTCGTGGAGCAGCGCCTGCCGCTCCTCCCGGCTCATGTTGGTGTAGGCATCGCTGAGAACGAATCGAATGGCGGCGAAGAAGTTACTCTTGCCCGAACCGTTACGCCCGACGATGACATTGGTCCCTGGCGAGAACGGCTCGATAACGGTTTGGTCTTTGTAGCTGTACGCAGGGAAGAAAAAACACAAAGCAAAAGCCGTCAGCGAGTCCGAGTCATATCGGAGGCGGTACTTCCAGGGAGCGTTTTAGTGGGACTCTCTGTACCTTTTGAAGCCCTGGATGATAATTTGTTTGATGTGCATCTTTTCCGCGGGCGCTGTCTACTCGACAGCCGAGTCAACACATCCACGAAAAAGTTATTGAGTATGCAGTCGGTCGGCGGGGCTATGCGCGCATCAATTTCGGAGTGAAGTATCCGGTTTCGTGGAATGGGCGGTGGCTCGGCTCTGCATCGTCCAGATCGCAAGCGCAAAATCACGGGTTGGCGTTGTGGAGGGGGCCTTTCGCAAACGCGTCTCGTCGCGCGCTGCAGGGCAACCCACCAGTTCCATCCGATCCGCAAAGCTCGGGCCATCTTGAAGGGCCAGATCACGTGATGTTACCTATTCGAGGGGATCAGGAGGATAACCACACCCGCCCCATAGTGGCTGATCCGGCGGCTGATCCAAAAA